AAATTGCGGAAAGTGCTGCGGAGCATAACGACCTTGAACTTGGGAACCGCGCGGAGAACCGCAACAAATTTCATTAACCACAACGATGACGATGTTCCGCTATGCTGATTACCAAAATATCTGTGAATACGCGATCTGGATGTGCTATAATTATACGAATTACACATTTAACTCTCGAACTTGGTATTCGCCGCGGCCATGTTCAATTGTGACGTCAGAAGCGAGAAATTAGACGCTGAAAATTTTTGCGTGCCATTTTTAGGTAAAAAGATATTTTGATAAAACATGTACAACTCTTCAGATGGCTTTAATACAATTTTTTAATATTCCGAAAACTAACCTCTTATATATTTTTATATAGAAAAATTTTCTACACCGAGAAATAACGCCAAGAGAATCCTCTTAATTTATTCTTATTTTCAGAAAAAAAATATACTAAAATTTAGAGAAATTTCTTAAATTAAGAGAATCTTCTTGGCGCTAAGAATACAATTTTTTCGGTGTACGTGTATTCTCTGACGTCACAATTTAACATGGCGGCGGTGAGAAACAAGAAGCCTTGAATCGGAAGTAGAATATTTTAGGACATCATGTTTTAGCATAATATGAAGAATTATAAAGAGTTATGAAGACGTAAAAATATAATTTTCAAGATTTTTCGTTACCGTAATATTTATTTATAAAATAATTTAAAATTTAAAAGACGATTTCGCAGACTGTTGGAAATATTTGATACTATTACGTATGAGAAGAAGAGATATATGTTATCTTATGTTAATTATTTATTTTTAAATATTGAACTAATTAAATATATACATAAAATATTTATTCAGCATTACTCAACATTTACAAAAAATATATTTTTTCATAGTTAGAAAGGATTATAAAAAATTATAAAAAGTTATAAGGAATTAAAAATATAAATATTTAAAAAATGTTTGTTACTAAAAAATATTTATTCATCACAATTTAAAAGACCAAATATATGTAAAAATTTAGTTCATAGGTTTTTAAAAATTTTCGACAATGCACGTATGAAAAAAAGATATAGGCATTATCTTAAGTTAAATTTTTATTTATTTTTAAATATTACCTTGAATACATATTTTATATTTATTCAACGCAACATTAAAAACAATGTTTGCAATTACATAATAAAGAGTTATAAGGAGCTGTGAAGAATTAAATAAATATTTTGAAGATTTTGATACTGAAATATTTATTTACTATAATTTAAGAAATCCCAAAACTGATTTAATATAAGATAATATCTCTTTATAAAATATATTTATAACTCTTTCTAACTTTTTATAACTTTTTACAACTCTTTATAAATCTTTATGATTCTTTATAATTCTCGGAATCTTGAAAGTCGAGCATGAATCAAATCGTGTTTTATTGTTTGCCCGTTGCAGTTGTAAAAAACTTTTTTACAACTCGCATATGCTTTTAAAGCCTTAAAGGCAACGCGCTTCAATGTCGAGGATAAGCTGTTTTTGCGTTTGCATGAAGGCTGGCGATAAGAAATGCGTGACAGCGAAAGCATGGTTGAAATGAAGAGCGTTTTATATAGCTAATTGTTTATTATCACGTGCCGATAATGTAATTGTTTACATATCGTCTCGTCCTCCTTTCTCCCTCCTGCATAGTTCACTGTCTATTAGATTAGATTGCTCGAAAAATTTATGCCTTGTCATGCGAAGACGCATTTAATTCTTTGAAGAATTAATGTTTTAAGTGACGGATGCTGTTTCAAACGTCAGTCAAATCAAATGAAACAGAAAAAATATAAGTTTCAATGAATATACCCTGAAAAAAATTATTAAATTAATAAATATTGATTTCTCAACACTGCCTAATCAATCATTTATTTAAAATAAATATTTATCTGTTTTGAAAAGAATTTTCTTATATCAAATAAATATTTTTCATATATCATCAAATGAATATTATTCATTTTAAATAAATGATTTATTAGGCAGTATTGAAATAAATATTTATTCAAATTCAATACATTTTTTTTCAGTGTATGTAAAATAGTTTAGATTAAAAAAAATACTTTTAAACAATTTAAAATGAGATACTTAAAATGTCGTAGATAAAAAAATTTATTTTATTTTATTTTAACATTTTATTTATCCTAATTTTTTATAGCAAGTGTTTAAAAAAAAATCAGGATTTTTTGACATAAACTTTAAACTAATTCAATAATCTCACATGTTCTTTTATTAATTTTTACAATCTGTAACAAGCACTGGATTTCCACGGAAAAAATCAGCGCAAAAATATCGATGAGCGAGCAGATAATCGCAAATGTCGGTAGTAGATTATATAATGTAATGCTGACGACATTACACTGATTTTTTTTTACACGGATAAAATCTATTAAATCATGTTAAATAATAGTATTTATTTCTCAAATCAATATCTAGATCAAATAATGAATATTTTCGAGAAACTTAGAAATTATTTATTATAATAGAATAATATTGCACACCCTCTTATTAAAACGTACGAGATATGCTTTGTTACACTTATTTTCAATAATATATTTTTCTTTGTTTTCAAAAATAAAATATTAAAAAAATTTTTTTAAATTTTGATAAAAGATAAGAAGTTTTGTACGTTTCTCTCTTTTTAAATAATGGAAAAAAATTAATTAAAAAATTATTATTGATATTATTATAAATTTATTATAGATTAATTATAAATTAAAAATGTATAATTCTAAATTAAAAATAAGAAGTACTATAAAATAAAATAAAAAATAATATATAATATATAAAAATACATAAATATATAAATATTATATACATAAATACATAAATATATAAAAATATATAAATATATATATATAAAGCTACATAAAAAATTAAAAATATATAAAAATTTATTATAAATTAATTAACGAACTCCTGTAATTCCTTTATATGATTTTAAAATTAAAAGGTTTAATGCCGAAAATAAATCCCAGACGAGTCATATGATTGATGAGAATGGATCTCGTGGTGCGGTCCATTTACAAACCTTATCTACTGCATGCGAATGAGTCCCGTAAATGACGTACGGATGTTTATTTGCTGGCGAAGTTAGTAGCGACGAATCGTGCGCACAAATTCGCGTAATTGCATGTATAAACGTACGAGCCGATATTATGACTCGATAACGAGCGTATTATTAGCGCGAATCAACGTACCTATATGTTTTGGCGAACACGACTGGACGATTCAAACGAGATTTTTCTCTTGGGATATTTAAAACAATATGTGCGTATCAACTAGTATACATGAAAAAATTCTATGTTTCTGTTTTCATATTTATTATTTTTAATCTTTTATATATTTTGTATATTTTATATATTTATATATTTTACCTACCTACATATTTTATATATTTATGTAATTATATATTTATATGTTTTACTTTTATGTCACAATCTTATGAAGAACCATGCTAAAATCTTAAAAATCGCATTCCTTGAATAATTTTAAATTGTAAACAAAAAATAAAAAAGTATATATATATATATATTAATATTGTATATAAAAATTTTTATATAATTAACATAATAATAATTTACATAATAATAATGTAAATATATATAATAATTGTTAATATATAACATTTCATCAAAATAATTTTATCGTTTACCGATATCGTGAGTAAAAAAACACAATTAATGGACCGCGTAATTTATTACGTAGAAGTCATTAATGTGATATATCTCTCAGATGAGAATGCTCGTTATATATAAACCCGATTTATCTTTATCTCTTTTTATTTATCTGACAGCGTCGCTTTTTACATCGTAAAAATGTCGTTTACGTAAGTAACAATCGCCTCCATATATTCTCGATTCGAACGGATATACTAGATGTATCTAATTCTATTTAAAGATACAGTCTTGATCATCTTGATGCATTTGTTCGCGCATAATTCAAATATTCAAATGTAGTTACAAATAGAAGTATTATTGCAATTACAATACACACGTGTCGATGAGGGATCTTCATTTTTGCGACAAACTGTTTTGTCCAAACACGAGATTTTTAACACACGGTTTAAAAAAAAAAGACAAAAATCATTTTATTTCTCAGAGTAATATAAAATAAAGCATTATCCAAGTTAAATCTATCTTGCACATGAAGAAGTTAATTGGATCTCCTTTTCCACAATAATATCAATTATCAAATAAAAAGGATGCTAATTAATGCGCAAGCCCAAGTTAATTTGGGTTTTTAATTTTTGTAAAATGTATTTATCAAACAAATAAAAAGTTAATTAATATCTTAACATGCAAGCTCGAGTTAATTTGGACAAGTGATATAAATTGTGCAAGCCCAAAATTACTCTGCTAGATACCCAAGTTAGTTTGGGTTGAGGGGTTAATTGGATCCTTTTTGTTTATTTTTGTGAAACGAGACTATTTATTTACCGAATAAATAAATAAAAAAAAGCTAATTAATCACTTAACATGCAAGTCCAAATTAATTTAAACAAGCGATATTTATCAAAATTGTGCAAACCCAAAATAACTTTACCAGATATTCAAATTAGTTTGGGTTTACGCGTTAAAGGGTTAATTGGACCCTTTCTATTAATTTTTGTAAAACGAGACTATTTATTTATTGAATAAATAAATAAAAAGGGAGCTAATTAATCGTTTAACGTGTAAGCTCGAGTTAATTTGGACAAGTGATATTTATTAGAATTGTGCAATCCTAAAATTAGTTAATTTGGGTTTATGCGTTAAGGAGCCTTTTTATTCATTTTTGTGAAACGAGACTATTTATTTATCAAATAAATAAATAAAAAGAAAGCAAATTAATCGCTTAACATATAAGTCCGAGTTAATTTGGACAAGCGATATTTATCAGAATTGTGTAAAATTACTCTGCTAGATATCCAAGTTGGGTTTACGTGCTAAGGGGTTAATTGAATATCTTTTTATTTATTTTTGTAAAACGATATAATTTGTCGAAATGAAAGAAAAAACTCACCAATGCCTTCGACGAGATAGCGATCCTTGGCGTCCATATTGGTAAGCTCGGTGACACTCACAACTATTCTGACACTCATCGTCCTATCTGCGTCTCTTGTCAAGTCCCGCGGAGCGTCGCGACGTTAGGCATCCGACGTCCTTCGCCGTTACATGCACCTGATTGGCAAATATAATGTTGTTTCTTGTGACACTTAAGCACTTGTTAATTTTCTTTAGCATGTATATATGATGCAAAAAGATCATTACAATGTTTTTTAACATGCGCAGTAATCTTAATCACAAGTACCAGTTCCAATTCCAATATAATCCTATCATCTTTGATTAGAAATGTATATATTATAGATCAACAGGGAAGATTTTTCAGCCTATTTTTTATGTTTCATTCTAACATTTCTCCAGTTTAACGATTGATTTCTTGATTTAAAGAATGTATTCCATAATTAATATATTTTTGAAATTAATATTTTTCGTAATTGAGCAAGTAAAAACAAATCTCGAAAAGATAAATAATTAATAATAATAAAATATTCTTTTATGCATAATTTTTATTTTTGAGAAATATGTTTAAAATCGAAAGATTTAATAACATATATTTATCAATATATAAATATCTTACATTTGATTTTTTTAAAAATTGGATGATTACATTCTCATACATCAATATAACGTATATAATAAATATTAACAAAACATAAAATATTAAATATATTAATATTTAAAGAAACATGTATAATTTAATAATCAAATTAAAATAATTTAATTTATTGAACAATATTAATGTAAAATATTCAAATCATTTTTTATTTTATTTTTCTCTGGAATAGTATTTTCATAAATGTTAAATTTAAAAACGCAAAAATATTTTCAATTGTTCAATTTTTATATCGAAAATAAAATCTTGTGTAAAATTATTTCTCGTTTTTACTTTATTTTTGCATAAAGAATATGTTGGAGATTTGTGCAATATACATAATGATTTTTTACTTGAATATTTTTGTTGGTAAACAATTCGGCTCAAATTCAGCAAAAATCTGCGATTCGCAATTTAAGTTAATTTCGAAACGTATCTAGATGTTAAGCGACAAATTCGATTAAAATCAGAAATGGAATGTTTGAATTTACAATTTACCAAATCTGAGATGATTTGTGAACGCAAAAGTGTCTGATACGATAGGAAAACACTCGATTCGTGAGTACTGATAAATTCGCGTCCGCGCCGGCCGAGAGTCGCGACGAATCTGCGAGCGAGTCTGAGAGGGATCGTGACGTTAGACACTCGAACAATAGGGGGAGAATGTTATTTCCGGGATCTTTCAATTTGACAGGTGTGTTTGATTTATTTTTCCCGAGTAAAAAATCTCGCAAATTACGATGCACTACGACTAATATGATTTTCGATATACATATATATTAATATTTTGAAATTTTTATTTATTTTTTTTTAATTTACTGAGATTTTAAAATTTGCAGCAGAAGAGTTCTTTTCGTAAAGATGTTTTTCATCAAATTTTTTAATATAACAAATCTAATTATTTCAATTTAATTAGAAATAGGTTTGGATTAGGTTAGAATCTTTTGGGGTGGAGATGCAGGAGTGAAGGATAAAGTCACTTAAGAATCGATATCTCGAATACTGTGGATCGATATATTGTGATTCGTGGTATTCTTTCTTTGATAAAAAATTCTATAAAAATGACTTATTCAAATTGGAGAATTCCGAAAGTAACATTCTTGCCAATAATAGCAACAGCAACAGCGCAAAATAAACGCGAAATTTGAAGGTTCTCACGAATTTACACGATTTCGTTCGCGAAGGTCACTCAAACGCAAATCGAAAAGACTCCGCGAAGAGAGCCTGATAATATCTAGACAGGAAAAGGCACTTACGACGTCTTCCGCAAGCAAAGTCCAAGAATTGCCTTCGATGAGCTTATATCGTCTTCTTCGAGAGAATGTCTGATAATATCTTCTCCTTAAACTTTTTTTCGATTTTTTCTTCAAAGATGTACGGATATCTTCTTAATTCTGCTTTACTTCCGTAAAACTTGAAGAAACCATTGCAATGTTATGGTGTCCATAATCGGTAATCGGTGGAAGAATCGAGAAAACGTTTGGTTCTTCTTCAATATTTGATAAGTTCGAATTAAAAAAATTATCCTATGTCTAGATATGTAATTAACATTTTTCACTTTTTTTCAATTTTTATATTTTAGTTTCCTTCTTCATTTTTCCATATGCTATCTTTTGATTCAATCAACTTTCTCACTTCAGTTAATTCCGTTTTCCGTTTATTCTTTATAATCTTCTTCTAACTTTATTTATCCGTTAAATGTCACACATTCAATCTTTATTTGTTTTATATATAAAAATCTCGCTCTCTCTTCTCCTTTCGTCTTTTATTTATCTTTCAATTCTTTGATACTCGTTAATTTCCTAATTCCTCCTAATGTCCTAAGACTCATCGATTTCCCAACTTTCCTAACGTCTCGAAAATCCTTTTTTTGTCTCCCCAATCCGTTAAATCCCATTAAATAGCGAATTTGACGGTTCCTTCGACTCTCTTCCACCTTCTTCGCTTTTCGCTGGAGATTCGACAGTATGGCTTCAATTACGGCGTCTCGTTACGGGCCTGCAGTGCGTTTTCTGCGACCCGTGACCTTGACAAGTCCCCCCAACGGCGTGTTGGCGAGCAGCAAATCGGCATTACGTAAAACCGAAGTCGCGACGACGCTTGATTCGTCGACCCAGCGTCGCGACGTCTCGCGGTGCTCGCGCGAACAATTCCTCGAGTGTCATTCTCGTGTCATCTGTCAGCGATCACGAAGAAAAGGTTTCGATCTTCACTCTAATCCAAAAATAGAAAGCGATCGGCTCCGAGAAGAAGACGATCGAGAAGAGACGGGAATAGAAATAGCTTCTCGGAAGCTATATAGGTTAAGTTAATTTCTTCTCTTCTCAAAAAGATCGTTTTCCTCAAGAGAATCGAGGAAAAGAGGCTATTGTTCTTCGAAAAGAAAAAGAGAACGTGGGTAGACTGTTCACTGACAAATTCTCCAAAATATTAGGTTAGACACTTTTTAGAATCTCTTCGAAAGACTGCTTAAGATTATTTTCTTGATATTTTTCGCCAATAATGCTTATCTCCAAAGATATTTTTTTACAAAAATACTTTAAAAGCTCTCACAAATCTCTTCTTTCCAGAAAGCTTTCTCGAACATCGCTTTTTCTCAGAAGTGAGTCGAGAAGTCACGACATTACAATTCCATATATATCGATCTGCCTAAGTTTCTTCTCCAAGTTGTAGAGATCAGTTGTTTTTCCCAAGTTATTTCAGATAATCGAACCAATTATTATTCTTGGTAAAAACACTTAAATCTCGTTCTGCTAATAAATTATATATAATATATAGTTTCTTTATTATTATTCGACACGTGGAAAGAGAAAACAATTTACTCAGGAGAACATAATTCTCTTCATATATCCGATAAGAGATAATATTCTCCTAGATTCGTCCCGATGATCGCCGGTGAAATAAAGTGTGTTTACAAGGTTGTGATCGAGCACGTGGTGGATGTAGAATTACAGGTATGACTGGTCCCAAAGTAGCACGGCAATGTGCGAATATCACGTGATTCTCACCAGGGAAATACACAATGCGCACTTTTCCGATTAATCTCTAATTTACAATTATTTGCAAAATTCTGCAATAAATTTATTTTTCTATAATATCGTGTAGTATCTTTTATTTTTTTTATATGACAACTGGACGAAACTTTCAATAACACGTAACAGAGAGAGAGAGAAAGAGAAAGAGTGATATTATGAAGTGTACACAAACAAAGCTTGTTGGAGGCCAATCGAGTCTAAAGGGAATAAACTATATATTTGAAAATGTAAATACGGAAATTTCTTTTGACATTATTTGATATATATAAATTTATTATTGTTGAAATCTATTAAAATAAATTTGTAACACGTGACAAGAAAATCACGCGGCGATCATCTGTCACACTTGATTCATCTCATCTGACAAGCAAATTTTTTGCATTTGCACGTAATTTTAAGACGATCATCAATCTTAAATTTTTGGGAGAAACTGTCTTTTCGAGATTTGAGTCGAATGTAGAAATTAATTCAAGTCAGAAGATTGTGTAACCATAAATTCACTTTTATCGCCCCTTTCGAAGTCACCCTTTTCTTCTACACAACAAACCCTTATCTTTCTACACTATCACTGATGGGATCGCTCGGATCGAAAGTGTCTTTGCGATCGGACACAATTTTTGGTATAAAAAAATAAATAAAAAAATAAATAAAAAATAAAAAAAAATAAATCCACGAGAACGCACCCGATTGACAGCTTCGTAGCAAGGAATAGATAAATCGCGTTGGAAAAAGAGACCGCGATGCACAATCAATGTGCAGAGGTGACAGGACTCACTGGTGCACGCGACAAGAATCTCGGGAGAACCTGCTGCCGTATATACGTCAGACTAGCGGAAAGCCAGACGTTCGCCGTCGTAACGACAGGTGTTGTGTTGGAGAACCTAAGGTGGGGTACGCAACGAGAGCGTAGACAGAGAGGGGACACCATCGTATCGTACGGAAAGTGGGGTGAAAACCTTCGCCAAGAGGAGTTGACCTCAGTTGTTACTGTGCGCGCAGCATCTATATATCACGGATCCTTGATACGACTCGGATCTTTCAGATAGTGATATTTTGTACCGAATTATAGCAGAAAAGGAAGGAGAAATTAAAAGATATGATTGAGAACAGAAAATTGATTTTTCGATTTTTTTTACTACTTTAATTTTTTTTAATTTAACTTTATCTCGTATTTATTCATGTGTCGATTAAATATATCATATAAAGATATTAATAATCTAACGTATTAAAAAATATTTATAATTAATATTAATTAATTATTATCAATAAATAAATAAAAATAAATATTCTATTAATAAAAAAAATTTTTTTTATTTATTAAATATTCTATTATTATTATTATTTACAATTAGTATTTATTACTTATAAATATTTATTATATGTATATTTATTATTTATATACGTATATGTATGCATTTGAAGAATTATATTTAAAATTAAATTACCCTCTCACACATACACACATATACATATATTTATCGTGTGATTATTATAAGAAACATTTCGTAAATTTTTAGTACAGATTTCTAATTCAGATTTTTGTATAGTTTTTTTTAATATTGTATCAAATATATTTAAATATTTTTCACAATCTTAATTATTAAAAAACATTACGTAAGAAGATTAATAACACTGATTCAATGTAATACTCTCTATCTTTTTTATCTCAGGAAAATAAAATCACAATAATTTGCAAGCACAGTATATAGTGCATAATAATTAAACAAATTTCATCTATATCTGAAAGATATATTTTGTATGAATGTCAGAAAAAAAGAAAAAGAAAAATCAAGAGAGATGATTGAGAACAGTAAATTGCATTCCTATGTGTATTATTATCTTTTAATTTTCTTTGTCGATTTTTTTTCTTTTTTTCTTTTTTTTAAATTTAATTTTATCTCGTATTAGTTCAGATATCGATATTATTAAGAAATATGACGTGACTATAATAATAATCTAATGTATTGTTTCTTCATGAAGAAAGCTTTTTTTCTTTCGTAATATCTTTTTTACAGATTTCAATGTTAATGATTTATTTCAAAACGCTGAAAAATCACATTTTTTAAAAATGTAACTATCCTTTCCGAAAATTAACTCAAGAATTATTTAAGCAATGCTCTCATTTTTAACTCTTTTATTTACTCATTTTTATAAAAGTTTATACAACAGTTTACATTTTAATGCAGTTTTAACTTTTCTAAAAATATGATATTTTTAATGAAATTTTGAATTTTTTTTTGAGAAATGCCTGTGGTTCCTCTAATTCCTAAAATTAAAAAAATTTATTTCCAAGATTAAATTTTTTTATATGAATGGGGTATCATTAAAGGATGATTAATATATTAAATTTCGCAAGGATCGGTGAAAGACTTTATTTTCATTTTGTAGTTATTTGTAGTAATTTTTTTTGTTTATAGATGCACGGCTTAGAAATTGCAATTATTTGAAAGTAATTTTTATCAATTTAAAAAATTTTTTAATCTACTTTTTTCATATTAATATAAATTTCGATTGCAATTGCTTTATAGCAATTTCCAGATGATTCAGACTCGTTTGTAGTTGTATAAACAACTACAAAAAAATAGTTTATGTATATATATACATATATATATATATATATATTCAGGGTGTTCGGTAACTAACGGACCAATGATTAAGGACGGATTCTCTGGCCAATTTGGAGACGATTTTTCTTTGGCAAAAATGTTGAGAAATCAATAATTTTCGAGTTATAAGCGATTGAAAAAAATGCGTTTTTTGAAAACTAAACGTTTTGAAGTTAAAAGTCTAACATAATTACATTCTTCAGTTAGTTTCAGGTAGAGTTTACTATAATAAAATTTTAATTTGAGGCTTAGTTATAAAGATACATAATGACAAATATTGGAAAGTTGTAAAAAATGATGACCTTATTCGACATTTTCGATGAAAAAAAATCGTTCCCAAATTGACCAAAGAATCCATTTGTAATAGTTGGTCCGTTAGTTACCGGACACCTTGTATATATATATATATATATATATATATATATATACATATCGTTAAAAAATGGATAGAAAGAGTTTCAAGAAGTGGATATTATTGAAGATCATCAATAACAAAAAATATAAAACTAATCGGTTGTCAATCATTAAGGAGTGTAAGGAGTTGATAAGGATTGTATGTTGTTATGAACATAAAACGTGATAAAGGCGATAAAAATATTGATTACGTTTGATTTTATTATGCACTTTGAAATTTAAATATGTTTGATCAGATGATTAATAAAATTATATAACGAATAAAATTAATACTGTAGTAATAATAAAGCAACAATAAAATTATAAATTCGTTAAAATATAAAAATGACATTTAATTGAACTAACAATAATAAGTAAAGAGTAATAAATCTTTTACATAAATTAAAAATGTATGTTAATTAATGTATAAGTTTTACGAATTTAAGGTCAAAATTATTTAAGCAATTTTTGAAGAAATTTATTAAAAGATCTGAGAGAAAGTAATAATAAAAATTTGAGAAAATTATAAATTTAACGTATAAGACGGGCAACAAGAGCCAAATCGCGGATGACAATGCGTTATCCTAACGAAACTAAATAATTTTTCGTTAGAATTAAATACCGGTGCACAAGGCACCAAATTTTTACTTGGACACGGCCAAGATTTTAAATATGAAATAATCTCATATTTTGAGATTTAATTTCAATACCCCTTTAACCCCCCTACGGAAAATAAATAAATGAATGCAAGAGAAAAATATAGATCCGAAAATCGCTGAATCGGGAATCGAACCCGAGACCACGGATCTATATTTTTCTCTTGCATTCATTTATTTATTTTCCGTAGGGGGGTTAAAGGGGTATTGAAATTAAATCTCAAAATATGAGATTATTTCATATTTAAAATCTTGGCCGTGTCCAAGTAAAAATTTGGTGCCTTGTGCACCGGTATTTAATTCTAACGAAAAATTATTTAGTTTCGTTAGGATAACGCATTGTCATCCGCGATTTGGCTCTTGTTGCCCGTCTTATACGTTAAATTTATATTTATATTACAGAGCCTTGTTAAAACTCTTATATTTGAGAAAATTAATTATTTAGAATAACTACTATATACAGGATAATTCAGTTAAAGTATTACAAAGTATTACTTATTTATCTCGTAAACAAAACATTTTAAAGAAAAAGTCGTTGATCCTGGGTAAGACTTAAGAGCGAGAATCGCTCTATTATCGAACTTTAAGCCTTTTTAGAACAAAATCGGCTCATAGGATTGACTTATGACCTAGTAATTTTTTATCAGCATCACTTAAACTACAAAATTGCAAAGTTTCAGCCAATTCCATCGAAATCAATTTTTCCCTATGTTTTGTGCGGAGTCCTTTATTTTTATATATAATTAAATTTAACTAAATTTAATTATTTATTGAAAAAAATAAAACTCATTAAAACTAATATCTTTAAAATATCAGAAAGAGATTTGTTAATTAATCAGATAGAAATGTGAATTAAAAAATATATGATGTATAATAATTTTTCGTAAATGTATCGCGATATTCATATATTTACATATACCATAGATATAGAAAATCGTGGCAATGGTTAATAATATATAAGAATCCATTAAAAGAAGTATTTCAAGGCAAGATGCTCAAGAATTAGAAAAACAGAAATACATTTATAATAAGTTGCTCATAAATTTTTATATCATATAAAAAATACTAATACATTCAGCGAAAATACTAATAATTCAGCGAAAGTGTTCTGGCTGATAAAAGAATCCAAAAATAAAGCTAAATACTTTAATTCTTAATACTAAAGACTTTAATATTTAATACTTAATTTTTTCTCTTCAACTTTTCTGCAATGGTATTTAACATTACTGCCTCAATTGAAGTAAAAAAAACCGAATAAGAGTCCAATTTTGGCTAACTTAATTTTTGACTTTTTAGATCATGATTGAGTATTCATCATTTAGCTTTCTTAGCAAAATTTACATATATTTTTTAAAACTTTCTTAAATTGACAATGATATTGTACTTGTATGAAAATCTTTCAAAAATATTTACATTTCCTTAAAATCGTTCTGAGTCTCTTCGTAAGTGTTAATAGAATGTAATTCACCTTTTTAAATAGATTTAAAAATATTTATGCAGTTTAGAATATTTTTCGTTAATAAACACTTTATTAATGATTAATATTTTTGTTTTTGTTCAATTTTTGGGACCTTTTTATTAAAATAAAAATCTAAATTTATATTTTGAAAATTAAAATAAAATTAATTTTTTATAGATTTTTAAAAATACAAATTTCATTATTTTTCCTCAAATTTTGCAGGTTTTTTGTTTTTCTTTAATTAGAGAAAGAAAACAGATTAAGCAAAGTTAATTGTATATTCAAGTTATGTATTTCAAAAATAAATATATAGGTAAAAAATTTTCGATAAATTATATAGTTTCTAGTAAAATATGCTGATATATTTCTCTAAATTTATATAATATATATTTATATAATATTATAATATCGTAAACTCTTTTACTTGATTTTTGTATAATAAATGCACATTAACTTTTATATAATACATAACTCCTGAAAATGTATTCTATATATTTTTAGTAAAAGTAAACTTTTATGATAATTTAATCAAGATTTACTATTTATTAATTCACAAAAATAGAAAAGTCTGATATATTTTAGCAATTTATAAATAATTATACAATTTATCTCTTCAAGCTGTTCCTGGGAATAAAACATAATTTATAATAACACATAATATACCGCATTTATACTGGCACGACTATAAGAACAAAACAGTTTTTATAGATTTAATGTGAATCCTCATAATTAAAGAAAATATATTTTTATTAGAATACATGTTACCGGTAAATTATATATTATTAAAATTCCGCAATATTTCTTTAAGCATTTTAATGTTTGTTAGCTTGTCTCGCAAGAGTAGAAAGAAAAATGCACTCTCTCATATCGGCTCTTATAATACTATATGTATTTATGTATAATTTTTTACAAATTGAAAAAAAATTAATTTCCTAACAGCATACATATCCCGAAGACGTTCAGAGAACGTCCCGAGGATGTCCTCTGGATATTCTCTGTATATCTTTCGGATATGTTGTGCTATTAGGATTAAAATAATTACTTTGCTCTTATTTTGCGTTATAAGTATATATTAACAAAAGATTTTTATAAAAAATACAAAATTGCTAAAATTATATAAAAATATACTATATTGCAGTGTTTCAACATCTAATAGTATTAAGAGTAAATAAAAAATGACTAAATTTTGTCGCTATAATTTGAAATGTTTTAATAATATATAATCAATTTATTATCATTAGATTCAATGTACATGTAATGTATGTGTGTGTGTAAGTCACATATTCAAGAAATATTCAAAAAATATAAGAGAATTTGTGACAATTAAGAAATTTTGTTCATATAAATTTCACGAGAAAAAGAGGACATTAATTTTTATTTTTTATAATTTTTGTATTTTATTAAACTAAGATGCTGCACTTATATTGTATCTTTTCTACGTATATACATTTAAAATTTGGAAGGAAATATATTGTATTTGACTTTTTATTGCATCACGTTAAATTACTAGCCAAAAGCACTGACGAGGTTACAGTACCTCGTCGGTGCCAAAAGTGTGAAATGAAACACAAGTATCATGTAAAAAATTTACATAGTTGCAAGTCTTTGGTCATTATCAGATCGGACGTTTTACATTTTTTACCGGATTATTTTTTAAAATATATTTTCTTAAAAAAATTAACTGCACTAAATAAAACTGAAAGAGATATTTCTGATACATGATTTAACAAGGAAAAATAAAAGGCATTTTTTATTCATTACAAATAAACATAACATTTAAATCATAATTTGATCAAAAAGATACCATTGTAATTATTTAAAAAACCCGATAAAATAAAATATAAAATTTTTCTCATAATTTTGATTAAGAAAACAATCTGGATGTCGGTCGTAATTTGTAATAAGAACTATAATACCTCATCAAAATTTTTAAAACAAGAGTGAAAATTTTATTGCATTTTCTCAGATTACAATTATTATACATTAGCGTTCGTAATTTATCTACTTTATACTAACTCAATCAAACAATAACAAAAGTAGCTAATTGTGATCGCATATCTTGATACATTGATCGATATTTAATTTAACATTCTAGTATATATATATATATATAATTTTTAAATAAATGATCTTGGATCAGATTTTAATATACTGCTAATAGTAATATAATTTCTATTACTTTTTGCGGCAATAAAAACGTAACAATCGTTATAAGAATTATTTTTGAATATTTATAGGCAAATTGGAGAATTAACTGAAATTATATATATTTTTAATGATTAAAAAATAGGTAAATGCGCTTTAATTTGGATAATTACATTATATTTAAGATAGCAAATCTTTATTTTGCGCAGCTTTTATAATATAATAATTACTTTTTCGCATACGATTGAACAAAGTGAGATATATAATTACATCTTTACAATTAATGACTCTGACAAATTCGAGTCAATCGATTTATAGAACCTACATATGTATTAAGGAAATTTAAATTATCTCCAACTAGCTAATAAATTACGAATACAGGAGTGCTCCGATAAGTATACTTCGCACAGAACACAAATCACAAAATCACAGCTATATACATTTACACTTAATTGTCCTTCTTCATTCGATTCGACGTCATTCTGTATATGATAGAATCGCGTCCTGGATCCATATCCGCAATTGCAACTGAAAATATCAAGATTTTATTGATTTCGAGAGAGGATTTTATCATCAAGTTTCATAGTTAATTCGATAGCAAAAGAAAAATCAGCACACAATTTTTGAATTTTATTTATGTACATAATTTTTCGTTTTATGAAAAATCCTAAATCTATTCAATATTTAAAGCATTCAATTTTTTTTCACGTAATAAAATTAAACTATGTCACGAACGAGAAATTATATGAATTTTTTCTATTATTTCTTTTTATATGTTAAAATACATTTGCATATCATTTCCTACGTTCAATATAAATTTATAAAATATTATAATACTGCAAACTTTTCCTTTATATATTTTTGTGTATTAATTAATGCGTGTATATATAATTCCTGAAAATGTGTTCTATATCATTTATAATTAATCCAAATTTATTATTTAATAACCCACAAAAATCGAAAAGAATTTTTCATGTATTTTAGCAATCTACATTATTAAACGCAAAATGATATAGGCGAAAAAATTAATTTACTTCGCAAGAAAAATATTCATTCAATGTCTTCCTCTTGACATCATAATCAGATCGTTCAAGAAATAAAATACGTACTGCAAATGGCTAACAGCGAGAAGAAGAAAATAACGCCGAACCACAGCATTATGTTGAAGATGACAGGATAGTTTTCCGTGTAAGTTTTCGAACGGCCGGAAAATTCAGGCTGAAATAGAAAAATCGATGTAATCCCGAACAGGCAGAGGCAGCAGTTTTTGAGAAACCTAAAAACTTCACAATTCTCCAGTATAAAAACTATCTCTGTGATATATTATACTTGCTATAATAAATTTATTAAGTAGCATTCTACGTTCTTTTTATTACTTCGCGCAAAATGTCAAAAAAATTCAGCAAAATATTGATGCACACAAAGAGGCTCTCGTAATTAACATGATGTTTCATGATTTTCGAGAGAGACTCGTCAATGTAAGATCTACTCTTGATACTCTTCTAAGGCTAAGCATTTAATTGTCCGATTAAATCTTTTCCAACGAAGAGTTTCAATTAAAAGTTTTGTCCACTCGTCAGTTTATTGTCATTAAAATATTATGCATGCAAATATCAACACGCTAAATTCTCCATGCAAAAGTTTATAATTTTGCGCTTGAGAAGAAGATGGAAATAAGCTCTCGAAATTGTAAATTCTAATACATACATATTTAGAAAAAATTATAATTAAATTTCTTTGTAAAAACTTTTTTGTGGACTTATATCCTTCTGCTTCTCAGATGCAGAAATGCCAAAACAAATCTCACTATAAATCGTTGCCTAACTAAAGAAATTACTATGATTTTAAGCGTCATATAAGCATTAACATCAATAGCAGACTACTATATACAATATCTCAATGCAAACAAAAGTCATGTAATCATCAAAAGTTTCAAGAGAAATTTAAGCAAAACTGGATAAGTGGAAAGAAATCTTTTTAACTTTGGCATTACTAAAGAGAAAAAGAGAGAGAGAGAGAGAGAAAGAGAGAGAGAGAGAGAGAGAGAGAAAGATAGAGTACGTCATATAAAGAAAAGATTAAATTAATATCCCTACAACTCAGATGTTCTAATATTCCGATAATAATTTGGCAGAACAAAAACAATTGAAGGGCCCAGGAAAGAATTTGAAGAGTCTCATATACTTTCTCAATTTTTTCATAATTTTATAAATTTTAATTTTCAACCTATATATAATATAGATTAAAAAATTATTTAAATTATTTCCTTTTAATTCTATCTTGATTGTAACATATATGTAGAGCTATATCTGTTAAATGTTGCTTCTTCCGATACTTTTTTTGCCATAAATTTATTTATTAAATTTTCTGACATTATTTTCTAACATTAAAAAAAAATTTTTCTTTCTCGATATATCATATATATGCATATAGTCTCAGTTTTGTTATGTAGAATGAATAAAATAAACATTACGTGTGATCGAACAATGTGCAGATTGTATACAAAAAAGAAGAGACAGACCCATCTGATTTTCCCCTAGACCCATCGATGCATGTTAATACGCATGTTAATATGTACCTGTCCTATTGTCTGTGTGTTAGTATCTATCTTATGCTCCTTATTAGCGGAGCCCAGGTCGGACTTTTCCTGAACGCCCGTACGTTCAGTAGTGCTGTCGATAGTGTTGGGCTCGCTAGTACTATTCATACTATTTATCTCCTCTTCGTTATTACTTTCCCCGTCTCGTTCGCCGTCTCGCTACAATCAGTGTTGTTCAGTATCTCAGTAAGCAAAGTGATTAAAGAACATCAACTTTTTTTCTTCAAGACTCCGAGGATACTAGAAGAACTTCAGGGCTTTTTAAACCTCCCGCCTCCTCGCCAACCATGTTGAAATTGTGACGTCATAGGCGAGAAAACGCACACTGAAAATTCTTTGATGCCGTTTCGAAAAAAAAATAGATATTTCGATGAAACAGCACTTCATATGCCTTTAGTACACTCTTAAAATACCTCGAAAATTACCCAAGTCTCAAACTGACGTCATTGACGTCAAAATGACATGTTGATGTTTAATGACATTATGTTGATGTTTAATGAGTCAGTTTGCTACCTATGGATATCACTTCCCTTTATAATCAATCAACAGCTATAAAATGATTGTAATGAGGTTCAGTTCATTCATTCTTTGCGCATACGCAGTCATTCCGCATAACAGAGTCTGATATCAGATCATTTTACGGTTGTTGATATCGAGGAAAAAGAATAGTTTTCGAGGTATTTTAAAAGTATGCTAAAGCCATCTGAAGTAGTAGTGTTTCAAAGTTCGAAATATCTTTTCATTTAAAAATATCTAAGAAATTTCAATGTGTGCTTTCTCGTCTCTGACGTCATAATCTAACATTGTGACGCCGCGGCGTGGTGAGAACTCAGAAGTCATTTTGCAAGTACCTGAATTTATCGATCTTGAGGCTTCTACATACATTTTTATTGATTTCTAAGGATATATTAATTTTATTTTTTCCTATGGTATATACATTTAAATTTATCAAGTCCTATATATTGTAAAAAAATTTTATTAAAATATTAGTGAATCTTTTCAATTTTATCAAAATTTAAAGAGATTAAAATATTCCAGGATTTAATTTGATGAATGTTTTTTTTGCGGAATTTTGCTGAATTATAATATATGAATTAGAGAAATTGTACAACGGAAACACTGAAAAAAAGGAGAAGACGATATAGATAGATATCGGCCGGTTGATGATAAGTTTGTAAGTTTTCGTTGATAGAGTATTTCGAGTAATTCGTTGTGTTTTCGCGCGAGATTCATGCAGAAAAAAAACTACCTCTAAATCGGAAAAAAACACTGTCAATCAATCAAATTCATGCAATGTGATTCGACACGGTACCTTGGCGAAAAAATTATTAATGTCTGAATTAATTGGCGCTCCCTTTGCACCACCAATGGATTTAACACTGTTAGTCTTATAAGCCTACAAAATATCCCGTAATAATTATAAAAATAGTACAGATGGTGTAGATGGATAGTTTTTTTAAAGTAAACTTTAATATTGATTCTACGTTTGATATCATAAAATATTATAGGTTTTACTGAATAAAAATTTGTGCTTGTATTGGTCGATTAAATTTATTTCTTGATTTTTTTACTAGCGATTTAAAAATCCATCAAATATTATAATTGGAGTTTAGCTGTTAAATAATTGTTAAAATTTATATTTCATAATATAATCTATAGTCCTTATTAGAATTCCAAATTAAGAAGTAACTAATCAATTGATGAAAATTATAATACTTACTTAGAAAATCAGTTACTTTGCTGTTTTATAATAAAATTAATTAATCATAACAATTAGAACACTTAAATATTCTTAAAAAATAGGCAAAATTCAATCAGCTGTAATTTCATTAAAAATGCACAAAATTCAAATGTCAAAAGAGTTTTTTAAAGCTTGAAATCTACTTTCAAAAGCTCATTTTTTAAATGTTTTTTTTTAAGTTTTTCATGGTGACCACTGTTTTTATGAGGCAAAAAGTATAAAACTCGTAGAAAACACTCGTAGAAAAATATTTAAACACTATTGTTAAGAAAACTTTAAGCTTCCACATCAAAAAGTTGAAAAATTTAGTAAATCTTGTTTTTTATACACATAGCAGGTCCGCAAAATGAGAATAAAATTTCTAATTTTGTCCAATTCGTAGTTCTACATGTAAAAATTACTAAATTAACAGAAATTAAAAAAAAAAGTAGTGAGCGTTCGAAAGTAGATATTTTAAGCTTTAAAACCCTTTTTTGATATTTAAATATGCATTTTTAACAAAGTTACAGCTGATTGAATTTTGCCTATTTTTTAAAGAAAATTTAAATGTTCTAATTGTTTTGACTAGTATATATTATGTGTATATTCTTGCAATCATAAAATGATCGAATATTGTAAATAATTTGGGTTTAATAAAAAATAAATAAATGATAAATGTTTGTAATTATACAGTCTCATAATTTAATGCATTATAATAATATAATGAAGATTCTGGTAACTTAAAAATAAAATTGGAAACGGCAAATAAGAGCCACATAAAGGTAAACGATTAGAAAATAAAGTAAAACAATGATGTTAATTGTCTATTCTTTAATATGTATATTAAACGTTTCGACTCACTTCGATTCATCTTCAGTAATTTCGATTTAATTTATGGCTAATATATTAGGGTTTTATTTATGGCTATATATATTAGGAATGTTGCATTACGACTCTACATCAATCCTTCTAACGTCTTGAACTATTCAGAGGTGATCATGCGAGAAATGGAATTAGTTATAATGACACTCTAAGTATTTCTAATATACAGTACCATTGTGAGTATAATAATTGCGAAATTTCCGTCTCGATAACTTGATTTTATCAATATCGTTATAACCGAATTCTTATTTACAGTTGTAATGAAATAAATTACTGAAGATGACTTAAAGCGAGTCGAAACGTTTAAATAGTATATACTAAATATATTAAAGAATGGACAATTAACATCATTGTTTTACTTTATCTAATCGTTCACCTTTACGTAACTCTTATTTGCCATTTTCAATTTTATTTTTTAATGCATCATTTTCAACCATTTATTTTACTATTTTTAATGCAAGATTTGTCGAATACAATCTTCCTTGTATCTGACAGATCTTGGATCGCTGAAAAATGTGTAACTTTGCAGGATTCAAGTAGTCTACGTAGAAGTCTACGTAGAAGACTAATAAATGTGTACATTTTCATCCACTTCATATTTTTTTCCTTATAGACAAAAATAAACCATGTATTTTCTCAATGATTTTTTCCCGCAATATTTCAGCTAGATCTAACAATAAGTGTATCTTGTATGGAGATGTATTTATAATATAATTAGATTGATAATTAAAAAGATCGTTATAAACTTATTTTTGTTTTTAAATATTATTTTAAGGTTCTTGGATTCTTGCCATGTTAGATTGTGATCAGAGGCGAGGAAGCACACGTTGAAAATTCTTAGATGCCATTTTTTACATGAAAAATTATCTGAAGTGCTGTTTCATCGAAATACCTTTTTATTTCGAAATGGCATTTAAGAATTTTTAGCGTTTTCTCGTCTCTGAAGTCACAATTCCAACATGGTTGCCAGGAGCCTTAAATCTTTATAATTTTTTCAATCGATACAAATAGTTTCTCTCAAATACACTCACTCCAAAAAAAACCGTACACTTAATTAAAAGAGTAATAGCAAAAAGACCTGTTTTTTCGCCCATTTCAATCTTTCAAACTTTTTTTATGCCAAATAGTACTATATGATGAGACATTAATCCCAGAGAAAATTCAAGATGAGCATAGGCACGGTTCCGGAGATATGAAGAAGTGAAAGTTATAGTTTCTCATACACCCTGACTAGAAAACATCACTTTCACCCCCTTGTATTTCCGGAATCGTGCCTATGCTCATCTTGAAATTTTATTGGGATTAATGTTTCATCTAATAGTACTATTTGCCATAAAAAAATTGAAATTCAAGGTCCAAAAAAAATGGGCGAAATTTGCCATCACTCTTTGGAAAAAAATTACCAAATTTCAAATGACAATAACTTCGAAAATAATAAAGATAGAAATGTTTCTAAAAAACAAAAATAAACCTTGGAATCTCTACTTGAAGAAACTACTTATTTCAATGTTGCAAGATAAATTTATTAAAAATGGCGAATGACAAAACGAGAGCATATAAAATTGAAAAATAATATGTAGTTTGAGTTTGCCAATGCACATGGCGTGAGTCAAATGTCGTAACGCAATGGGATTAAAAGCATATGATAGTACAGTTTCCCCTTTAAAATGCGGTTTTATTCATCTCGATAATTTTTCGCCGAGATATTCGTATTTGAATAAAAAGCTTTCTTTTTACTTTAAATGCGAATAACTCTGCGAAAAATGATATCAAGATAAATAAAAAAGCATTTTAAAGGGGAGACTCTGTATTATCATATACTTTTTAGCCCATTGAGTTGCGACATTTGACTCACGCCATGTACATTGACAACTCGAACCATTATTTTTCAATTTTGCATACTCTCGTTTTGTCATTCACCATTTTTAATAAATTTATTTCGCAACATTGAAATAGATTCTTCAAGTAGAGATTCCAAGGTTTATTTTCATTTTTTCGAAACCTTTCTATTATTATTATTTTCAAAGTTATCGTCATTTGAAATTTGGTAATTTTTTCCAAATTTTAAGTGTACTGCTTTTTTTAAAGTGAGTATATTCACGTAGTTTTATGTTCAAAATATGATAGAAATTGTAAATTGCGTATAAAGTTAAGCTAATATTAGTACTTACCAGAGTATCTCTACGCTGTCTCTCAAGGTGCACAGAACGAGTGTTTCTCACCTTGCTGGCATCATTCGTGAATGCCGAAACAACAACCTAAAACGTTCGTTTTTTGAATGACTCTATAATTGTGTATTCAATTGGTATGAAAATAGGCTAACAATAAGAATTGGTCAAAAATATAAGTTGACAATTGTTACGCATAAAATTGCGAGTAAATTGGCGCACCTGGCCATCATAAGCAATCACAAAAGACTTGGATACGCGTTCCATTGCATCTTTCAGTAGCGTATACGCTTCATTGGATACTGAATTGTTTCCATGAAGATCTAAGACTGGTTTAAGGGCTGACACCACCAGCCAATAGACATCCGTGCTAGAGTCATGTTTCTTTACGGAGGACACTTTGTCAGCGATAGCGTGAAGAAGTTGCATCTCCTCTACGAATTTGCGATCCTCCTCGATTTCTGAACTTAGAAACTCTAGTTTCTCCATGTTAGTTGGCTTCAGTTCGCCGAGAGCTGATTGGCCTAGCTATATTTAAAAGATATCAGAGTCAATCAAAAATTTAAAGATAAAACAAAATGTAGATACAGACAAAATATAAGTATCGAGTACTAAATCCTCTCTTAGAAGAAAGAGACATAAAATTAACGGAACAAAAAAAAGATTAATTTATATAAAAATGTATTGTTAAAGAAAACTGTCTTTCTAACTAGTTCTTTATTTAATACTTACAGCATCAACTCCATCATTCAAGTTAATCCTGATCAAGGTATTATCGTTGCTCCGTTCCTCCACTCTGCTTCTAAGTGCTTGCCAAGAGGCCTCTTCTACCTCATCAACACACAAAGGAAACGTGATTTCGTCTTTTAAGGATGGCAGGATATCTATTCCATCAATTGCCATAACAGCCAAAGCGTTTGGCATCGTAAATGGATCCCAAACAGTTATGCTATGATCAGCATTCTTCTGCAAGATCACACAAAGCATGTCAAAGATCTTCAAATATAACATACAGGGTGTTTCCAGGTTAAATAGCCAAACTTAAAATACGACTTTAGGACCTCAAAACAAACAAATATTTTATCTGGAAGTTTGCTCGCAAATACTTCCTTGCAGAGATATTAACTTTTTGAAATTTTGAAATATAGAAATAAATATTAAAATAATTAAATTTATCCTCAAAATATTTAATAATTACCTTACATTGATTATTGTAAAGCAATAAAGAGCATTAAGAAGATCCAATATTTTACATTATGGTCAAACAGTTTCATCGAGATTAATTATATACCTGCTTTCCAGTATAACCAAGAGCTGTGGATAAGATTTCCTTGAGATTGCTTTGTTCGATCTCTCCATTCACAGTGAATTCTACACTATCAGGCGAATGAAGAACGACGAATTCGCCACTGGCATAAACTAAAAACAAAGACACTAGAATAAGCGTAACACTAGAATAAAAATGTTTAACAAGTGTAAATTTTAGACAAGTTTGTAAAATTCATAAAAAAAAAAAAGAGCTATCTCGCTCTAAAATAAATTGGAATATGTATTTAAATATTTATGTATAAATTTCTTGTTGGGAAAATGAGTTGATTTTCACAGTCAGAAATTGAATCGCAAACTTGAAGCAGTATTGCGATATTGTTTCTCGAAAAGTTATTCTTGAAAGTGAAGGAAGAATTTACCTGTGGTAAGGATGGCGAAAAAAAGCGAAAGCTGTCGAAACATCATCGCGAGCGAGAAAACTTAAATTCGGAAGACACTCCCTCGACACCGATCAATTTCGGATACGATCATGTGATCGCGTCAGATCACATGTGAGTGAAACATAGATACCATGATATAAAGACAAGGGTATGCTCTTGCGCATGGTAACGCTAGCTAACCAATGAGAATTGCAGTCTGACTACGTCATCATTAGGCGTCAAATTCGAAGCGCTTATTCTTATATTTGCCGAGTACACGTAGAGAAAGCTGAAAAATAATTACTGCCACTGGTGATAATCAGTAAAATAAAATATATAATAAATAATTAAGTAAACAATAAACAATGTAATTACGGAATAAACGAAAGGCTCACAAGAGTGATGAATAAAAAGTGTCACATCAGTTTATAAATTAGCCAACAATAAGCTAAAATTAATCTCGGAATACATTACAAACAATATTGGATACATTGAAATTATTAATTAAAAATATTAATTAATTGTACTATTTTTCAGTAGCATTAATGTAGCAATTTTATTGTTTATGTATATTTTTTTCAAAACACATGAAGTGAAATAATATAAAAATTAGCTGAAAGGGAAATAAATAAAATTTTAGTACTTTACTTGAAAAATTGAGAATTTATTTATTTTTTTATTTTATCAGCCGAAGTGATCCGAACGTAGCCGAGGCTGTACGAATGTGACGTTGGCAGGCTGCTGCGCAAGAATGTCTTAAATTCGTCCAGCGGATGAGCATACTCTTGTCTTTATATCATGGACCGTACGTAATTATATAGATAGTCTGCACTTATATATACATATATATACTTGTAACACCACGTGATTTTTTATTCTTCTGCGCAAGTGCAGGAGCGGTTTATTTAAAAAGAAAAAATCTCTATTAAACATTTTGTATTTGCAATTAAACATTATATATTTTTGGCATTCGACATTTTTGGTATTATAATTACATTAAATTTCATTATTAAAATTTTGATTATTTTACAGAGAAATTAAAATAAAATAATTATTTAATGTTATATAAATATATTAATATGAAGCACTAATTTTTATAAAATTAATATAAAATAGTAATGCTAATATATTACATAACTATTACATTAAATACAATTTAATATAAAATAGTAATGCTAATATATATTAAGGCGTTAGACCATTATGATTTGTGTTTTATTTGTTATACACGAGTTTTATTAAGTTAGCTTATTTTTTTCGAATTAAATTTTATGATTATATCTATATATATTTTTTAAATGTTTTATATTTCCTTGTAATTAAAAATTATAAATTACATTTTCAATTTATTTTGTTTGCTCATAAAAAGTTCTCAAAATTTACATTATTTTTTTCGGCGTTAAGGTCGCCTAACACCTTAATAATAAGTCAACAAAATGTTAGTGTATATAACCTATATATATATATATATATATATATATATATGTATATGGAATTAAAAATCAATGTATATGTATATAAAATTTTAAATTGCTTTGTTTTCGATTTTTTTGATTAAAATTGAGAGAAGTGATGCCTATCAAATAATAAAATGTACCCAAGATAGTATTTCCCACATTTTGTGTTATAAAACTCATAAAAAAACCATTTTTTCTTTTAATTATGACAATAAATTCGAAACCAAAGCAATTCGAAATTTTAACTTAAAAATGACGTTATCCTAAGGTTAACGCATTTTCGGATTTATTTTTGTTCTGAATATTTTTGAATGTTTTGTTTATATTTTAAATATGTGAAATTTATCTATTATCGTTAAATTTATTCGTATATTATTTAGTATTAATATTTATATAAAAATTAATTAAATTTACTAAATGTTTATTATACATAATTAAGTGATAAATATAAAAAAACATTGTTAATTTATACTATTTAATACTTAAATAATCCTGTTATAAATAGAGAATAAAAGATGGAGTTTTAATTTTTATTACAGCTGGATGTGTTATATAGTTAAGCTGTCTCAAATATGTACTGTAACTTCTTTCTCTATTTTTGATGGAGCACACTTTGAAAATACTTCATATCTCCGAGTATCTTACCAAGACGTTGCTCTGCTTTTGCTACAATTCTTGTATGTAAATAATTCATATTTTTCATATAGCCCATGAATTCATATTTATATATCTAAAATAAATATTATTTTTATTTTTATTCTTTATTAATAATCACTAATTTTATAATTAATTATCTTAAAAACATGCGAATATTTGAAATTATTAGCATAATTATATAAAAAAATATATAAAATATCTTAGGAAAAAAGAGAAAAATGACGCCTAATACATTATATACAATATAAAATATGTAGTACATTCTGATAAAAATAAATATCACATTAAAAACTTTATAAAATAATTAAAAAATTTACCTGGTTAATTTGGGACTGAGAATACACATTATTAATAACCACAATGAATATTGCTAACATATTCATTTGTCTGTAAGAACAAAGCAGTACGTATATATAGCTTTATAATTAGTACATAATAAACTTTTATGATTATGTGCAATTTATTTTTATAAAAAAGGATGTTATTACCTGAGCTTAAAAAAATCTTTATTAAACAAGAAATTTTGAAGTACTATCTTAGAATGTCTTGCAAAAATGTATAGAAAAACATGAGCAACTTGAGCACGTAAACGTTCTTTATCTTTGCTATTTTTCTTCAACAGAGTTTCGTCAAGTAAGTGACACTGTTTTAGGATATTGAAGACACTTGAGGGATCTTCAACACAAGTATGAAGCATCAACATTTCATAATTGATTCGATTTTTATATATTCCAGGTGCGGCGGACCATATCTCAGACCATTCAGTACTATTTACAGTCTTTAAACCATTACAAAAAGCCCAATATTGCTGCCCAGATAATTGGAAATTCCTACGATATACCAAAAAGAAATATTTTATTTTTCTACGTTTGTATCTCTTTTATTTCTTATTATCAATACTTATTGTCCGCATATAAACTCTTCATATAATATTTATTAAATATTTAGAAATAAAGTCTATACATAATCAAATATAAATATAAAATATTTATATAAATATACATATAAATATAAAATATTTAGAAATAAAACCCATACATAATCAAATATATAAATATAAATATTAAATAAATAATTAATATAAAAGATATATGTATGTCTTTATTCTGTTGTCTAAATATCTGGTTGCATATACAGAAAGAATAGTAAGAAGAAAAATGGAAAAGTAATTAGAAATATATAATTAGAAATATAAAGTTTGTATTATTTTTTATAAAAGAATTAAAATATTATATATAATAAGGAATCTAAAAAAAATTATGAATCTAAAATGATATATAAAATTTATATATAATTATAAAGAACATATATCTTTTCTCATTTCATTAAATTATATTTTTCCTCAAAAAAGAACAATGAAAAAATTATTCTTTTAATTGTTCTTCAATTATTTATTATGTGTCATTTTTCCGCGTATATACGAACCAAGATTATGCAAATGAAAAGAGATATATACGGGGCATTCCATATGAAATCGGACAGATTATATTGCGACCAGAAGAGTTTTCGCTCAAAAAATTTTTCTGACGGCTCAAAATTTAAGTATCAGTGTAAACTTTCGAATATGCCGTGTGGCACGTTTCTAAATTAACACTGGCTGATTTGATATGGCGACTAAAACGTATAAAATTGTAAAAAAACTGAATAATTGATAAAACAAAAATCATCACTCTTCTGGTCGCAATCTGTCCGATTTCACATGGAATGTCTTATATACATATATCTAATCTGGCAAAAATTTACTAAAAATAAATATGTAGCGCCTAATCTGGTATACCAGTGAAAAATTGTATTAATGTGAAATGTAAAGTGTAAGTCTTTGAAAGAAGTATAAAGAAAGGATTTCTAACATACTATAATATGTATATATAAATAGATATATTTTATACATAAATATATATACATATTTATTTATATTTTATTTTTTATAGATTTCTTTTTCACCGTAAAATATAAAGCGCACGAAAGATTCACAAGCTCTCCACATATAGAAATAAAAATGTAATAATTATTAAGAGACACTTACTTATTTTTCTTAATATAACTTTGCATGTACGTTTTTAATTGCTGTTTGGTCATATGTAAGCATATAGGATTACCAATGATACATTGCCATCTTGCCAGCTCTTGTTTTAAACATTTGTCAAGATTGTTGTTGGTAGGTACCGTCAGATTATACATTTCCGTATCAATTTGTTTAAACAATTTTGTTACATGTACTTCCTACAATTTTAATAAAAAATGAGTCTTTCTGCTTAGCCATTAAATAAATTATAAATATTATATATATATATATATATATATATATATATATACATATATATATATATATATATTTTATTTTAATTTTATTGTAAGTAATTAAAATATGCTTTGAATTAATAATTGTTATATATTTCTTACGTATTGAGCTCACATTGCTAATTTCATAGATAAACAGTATAATAGAAAATGCAAGTACCTTTAATAATTCTCGATTTTCTGATAATTTTGTATACGGGAACATATTTGCCATGTATTCAAAAATTTTTATCATGGGATACCATGCCACGTAATCTTTCTCTCGCTTTAAATAGCTTGCGAGTTCCCAGAATATGGAGAAATTAAGTCTTTCAGTTTTCGCCATATAGAATGCGTCATCAATTATCTGTGCTCGATTGAGAACATGTATCTTTTTATAGTTTTCAGAATTTAAATAAACTGCAAGCCTCCACCAATTCTCAGAATCATAGTTGACGCGATAAAAACCTATTATTAAATAAATAAATTTTATCAATTATATTTTAGTCAATTATGTAATAAAAAATATTTTGAATTATTATATGTATTTCTCATATTTTAAGCATGTATACATTGTAATAAAAATTGAGCGCATTATCAAAATTTTTATTTTTATTAAATCTAAAATTATATCATACCACATAAAATTATAAACAAATTTAAAAAATTAAAAAATTAAACGATGTAAAAAATTGTTTAAACTTAAACTAATTTTGAAAGTTACAAAAATTATAAGTACTTTTATAAAGTACGTTTAATCTTAACTTTAACGACAATGTTGCAATATATACTTAATACAATATTGTTTGTATAATATGAATATGTGAAATATAAATTCAATTTTTATAAATTTGAAAATAAAAATATGTAATATAAATAGATTTTTGTATAATAAAAAGATAATGATATTTAAACATAATGATTTGATATTAACCAGTTTGTTGTAAGTTGACAATAATCCAATTAGAATTATAATCAATTTCAATTTTTATTTCTGGATGGGACTGCGTTAAACAATATTTGATATTCGGGGACGTTGCATCAAAATTGATGTTTTTTTCATTAGTATAAGTTACAGGTATAAAATATTCCTGATCCAGATCGTTATAAAGCTCTTTTGAAATAGTCACACAACTGCATTTAGCATATTTAGAATAATCTCGTGTGACATTTAACACCGTACACCTATTCTGCATAATCCAAATATCCATTATCTTTTTTATATTCCGATAGTACTCTGTAGAATACTCTTCAGGATTGTTAATTATGTGGTTATTTATGACAGCCTGCATAATGTCCCGTACATCATAGAGAATTTTTCTATTATAATAAGTATATCTGTAAAATTTAACATTGTGATAATAAACACGATTTATATATATTATACATATAAAATACATATGCTTATAAAAATATATACAGGGTGTAACTAAACGAAGATATACGAAGCACACCATCAGGTGCAGGACGACAAACTAAATCGAAAAGTCCTGAGCTATTTTTTAATCTAAACTTTATTTTGGGTGCTATAAATTGTTAAAGTTTGCCAATTAGCGCGTGGCTACAGCAGAAAACAGCGTAGACGCCGCCTTAGTAGGCGTACTAAGGCCTATTAGATTTTGCATTAAATAATTACAAATTCATATAAACACACATAATTATATAGATCATATTGAAAGCAACGTGGGGTGGACCTTGTATAAATTTCTCTGATAATATATATTATTATTCCAAAATATTTTTATTAAACATATATATAAACATATATGTGTTTTTCTGTGTAATACTTATTAATTATTTGAAATATAAAACTAAAAAATTATTGTTCAAAATATATATACACGTACATACACACATACACATGTATATACATACATATAATATACATATATTATTTGCATGTAATATACATACATTATATTACTTGCATGTGATATAAATATATTGTATCATTTATATATATTTTATTTCTTGAAATTTGACTTCTTTTGCAAAATCAAATGCAAATTAATAAATAGCATATATTTCATCATTATATCATAATGCTGGTTACTTACCGCATTACCAAATATATTTCAATGCTAGTCTGAAATGTATTACTGATAAGTACTTTTTTGAACATGCGCCACATTACCGCTCCTATAATAGAAACATAAAATATGTGTAAGTATATATGTATATTTTAAATAAATTAAAAGCACAGTTCATACATTTGTAAAGATATAACTATTATGGTATATAGAAAAAATAATTTTAAATAAAAATTAATTTTTTTTCTCTTATAGTAAAATTAAAAAATTAAGAGCAATTAAATGTACAATTAAATGTTTTAATTGTGCATTTAATTGCTCTTAATTTTTTATCTGTTTTTAGATATTTTGATGTGTAGAAATTATAATGAAACCATTGTTTAATCATATTTACAGATTTATGTACAAACATTTATATAAAGATTGAAATATTATATGCACCCCATAATATATGTATATATATATATATATTTATATATATGTATATATATACATATACATATATAATGTAAGTGCATACTTAATTAAGTGCGTACTTAAATATACATAAATATATTATATGCATACATACCTATAATGCGAGAAAAAGGAAAATTAATCGAATCAGTTTTAGTTACACAACTTGTATATTCAATAAAATACTTTATAGAAAAATGATCATTTAAATGAAAAACTTCTTGTTGAATCTGGACTATAAACAAGTCCATCATCCGTGAATCTGGTAAAGCCTATAGACAAATTGATGTATCTGAATAAATATACAATGGTAAAACAAAAATCACATTAACAATATTACATAAAATTATATTAGCTTTTTAAAGAAAAATTTTCTATTTTATATCATAATTAAAAATTAAGTATTTTTATTAGGAATATGTATAACATAATAAATGATATTTAACATAAAAAATGATACTAAAAAATGGCCGAAAAGAAGGAGGTGTATATCGTGTTTTATATTAAAGAGCCGATCTAATATTCTTATTATCAAAAAATATAATTTTAAGATTTTTTCGAATTATACTAACATAATATAAACATATTATTTGATCCATAATATATTTTTTCCAAATAATTAAGATATTTTAAGAAATTAAAGAAAGAAGAAAAATATACCAGCATTTTTTCTATTTTTAAGAAATAAAAAATAAGTTTTAGAAATGTTTATTTTATCATAATATTGAAACAAAAAATTTTCTAATAATTAACGTTTGTAATATCCTTGTCAATGATATAATAACCTTGTCAATGATATACGTTTCAAGAAACATAAAAAAGCCTTCTTTTAAGAAATGTTGAAACGGACAAGGCGTATTAAAGAGATTTCTAAACCAATGATGCGTTATATCGTGACTAACTGATTGGATAACCATAGTTTTTATTGCAGGAGGATCAAATTCTTCATTATATGCATAATTACTTTCTCTGAAAATTTTAAATAATATGATTATATTGAAATTTTGTTATATATATAAGCTTGCATAATTTGCTTATGTAAAATATGCATATATAATAGAAGGAGGTAGTTTACATTTTGTAAAATAAAATTTAAAAAAATTTAATTAGTAGTAGAATGCATGAATTAATTTTTAATAAATTTAAACAATCCGCAAATTTTTTGTTTGATGTGATCAAATATGATAATGAGATTATTGATAAAAATATAAACATATAAGTATTTTTTACATTAGAAATAAAGAAAAAAATAATTTTAAATAAAAAAATCTTTTTTCTTTTATAACAAAATTAAACATTTAGAGCAATTAAATTGTGCAATTAATACTTCTACTCAATTAATAATTTTTTAAATTCTTGATTTGTTTTAAAATAGAAAAAGTATGTGTGAATGTACGAATGTGGCTATTACATACGATATAAATGTAATTAAGTTATTCTGTAATTTTATAATATATTTGTTATCGTCATTTATTAAAATTAATTATCAAAAATTCTCAAACATAAGCATAAATTTGCGATTTATGAAATTTAGTCTAAATTCTAAGTGTTAAAATAATCAAATAAAATGTACTTGTTAAATATATACCTTCTATTAGTATAATTTTAACAATATATAATACACTGAAAAAATTTATAAAATTAATAAATATTTATTTCAATACCGGTTTATATACATCATTTATTTGAAACAAATAAATATTTATCTGATTTTAAAAATATTTTTTTTAATCAAATAAATAATTTTTGACATAAAATATTATTAGTTTCAAATAAATTAATAATATATATTTATAAAGGAGTAGTGAAATAAATATTTATTCAAATTCAATAATTTTTTTTCAATATAGGTATAAAGAAAAGCGTATATCTTTGAATTTGAAAAATTTTTAATCTAAAAATATGTTTCAATTATATATATATATATATATATATATATATATATATATATATATATATACTTCTGAAAAATAAGTCCCAACGTTTCGTCGAATTTCCTTTCGAGGTTTGGAAGAATGATAAAATCCAGTTTTGGCAATGCTTTATTGGATAAGGAATTTAAAACCCTGCTGACTCTACCAGCAACCTGTTCAGCTAATGTTATGTATGGTATAAAGTTCGATCTGCACCACATATTAATCGCATTATTCGTCGAATTAGGAACCAGTTTTAATTTTTCAAATATTACAAATGCTACGTCGTTTGGCGACATTGGAAATGTTGTTTTGAATATTGTACGCCTTTCGTATTTACTTATATCTATATATTTTTTTATCGCCATATTCGACAAAACATCGTAAAATGGTTGGTGAGTAATAGAGATATCGAACGTGGTACGGAATTTCGTCTCTTCAAAGCAAGGAAATAAATGTCGGCTCTCTCTCGGCTGGTTCAAATTTGTAAATAACACCCTGCAACATTTGAACATGTTTTAGATGACAAAATGGATTTAGCAATGTTGTAAATTGCAGAATGTATACCAGTGCAATGTAGAAAATAAATAAATAATAAAGTAATATTAGAAAAATATTCGGCATATTTTACCATTAATTTACATTATATTATATATAATTTATAAGCAGTAAAGGATAACAATTTCTAAATAAAAATTTGAATATTTATATATATTTTTAAATCTCTTTTATAATTTATATTTTTTATAACTGTTTATACATAAGCTTAAAAATAATGTTATCTGAAAATTATCTAAATGAATCGCCATATACTTTTATCTTTTATCTAGATATATTTAAAACAAAATAATCTTTAACTTGACTTATCTAATTGTAAGATAAATTTACATATTTTTATCTCATCTTTATCTAGCTAATTTTAAAATCATCTATAAGCATAACACTGTCAGTGCAATATAAATAATATTTGAAAGATGTCACATTTGGCATATTAAATTATTAATTTACATTATAATATATTTTATTACAAAAAAGCTAAAATATAAATCATACAAAATACTATTTTTATTTAACGTATAAGACGGGCAACAAGAGCCAAATCGCGGATGACAATGCGTTATCCTAACGAAACTAAATAATTTTTCGTTAGAATTAAATACCGGTGCACAAGGCACCAAATTTTTACTTGGACACGGCCAAGATTTTAAATATGAAATAATCTCATATTTTGAGATTTAATTTCAATACCCCTTTAACCCCCCTACGGAAAATAAATAAATGAATGCAAGAGAAAAATATAGATCCGAAAATCGCTGAATCGGGAATCGAACCCGAGACCTTTCGCTTGCCGGGCGACTGCTCTTCCTAAATCTCAAAATATGAGATTATTTCATATTTAAAATCTTGGCCGTGTCCAAGTAAAAATTTGGTGCCTTGTGCACCGGTATTTAATTCTAACGAAAAATTATTTAGTTTCGTTAGGATAACGCATTGTCATCCGCGATTTGGCTCTTGTTGCCCGTCTTATACGTTAAATTTATATTTATATTACAGAGCCTTGTTAAAACTCTTATACTATTTTTATTGTTTAATTTTCTATATAAAACAATGATAAAGGGCATAGCAGAATAAGCATATATGTACTGCCCCCACTAGAATCTGGTTGAAATTTTTACAATAAGTTGACATTGATGTGAGATTAAATTTCCTAAAAGATTATATTTAAAAAAAAAATTTTATGGGAGTTATGGGGGTAAGAAAAAAATGGAAAAAAATTTTTTTCTCGAGAAACGGCTGAATCGATTTTGATGAACTAAATATAAGTTATGGGTTTCAATGCTATAATGTTGTTAAACAATTACGGATTTTTTTTTTTACAAAATACGCGTAAAAAAATTTTCAAAATATTTTTGAATTTTTTTATGGGATGCACTAGAGGCACTATCATCATTTTTTCCCCAAAAAATCTTTACGTTTGATTGCATATATATAATACCTTTATTTTAAATGTTCTCCTTAATCGAAGTTGCCTAAATAACTGACAAACACTATTTTCGAAAAAAATAGCAAAAATCTTTAAAAATTACAAATATTGGAACTTTTGCCTGACTTTTCGAAGTAAGTGCTTATTATAATTTTGTAAATATTAATTTTTTTAAATTGAAATAATGTGTAAACAACCAAGAAATGCAATTTTTGAAAAAATATTCGAAAAATGCTTCCCTTAAAAAATTAAAAATATTTGAATCTTCTTTTCGCCAATAGCTTAAAAAATTTTTTTGAAATAAAAAATGTTATATATTTTTTATGAAAAAAATCGAGGAAGTCTTATTGAGGAAAAAAAATAATTTCGGTTAAAATGAACTAAAACACCATTAAATGTTCTTTTTGTAATTATCTCAATATTTTGTTTGAAAAATACATTCAAAGACAAAAAATGACCACCTTATTAATGACAATATAATTATTATTTAAATTATAAATATTTAAAATTTTTTTAATTTAAAAAAATCAATGTTTTTAAAAATATATAACTCGGAAATTAATAAAGATAAAAATCTAAAAAAATTTATAAAAGCTACTTTTAATATATACAAAAAGATAAAAAAATGAAGCAAATAAAAAATGGTCAGGAAAAAGTGTTGTTAATTTGGTATGGAATGCCCCATATATATATTGTTACGTCCCTGGATTGCATCCCCTGTATCATGTTGCTATGAGGATAGTTTATTGACAGCCGATGGGGTATTGTTTAACGGTGCCATGTCAGATTCGATCGACAATTTTGAGACCGATCGGTCGTGCGGTTTCGCGATACATTTATTCGCGAATTTCTTGTATCTTCCATTATTATTAAAGTAACTGTTATTATTTAATTACACCTTGTTTATTTCCTTTCACGAGTGCGTGTGTGCAGGAGTAATGTCGCGTTTCCGATAAATATCGCGAAGTCGGTCCGCGGATGTAACAATATATATATACATATATATATATATATATATATATATATATTACTATATATATATATATATTAATATATATATATATATATATATATATATTATTATATATATACTTTTTATTTTTAATATATTTTTGCATTTATTTACCTAAAAAGATCTCCATCTTCTCTGAATATTGTTTGAAAAAGCTTCGTCTCATTATAGTATCTAAGTTTAAAATTGTAATTTTCGTATTGTATGTTCAAAGTAAACGTTTCATATAAGTTATTAGGATTATATAAGAAGCTATTAGATTCCCGCAGCTCAAGTAAATTGTCGAAATCGAGAATAAGGATGTCCTCTCCATAATGATAATTTATCATCGGATTAAATATGAGACTACTATTAGTCGACTGTAAATTTACATTCATTACTCTTAAATGAGTTGTTAGACGTAGAGTTATGTATCGTACCATACAATTTATGTAAATTTCAAGACTAGACTTGGCATAAAAAGAGTGTTGTGGCATCAGATTTATATGAACAGATTGATGAAGAGGTACCAAACAGCTTTGGTTATGAAAATGAATATCGTTGTACCACTTAATCCTCGCATTTTCATCGACAGAAAAAGCTGTTGTCATTACAACGATAAATAACAAAACATTTGATGACAATTTTAGGAACATCATGGTTGATTTTTGCCTCAGATATCTGCAAAAATATTTCTTTGACAAAAAATGGAACAAAAATTTTAGAGAAATAGGGAACAAGTAAAGATGCAAAGGAAGCACAAAATTGTCAATTTTTGTAAAAAAAAAAAAAACATTTTAAAAATAATTACAACAGTTTGAAAAAAGATACAGAACATATTTGAACAGTTGTTCATACACGAATTTTTATATATTTTATATTTTTATATCCTTTTCCTATATTATGCATGTTAAGATAAATATAAAGTAAAAAATTATGAGCAATTATTTAATTTCAAGACAAGATTCATTTCTTAAATTTATACAATATGTAAATATAAAATAAAAAATTGTAACTATTTAATCTCAAGAAAACATATTTAAGTTAAGTACATACGTTTAAATCAATTATTGTTACCCAAATTGAAATTTGTATATATATTTAAGTTAAGTACATACATTTAAGTCAATTATTGTTACAATACATAATCAAAATTCTTCTTAAGTTAAAAAATCTAAACTTGTTTTATTTCTCACAAGCTTATTTTTTAAATTGATCAAAGTTATGAATAATTAAATTTCTTAGAAAATTTTAATTTCTTATAACTTTTAAATCTTTTAATGCAATTATACATATATTTTTCTCATTATAATATCGTACAAAACAAATTGTTTGAGAGACACAGCATAAAAAATTTTGAATTAAAAATAATATATTTAATTATAAATATAATATAAGCACAAGAATGTATAAAATAATTTTGTCGAATAACTGAGCTTCGTCTTGGTAGTTATATTTATCAATATGTTATTATCACTTTTGTGTCATATATGTACTAAAAAAAACAAACAATAAAAAGCAACTGTTGTACGCTTAAAATTCAATTTATTTGAAATTTTATTGATATATTGGTTTTATGAACAAATTCAACTGATTGTGAATCTGAATAAAAAATGTATTGTATATATAGCTTTTTATTACTTTTATTGTATATAAATTTTTTATTATTTTTATCGTTATATACACATTTTTTTAAGTAAAAAAATTTACTGTTTATTCTTTTTTTACATTTATTACAAAAGAGATATGACTCTAATGTCCATTAGAAAAAATATGTATTAAAACAAAGCACACAAAATGTTTAAGTTTTAATGTGTTATATATTAAAATAATCAAATCATAATACTACAATTCACGCCTAAATTTTAAATATAATATACAAAGAAAATAATAATTGAACTAGAAAGGAACATGTAAATGTGTTTTCTTCAAGATTAAATAAAATATATTAAAAAAATTAAAATTCTGTAATCGTGTCTTCTCTCACATAATTTTATATATGTATATTTAAACAAAATATCAAAATGTTCTGCATTTAACTTACCCTGTTTATTGAATCACGATCCGTTATTAATCAACACTTTGTTTCTCACTTTTGATCTGATCACTTCGGAAGATCATCGAAAACTGACGACGCTTGTGTTATAATAACATATATGATATGAAGTAAGAATATCATGTAAATAGCTAATCATTAAAAAACTAAATTTTTCTGTTCAGCCAATAAATTATTTACAAATATAATATATATATATATATAAAATATACATTTTTGTTGAAAATATTTTATTTCCGTAAATGATTAAAATATGTCCCAAGTTGTTACTTTTGCACATTGAAAATGTAAGTACCTTAAAATGTTCGCGATTCGATGGCACTTTTGAATACGCGAAAATATTTGCTATGTATTCTAAAATTTTTATTATGGGATACCATCTTTCTCCCGTCGAAATAAATATTTCGCGAGTTTCCAGAATATGGCGAAATCAAGTTTTCCACTTATCGCCATATAAAATGCGTCGTCGATGATTTGCGCTCGATTGAGAACATGTATATTTGTATAGCTTTAGAATTTAAATAAAGTGCAAGTCTCCGCTAATTCTCGGAATCATAATTGACGCGATAATAATCTATTATTAAATAAACAAATTTTATCGATTATTTTTATCAATATCTATATCTATATATATATAAGCACTGTCTGTCTGTCTGTCTGTCTGACCGCGAACTACTTTCACATTTAATTTTTTTTCGTAAAGCAAAGAAACATATAGAATTGTATCTTTTTGGCATTCAGCATTTTGCAATTATAATTATATTAAAAACCATTTTATTTTTATTATTTTATAAAAAAATTAAAAGGAATTAATATATAATAATAATAATAATAATAATATTGTAAATATATTAATAATAAAATACTAAAGTTTTATAAAAATTAATACAAAACAGTAACGCTGATATTAATATTAACTATTACATTAGATAAAAATTAATACACAAATTAATATAAAATATAATGCTAATATATTAACATTAACTATTACATTAAATGTACTAAATAAATATTAACAATAAGTTATCAAAATGTTAATGTTTATTACCAATTATATATATATATATATATATATATATATTAAAAATATTTTATATTAATTTAAGTACACATCTCAGTATTAATATTTAATAAGGTGTTACATAATCAATATACATAATATAAATATACACACATATATTGCATGTATATGTATAATAAACATTACGTAAATAAAATTAATATTTAAATAAATATTTAAAACTAATAATATAAGAGCTTATTTAACGTTAAATACATTTAAAATATAATATAACTAAAAACGCGAATCAAGAAAATAATTACCATCAAATTGACATATAAGTGACTCAAATTTATACAAATAAATAATAAATACGTAAAACATTATAAATGAGGATTTAATAAATACTGGATTTTATAATAAGAAATTGTTAATGTAGTTGCACCTATAATAATTCAATTAATGCTGAGCTTCTCGTACAAATTTCGAATAAATTCCATATGGTGTGATATCTTTTGGTTACGTATTATAAATGTGGGTGATATTTGATATATAAGGTTTGGTGATAAAATACGTGTCGCGAATTTATGTATCTAAAATAAATATTTTAATTTTAATTTTTTATCAATCAGTAATTTCATAATAAATAGTGTAAACCATTTTTTCAAATAGTAATAATAAGTAATTATATCGACCCAGCAAACACCGATATATAATTGTTACATTGCTATAATAAAACGGAATATAACAGATAATATAACGTGTACGTTACATGTAACATCCATGTTAGTTGTAATTTTCCACTCATAGATATAACATTTTAATATAACATATATTACATTGTAGTTATATTGTAATTATATACCAAATAGCACATTGATGTATTGATAAGTCAGTGCTATCTTGAAATATAATGACAATATAACTACAATGTAATATATGTAATATTAAAAATGTTACATCTATGAGTGGAAAATTACAACTAACATATACGTTACATGTAACATGCTTAAGTATATAACATTTATATACTGTGTTTGCTGGGGATATACAATAGAGTGTTTCATTTAAATTTTGCCTTAGATTGGCAAATATATCTCTGAAATTAAACCAAATAAGAGAAAATATTTAAATAAAAGTTGTAAAAAATGTTTAAGTAAAAGATTTCGAGGAATAAAGTTAGCATTTGTAAAAGTTTGTAATTTGCAATTAGCAGCTATAATATACTTTTTAAAAAAAACAATTGTGTTTTTAACACTAATTGATTTTCCTCATTATATGCATAAAAGTTTTTAAATAAGAAACCATCGAAAAAATAAATATTTGACAAGATTTTATAATTTATGTAAAATTATGTTATATTAAAGTAAAATATCTCGTAAATTATTCACTTTTCGGTTGTTCTAGCTTAATAACTTTTTAAGTCAAATATTGCGAGGAATAAATTTATATAAAAAAATTAAGGTAGTTTAATTAAAAAAGAAAAAAAATATATATATGCGTGTGTGTGTACATATATAAATGACTTTTAAAAGACCTTGAAAATTGCTCTTGGAAATCAGACAGTAGCGTTAATTTTTTCTTCTCAAAATCCTACAACCTTTATTTAAATATTTAAACATTTATTTCGCATTTTGTTTAATTTCAGAGACATTTGCCTGGAGAAATAAAAATGAATTAATCATCTTATTGTATAATCGTAAAAAGATATTTAACAATAAAAAAAGAGAAAAATATGTATACATTATATATGTATACATATGTATGTTAAATAATATACAATTTAATATATATATAGTACCATTTAAAAATAAATAAATTATATATGTAAAAATTTTATATAGATATAAGGATAAAATTTACCGTGCTAATTTGTCTAGATGAAAGTGCACTATTAATAATTACCGTCATTGCTGCATTCGTACTGATATGTCTATAAGAACAAATAGTATATATAAAATTATAATTAACACATACGTATAATAAATCTTTATGATAATGAGCAATATATTTTTTTCAAAGAAAAGATGCTAATTACATAGGCCTCATCTTTTCAAAATTCTTCAACAGTTCTTCAAGTCCTTTAGTCGTCTTAGCATGTCTCGAAAGAGCAGAAAGATACATATTAGTAATTAAAGCATACATCTTATTGTTCTCTTTTATCATCTTTTCATCTATTGGTATATCCTTCATTATAATATTTTCATATAGAAGTGTTTGTGTAACAGACAAATAATTCTGGATAATTAGATGATCCTTAAAACAACTAAGTAATTCAAACACTGCCGCATTTTCCCTTTTCATAGACACTGCTTTTTTCAATACTTTTGATACATGATCCCATAAAGAATTGTTTGCAGTCTTTAAACCATTACATAAAATCCATTTCCGCCAATCAGGCAAAAATCTGTAACAAAAAAAGTATTTATTTTTCAATATGTCTCTTATCAATATATTTAACTATAGTCTTTTTATTATTAATACCTAAAAATAAGGTCTATATATATGTATAATTGAATATAAATTTATATAATTATGTATATAAAAGATCCCAGCAAACACCGATATATAATTGTTACATTGCTATAATAAAACGGAATATAACAGGTAATATAACGTGTACGTTACATGTAACATCCATGTTAGTTGTAATTTCCCACTCATAGATGTAACATTTTACAATAATATAACATATATTACATTGTAGTTATATTGTAATTATATACCAAATAGCACATTGATGTATTCTTGAAATATAATGACAATATAACTACAATGTAATATATGTAATATTAAAAATGTTACATCTATGAGTGCGAAATTACAACTAACATATACGTTACGTGTAACATGCTTGAGTATATAACATTTATATACTGTGTTTGCTGGGTGTATACATATTTATATTTGATTTTGTGTTTTTTTCTTCAGCAATAAATATATCAAATACAAACGCACAAGAGTTAAAGAAATACAGAAATATAATAATTAAAAGACACTTACGTATTTTTTTCACTATTATTTAGATATAATTTTAATTGGTTTTCAGCTGCTTTAATGCACAAAGGATGATCAAAGAAACATGCCCATTTTGAGCGTTCTTGTACTAAACATTTATCAAAATCGTTGTTAGTTGGTACTGTTGGACCGTACATATGCTCTCCTAAAGGATCAAATATGCTGCTTATGTTCAATACTATTTCCTGAAACTTGATAAAAAATAAGTTTTTATATATTTTAGTCATAAAATTATTTACAAATACATATGTATAATATATGTATACATATATGCGAAAAACCTACATTTTTATTGAATATTTTATTTCCGTAAAAAATTAAAATATATCCCGAATTAATTAATCTCTTGAATAATTTTTTATATTGTTTAAATATATACAAATCTATAATAGGTTTATTTTTTTACGTAATTCAAAATTTTTTCTAATTCTTTTTAACTAATGTTTCTAATTAATTTTTTTCTAACTAATATTAGATCATTACAGAGAAACTAACGGATAAAAAATTTCAAATTTTCACAAAGATATTATATGTATAATAAATGTTTGTAATTAAGTTACTTATCATTTATCATATTATATTTTTTTAAATTAACACTCAGTTCAAATTTTTGATATAATTTTTGATATAATTGCAAAAGCTTACTATACTTCCAAATAAAAGAAAAACTACTGTAAAAATAACAAAGCTACAAGTAATGCGTTACATTTTGATTCTAAAAAAATACAGCGCATGCGATTATAAGATTTCCGTATAATTATCATATAATTAAGTTTATTATTATTTTTATTATCTAATATCTTATTACCTATAAGAGCAAGTCCGAATTTTGATATAAAATTGTTACGATATAATTAATAATGTTGTTAATGATATAATTTTGTTGACCTAGTATTTGACACAATTTTATTGTAATATACTTTATTAATAACGGTACCTTTATCACCGTGGAAAATTGTACTGGATTATACTGCAATGCATAAATATTTGATATATATTCAAAAATTTTGAACATAGGGTACCATGCTATATAATCTTTCTCTCGCCATAAGTATTTCACAAGTTTCCAGAACAAGCAAAAATTAAGTTTATTATTTATTGCCATATAAAATGCGTCATCGATGATTTGCGCTCTATTGAGAACATGTATATTTGTATATTCGTCAGAATTTAAATAACTTGCAAGATTCTGCCAATTCTTGAAATCATAGTTAACGCGATAGTATCCTGATATTAAACAGATAAATGTAATATTTTTTAATGATTAAAATAAAAAATATTTCGATTTAAATTAATTTTATTTTTGCACATTGCTTTAAACGCATATAAACTATTTTATGTAAAAACTAAACCTATATGATCTGAGGAAATAAATGGCGTACAAAATTGTATAAATTTAAATTAATCATATAGCTAGAAAAATAATATTTACCTAAATGTGTTTAATAATTGTGCAAAATATTATAAAAAATATTATTGTTATATAATATATGTAAAATATAATTCCAAAATTTACAAAAATATATTGTATAAGTAATAAATATATGTAACAAAGAAAGAATGTTATAATAAAACTAATAATATATTATAATTTATATTACAATTTATTTAATATTTACCAGTTTGTTGTATATTGACAATTATCCATTTAACTTTTTCATCAAGGAATATTTTCATCGTCGGTTTGATTTCTGATAAATAATTAGAAATATTTGGCCTATTTGCGACAAAATTGAAGTCTGTATTTATAGTAAAGGTGACGGGTATAAAATATGGGCTTTTATCCGATTTGTCGTCCAAATTCTTCGATATTTCCACTTCTCTGGTTTCATAATTTCGTATCACATTTAGCACAGGACAACACTTTTCTTTAGTCCAAATATCAATCGCTTTTTTCACCTTCCATAAATTCGATAAATCCTTAAATGTGTCCTTGTGTCTTCTTGCAGCAGCTTCCATCGTATACCACAGATCGTCGGGAGTTTTAAAATTAAAGGAAGTTTGACTGTAAAATTGAAAAGTATGGCAATAATTACTACATAATATAATTGATTTGATTCGTATAAGGAAAATATAAAATTTTAATGAGTTTTAACGGATACTTAAAAAGTCAATTGATTTGAAGCAGCGGCCGATTTTCTTACAAAAATATTTAAATCAGCTATTGCATAAAATAATGCTAATGTACATATATATGTCCCAGCAAACACAAATATTACAGTAACATAACATAGATGTAATAGTTATGTTACAATGTAACATTTACATCTATGTTATGTTACTGTAATATTTGTGTTTGCTGGGATATATATATGTATACAAGGTGTCCGGTAAATAACGGACCAACGATTACAAATTGATTTTTTAATCAGTTTTGGAACGATTTTTCCTCAGCGAAAATGTCGAAAAACATCATGATTTTTTACAACTTTCCAATATTTGTCATTATGTATCTTTATAACTAAGCCTCAAATTAAAATTTTATTATAGTAAACTCTACCTGAAATTAACTGAAGAATGTGATTATGTTAGACTTTTAACTCCAAAACGTTTAGTTTTCAAAAAACGCATTTTTTTCAATCGCTTATAACTCGAAAATTATTGACTTCTCAACATTTTTGCTAAGGAAAAATTGTCTCCAAATTGGCCAGAGAATCCGCTCTTAATCATTGGTCCGTTAATTACCGGACACCCTGATATAATTTTATTTTTTAAATTAATTACTTCATCATTTTATTAACATATTTTAGTGTTTTTGTTATATTTAAGAAAGTGTAATGTATAAATGCATATTATTGTATACTTTATATCTAGGTATTTGTACATATGCATAATATTTTAATTATAATATTTCTTATCTGATTTTTAATTATTTTGTTGTTGACTGATTTAACTTTTTAACAGCATTTCTCAATCTTTTATTTTCCAAATTTCTGTTTGTTACATATGCAAAGATGTCATCGGGTACACTTTCATAAACCTAGCGTATATATTTTTTATCTTCTTTACTTTTTGTGTTTTGTAAATATATATTTATTATATAAAAATAGAAAATTTCGCAAATATCGATGAATAATATAATATATTGTTTAATACATAATATGCTTTAATAAGTCTTACATTCATATATTAATTTATTATATTAATAATTTTTATAATTAAGATTGTTATTATTGCCAGTTGGACTTCAATTTGTATTAAAACCATGGTTTTATTGTATGTAACAAACAGAAATTTGGAAAATAAAAAATTGAGAAATGCTGTTAAAAAGTTAAATCAGTCAACAACAAAATAATTAAAACTCAAATAAGAAATATTATAATTAAAATATTATGCATATGTACAAATACCTAGATATAAAGTATACAATAATGTCTGCAGACAGTTTATATAATTATAATATATGTTTCAAAATTTTGTATTATATAACATATTTGAGAAGAAATATATTTTTCTTTGGTTTTTTGTTTCTTTGTGAAGAAAGTTTTATGTTTCAGTGTGTTATTAATATTTAATAATTATAAAAAATAAGATTTAAAATAAACGGGAGTTCGGATCATAGAAAATAAAAATTTATTTTAGAAAAACCTTATATATAGTAGTCATATTTAGGGAAACTCTTATAATTATAAATATTATATTATTATATAAGTAACACTTACTTTACATACGTATGGAGAGATTTCCAAAATACATCGTGAGCTAAATATTCTAACATGCGCCATATAACGGCTCCTATAAAAATATAAAGTATGCGTAATTATATATATTTTAAATAATTTTAACCCATAAAATGTTCATAAATTTGTAAACATAGCTAATAGTACTACATGAAAATTATGATCATAAAATTAAAATGATTTTTTTATAACTAGAATATATGCAAATAAAAAGAAATAAATGTAGAATTGTATTTAATTATTTTTTTCTTATTGATATACCTATATGTTTATGATTGACAATTTAATTAGTGTTTAATCATATTATTTACAAATTTGTTATATATGTATATTACATAAATATGTATATATTATATATTTTAATTAATTGAATTATACATAATTTAAATGTAACATACATACCTTTAATAGGAGAAAAGGAAATAACTGGATTAATTTTAAATATATCGCCTGTATATTCCATACAATTAGCTGTATCCTTTGATGTTAAATAACGAGACTCATATTGATTCTGAACTACAAACAAGTCCATCATCCGAGAATCTGGAAAGGCCTACGAACAAATTGATGTATCCAAATAAATATAAAATGATAAAAAATATCACATAAATAAATAAAATGTAATAATATATAAAATTATTAGCTATTTCTAAAGAAACCGTTACTCTTTTATATATTAATTTAAATTATAACATTTTTTAAATTTTCTAATTAAAAATATGTATATAATTATTTGACGATTTGATGAAAATTATTATTGCAGATTAAAAAATATAAACACAAGTTTTTCCTAAAATCTAATAACATATTTTAAGTGCATATTATTTGCTCTGTTATATTTTTTTCCAAATATAGTGATGACTCTTATAAAAAAAGCTACAAGAATACTAAAAAAATTATTGGTATAACAATACTTTATTATCGAAAAACTATATTATTATATTAGTAATTTTTTTGTATTTTATTTTTTGTGTAAGGGGATATTGTAAGAAAATGAAAAAAAATAATATAATGATATCTCTTCTATATTTTTATCGAAAGAGAAGACAAGTTCAAAATTTATATCTTGTCAGAATATCACAACCAAATTTTTTTATATTAACGTTAAAAATGTTAGACAACAACCTTATCGAGGATGTATGTTTCGAGGAACATAACGAAGCCTTCGTTTAACCACCAGTAAGACAAACAAGAAATATCGAAGATATAACCATATCCTCCTTGAGATATTATACTATGAGCTATTGTGCGCATCACTGTATGTTTATGCGCAAAAACATCTAAGGATTCGTCGTAGATTACGTCAAATTCACTGAAAATTGTTCGTAAATAATGTGATTATGTTGAAAAATTTTGTTATAAACTCGCATATTTTGCTTATGTAAAAACAAAATGTCTTTACATAAGTATATTAAATATAAGTTAAGTATTGTAAAATATATAATAATTAAAATTCTAATAAACATAAGAATGAATTAAATAAACTTTGGTAACCAAAAAGATGGTAGTGTTATGTAAAAATTCATTTAATGTACTTAATATATGTTTTGATTTTATATATATGTAACCATTTAAAATAACTTTAGTTTTTTCTCAAAATCAAAGTATGTATAGTAATTTTATTTTGCAATATTTTTGTTCTGCACATTTATTTCTTAAAGTAATAAAATAAATCATCTTCTAACACTTTTTTGAATAATATATAAAAAATATGGAAATAATATTCTTACAATAAATTCAATAATTAGAACGAAAACAAAATAAAAGCATATATTTCTGAATTATATATAACTACTCTCTAATTGTTAAAATAAATAAATAAATGGATAACTCAGTAAAAAAATTTATATATAATTATATATAACAATATAAAATTATATAGAAATATATACAATTTTGTGTGTAAATTATGTATAATTATATATAATTTTATTATATATGACTTACCTAGAATATTATTTATTTCTACATTATTACATGTATATGAATTTTATATTATTATATATAATTATTTAAAAAATTTTTTATCAGGAGTATCGTTATAAATCTATTATATTTAATTAAGTTAGATGTAACAATAGAAGTAGAAAAATATATATCTTAAAATTAAAAACTTTAAAGTTTAAAATTTTAAACAGTTTTTAATAATTTGTTACGATTATTCCTAGAATGTATGTATATATATATATATATATATATACATATACATATATATTACTTGAAAATAACCAGACCCCTGGTCCGCCAAGTTTTGTCCTCGAAATTCGGTAGAACGACAATATCTATTTTGGAACAATTTGGAAGATTTTCCATTCGTTTCTTAAATATAGAATTAAAGTTTCAGCAACATTAATCGCGACTTTCATGTGGGCTGTCAAGTGCTGTCTGCACAATACTGAGTCGAATATATTATTTGATCCTATCTTCGTTTTCCGTAAATAAATCTGATTCATTGTCTTGAATTTATATATCACAATTGCTATGTCGTTCGGAGACATTTCAGATGTCGTATGAAAACGAGTAAATATTATTTCTTCAGTATTATTATAGTCTTTTTCCGTAAATTCTTGCATCATATTTGTTATAAAAATGTTTGACACATGATGTTGAAAAGTAATGTTAAAAATGGCACTTAATTCCGGTTCGTCCAAACATGGAAATAATTCTCGAGCTGTTCGTGGCTGGTTTAGTATCGCGAATACCCTATCACATTTTAATGACATGATTTAGAGAATGACAACTTTTTAACAATCACTGGTACAATCATTAAAGAAGCATTACAGAATGTACCAGTGCAATATATAAATAATATATAAATATACAATATAAATTAATAATACAAAAGTATATGTAATATATAAATATATTATTTATAATATTATATATAAATATAATAATTATATACATATAATATACACATAATAAATAATAATAAATATAATAATATATATATATATAAATAATGTTTATAAAATTTAATATATATATATATATATATATATATATATATATATATATAACTGTAATAAATAACTATATACATTTGTATAAATGTATTTGTATTATATGTACACTTATATAGTTTTATATTATTTATATACATTATTACTTATTGCTAATTTTTAATACATATTTACTTACGTTTTCTGATTGTACCAAGAGGCTCGCGAAAACGCATTTTTATACCAAATATACAGAGGTATATTAGGTCGAGCAACCAAATTGTTTACAAATTCTATATTCACAATATAAATTTCAGACTCCAATTTATATGGCGCCAGAGGCACCGAGATAAAGACCATTATTTTATTTATTTCTACGTTTATATGATAACATGTATAGATTTTTCCACTCTTAGCCGACTTTAAATGTATGTCCAATATAGTTATAAAATTTGATACATCTAAAGCTATGGTATATGTTGGACAATTATTATAAACTATGATACTGGATACGCCTTTTAACGTAGTTATCTCTCTAGACTCTAGTTTTAGGCTCAAGTTATAATGGAGTGGTATCAGACAGTTCGTCGCAAAAGCCATTGTCTTTACGAGGATGCATAATAAAATATTTAATGAAAATTTTAGAAACATTATGTCAGCTTTTGTGTCTCAAATATCTGCAAACACAGATTTCTATTAATCGTAGAATGAAAAAACAAAAATAGACAAATAAATAATAAGGAAAATGCAAAACTATCGACTCCTGTCCGAGGAAAGGAAAATATAAAAATATTGCAACAATTTAAGAAAACATACAATCCATTTAAATAGTTGTAAACTTTTATGAAAATTTTTTCATAACATTTATATTGCATTTTATATATTTTGTATCACACAATGTATGTTAATCTTAAGTCAATAAATTTATGTCTTCTATTAATTTAATTTTTTAAAAAGTAAAAACCATTGATAAGAGTTTTATATAAAAAATACAAATTTTTTGCGAAATTTAAATGGTAAAATTCAATATTTCTTTAGTCATATTTTTCTTCGTATTTTTTTATATTTTGTACTTATCATATTATAACCATTTTCAACATACACAAATTTAAACAATTAAGAGTTAAATAGGATACAAAACAGAAATATAAAAAAATAAATGCAAAACTTTCGATTACGAAAGAAAGGAAAAATATATTTAAAAATTACAATAATTTATAAAGTTTAATTTGTCTAAATAATTTATTAATTTTATTGAGAACTTTTTATATAAATTAGGACACTACTAATTTTATTTTAATTACTTTAACTTCTTCATATTTTCTGTAATTATTGAAAACGCTTTTAATACAAATACATATAAATAAACAGTTATTTTAATAAAATATATTATCAGAACAATAAAAGTTTTTTCACATCTTTTATTATGTAACTTCTATTTTTATTCATTCCTAATGTAAAAGCAATAATGTTATATTAGATAAATTGAAATTTAAAATAAAAGAATTTAAAAATTATGCATATCATGAATAATTAGAATTATAAATGATAAATTAAAATAATAAACATTATTGATAAATAAAAAATAATAATAATAAACATTGAAATATTAAATACTGAATTAATTATAGCATAAATGGTGAAGAGATATTACTTTGGAGAAAAATATAAAAAAATAAAGAATACTTTTATTACTTTTAAAGCAAATTAATTTCATTGTTAAGATAATTTAAATCTGTGTATGACTATAAAAAAAGCTATATATGTATGTAGCCTTATTGAAATAAAGTAATTGATACTTTACCTCAGTTTTCGATGATAAAAATTTGCAAAATATAAATTAGAGCATTTATATTCTACGTGATTGTTGCAAATCCATTGTATAGGTTAAATTGTGTCTTTAACTAGTTGAATTTATAAACATTTAATATTTATTAGTTTATTTTTCAAAAATATCAAGGTTAATACGAAATATATCAAGATAAATGTGAATTTTTTTCTTCATTCACTTAATACAATTATATATTTCTGTGTAAATTATAATATTATATAAAATAAATGTGATTAAGAGATACATTATAATATTTCTTTTATAAATGTTAATTTAAAAAATGTAATTTCAAAAAGATTTAGTTCATCTGATTTCGATGATATTTTATAAAAACCTTCCTTTCAGATTAAAATTGAAGTCCCTAAAGGAAATGTTGCTCCATCTTTATTAAAAGAATTTATTAGAAGAATTGGTTACGAAATATAATTATTGTGCATATTCGTGCTAATCGTTTTGAAATATGTGAAATAAGAAGAAAGCTTTTATAATATTCTCGAGAAAATTGTTGTTCACTTTTAATTCTAAAGATATAATTATCAGAAAAATTTGAATTATAATATATTATTCTAATATTGTATTATATAGGTTTCAGCATTTTGTAATGTTTACATCCTGTTCACGCATAAAAGTATGATTTATTTTAATTTTTTTAGTCGTTATTATTTGTGCCGACCAGTATTTTTCCATTTCTGTTCAGTGTATAAGATGTGTATGAAATGAGTTGGTTAGTTTTTTTCAGGGGATACAAAAGGAAAGGCGAAGTTTATATAGGCTATGTATTGTTTTTACACACACTTCAAATTAGATAATTATTTTACTTTTTATCATTTTCTCTTAAAAAATGTGACTTTCTTATAAGTATCGAAGCTAAAATTCTCTTTAGACGTTTCCATTTTAATCTGAAAGAAAGTTTTTTATTGGGGAGATAACTGCTGTTTATTCAAACTCAGAAATATTTAATGTATAGATTTTAGCTGAAAAATATATAAAATAATTTCTTCTATATAATTGTACTTTATCCGTTATTAGTTTGATATATATATATATATATATATATATATGTTTATCAATATATGTTATTAATTTCAGACTTATATGTGTCATTTGTAAGTCATGTAATAATAAAATTCGATTTTACTTACATTATTTGCGGAATCACGAGCCGTTATTTTAGCCAAAAGTGGTAGCCAAAAGTATCACTCAATGTAGACCTTACCTCTTCGAACGATCATCAAATACTGACGGTATGATAACATAAAACACACAATTCATGTAAACATCTCCTTAAAGTCTGTATCACAACTGCGAATTGTCGACTACCTAGTCAGAATAAAGTAGGTTTAGATCCAGTCCTTTCAAAAAGTAAATATATAGTTTGTAAGATATTTTATATTTTAATTTGATGTAATTTTACATAATCTATGAAGTATCTCGTAAAATATTCAGTCCTCGATAATGTTACCTCGATACTTTATATTATGTATATAAAAAAAAATAAAAGGTATTGAGACAAAATCAATTAGTTTAATGAAAATACATAGTCGTTATTAAGAAAAAATATAATAGTTGTAATTGTTGTGCAAATGAAATATATCGAACTACAATATATAAAAAATAATATAATTATAATAATATTATAATATATTATTGTTATAATAATAATTTATAGTATATAATAATATTATAAATATTATTGTAATAATAATATGCATATAATATATTATTAAATAAAAATTTAAATCTGTTTATTTTAAGAATTGTTTGGATAATGAAGATAAAATCTACTATTTAGCTTAATACATATATATATATATATATATATATATATTATTTAATTTATAAACGCTGAATTTGCGATCAAATGATTTAATTCATATAAATGATAATAATTAATCAAACTAATAGTAATATGAAGCGGTATCAAACACTACGGATTTTATCAAACCGCTATATGCATGCAATTTATTCTTCGTAATTTTAGTTAGAAGAAACTAATGTTATTAGCAGAATATAATAAACTATTAATGACAATTTTAGGAACATCATGTCAAGTCTCATCTTAGATATCTACAAAAACGTTTTCTTGCTAAGAGTAAGAACAGAAAAAAATATTTTATTTCTTGCAAACTTATTTTTAAATATTATTAAGTTTATGATTGTGCTTTTATATTCTTTTAATGCAATTATAATTATTGCTTTTATATTGTAATGTATCGTATTTTCTCGTATAGTTTTTAAAAAGAATTGTCTAAATGTCTGTATTTGATGACTTATCCTAATCCGTTAATCACCAGTATATCTCTCAATCCTATTCGAAGGACCATTGAAAACTAACAACGTTTCGATATGACAATATATGAAATATATAATGTCATATAAATAAATCTACAAGATTATATGTAACAAGAGCTTTTATTTGATCGAAAAAGTCAATACATAATTAAACTTTCAAAAGATATACTTTGGGGTGTTTACATTCAAAATAATTATCCTTAAAAAGCATTCAAAAAATCCAATCACAAAATTATATATTGTTAGAAATTTTATGAACAGATATATTTTTTACTATTTTTTCTGATATTTACACAAAATTATATATATAGCAATAATTTATTAAATTTTATAAAAAACAAAGTACATTATACTATATTTTCTTATATCTTCATTGGATTATTAATTTAAATGTTTTATTTTGCCGGATATTTTAAACTTTTAACGTTGTTTACATTTTGATTACATTTCTCTTTTTACTTACTTTTCTTTATGGACTAGCAGGTACATCTAGAACCTAAATTTAATAACATTTAGCAATATTTTTCTTTTATCCATTTATTACTTTTTACTTTTATTATTACTATTGTTTGTGGAAAATTACGAAAAGATTAATAAATAAATTATAGACGACCGTGAAAATATGAAGAATCGTCGGAATAAAAGAATGCAAAAATTTGTAAGTCAAATTTTTCATACAGAAAATTTTTATTATAATTAAAAAATATAATATGTATATATACAATAAATATGTTGAAAGAATACTTTATGTTTTATCTTCTGTATCACCTTTATTTTTTAAGATAGAATTATCTAATTGTCATTACCAAGCAAATAATATGTTAATATTAATTTTATTTTATTAATCTTATCCAATTATTAAAAAATTATAACATAAAAGATAAATTTAATATTAAACATAAAATTGTACATTTTTGGTGCTCGGCATTTTGGAATTTATAATTACATTTAATTTCATTATTAAAATTTTTATTATTTTCCAAAAAATTAATGTTATAAAGATATACAAATGTTATAAAGATATTAATAATAAACTACTAATTATTATAAACATTAATATAAAACAGTAAAATACTATAATATATTAATATTAGCATTTTACATTAAATGTACAAACTAAATATTAATAATAGGTCAAATATTAATGTTCATATCCTATATATGTATATATCATATATATACATACATACATACATATATATATATGTATATATAGATGTCATAAGTACTCCAGGATTCATTGCTCGTAAAAAGGCCTTATCTCACACCCCGCTAAATATTTGACTTACTATTAATATTTAGTATAGGGAGTGAGATAAGGCCTTTTTACAAGCAATGAATCCTAGTTTGTTTAGTAACACTGTTGTTTATTAAAGAGCGGAACGTTTCGTACATTAATTTATGACATCTTTAGCCGCTGTATTTATAGTAATGTAAATTAATGTACGAAACGTTCCGCTCTCGTATAAATAACAGTGTTACTAACCAAACCAGGATTCATTGTTCATAAAAAGGCCTTATCTCACTCCCCGTTAAATATATGTATAGATTATCATACGAGCTAACATTTACAATTCTTATTAATATTTAGTTTGTACATTTTAGTTGTACGTTACATCTTATATCTTATATTTATATAATATATTAATATTTAATAGAGCGTTATAGATATAATCAATACACAAAAATTATATAAGAAATATATAAAAAATATATAAATCAATTATCAATATATATGTATAAAAAATTATTTTAAATATTCATGTTTTACTATTGGACATATAATAAATAATGGGTGCTTCACTGTTGCAGTTGTGATGTACATAATGCAATTACACCCATATCAATTCAATTAGACAAATTGAGTTTCTTTAAATGAGCTTATTTAAAATTTTACTTGAACAAATTGTTAAAAAAAAACACCTGGTTGTTCACTGTACGCATACGTGTATTTATCTTGGGATAAATAAAATTTTCGTAGTCGGAGTATGGCACATTTTTGAACGCAAAATCAAGTATCTGAAATAATTATTATTTTAATTTTGATTATTTTATTTAACAGAAATTTTGTACAAAAAAGTATAAAAGAAAAGTATAAAATTTACCTCAATAAATAATTGTTTAGTAGTATATGCATTATTAATAAGCACGTTTAATGCCGTTGTCACACTGACTGGACTATAAAAAAATAGTATATGTATAGACATATAATAAAAACATAAATAGCCCTCCTGATTATAAGCAACATATATTTATAATATGAAAATTATTACCTGTTTTTGTAATTTATTTCATAAGACGTCAGTATTTCTTTAAGTACTAGAGTGTTTTTAGCATGTCTCGCAAGAGTAGAAAGAAACATATTAGTAATTAAAATATAAATTTTATCCTTATCTTTCTGTTCAAGCATCTTAGGATAATTTCTTCTCAACATGTCCTGTTTAAATTCTGGTATTACAAACCACAGATATTTAATGATAATGTTAGGATTCTCAGAACAACTAAGATATTCCAACATTTTATAATCGGATTTTTCTTCGTACATACGATATGCCATCAAATATACAGTATACCACATACTTTCGCTTGCTGTCTTTAAACCATTACAATATGTCCATTCTTCCCACCCAGGTGCAATTCTACAACAAACAAAGGATTAATACAAAATAAATGTAAGACTCAATAATTACATCAGACGAAACGGGCTAAATAAGAGCTCAAGCGCTGTAAACCATGTGCAAATATTAATATCTAGTTTTTGATGACATATCGATACTTTACATATTGTACTTTTCATTAATAAATATGCAGAAAAAGAATGATATATAAAAAAATATAAATATATATAATATTATATAAAATGTGTCCACAAACTTTTTCTCTCTTTTGTATAATCTCTGTTCGTACATATGTAAACAATAATAAGAAAAATAGTGGATAAATAATTATAAAAATTATCTTTGTATTTGTATTACTTGAAAAAATTTTTTTAAAATATTTATTTCATTTGTTATTTTATATTTTATATTTCAATTCTTTCGTTTCTTTTACTTTTTATATTTTTTAATTATTTTCATTGTGCCTACTTTTGTAATCAAATATATTAAGAAATCTAAATAAATTATATACATTCTTATATATATATATATATATATATATATATATACATATATATTAATATATGTATATACATATATGTACATATTGTGATTATACATATAAATTTCATAATTTTATATAAATTTATTTTACATAATTGTATATAAATAATTTACATACAAAATATAAAACTAATTTTCTCTTATTTCTTCAATATTTACTTCAGTTTGAAAAACCTATGTAAAGATTTTTGTAGCTATTCTTCATTTGTTACTTTTTATTACTTTTTCTGTATATACGTACATATATTATTAAATGAAGTTAACAAAAAACATGTGTGCGGCATATATGTTATAGAGAATAATAATATGTATATACAATATTTATGCACGGTAAAAAACATTTCGTATTTCTGTTGAAATTATCTTGTGTAGAAATTTTTGTGTTAAAATTTTAACATACTCTTATGTTAATATAACATATTGTCGTTATGTTATTTTGACATTTGTCTGTTGAGTTAATATTCACTATTTTTAAGTGTTAAAACAACACATTTAAATGAAAATGTACGAATTTTTGCTTATATTATATTTTTTTGTGTTATTTTTTCACATATTACGTGTGTTATTTAATTACATAATTGTTTTCTGTTAAATTAACATTAAAATTAGAGTGGATAAATTGGGACATGTAAAATGTGTTAAATTTAACACAATTTTTTTTACTGTGTGACTTTTCATTTTGTATAATTTTATATCTATAAGAATATAAAAAATATATGCACATAAATAATTAAAATTAATGATAAACTTACTTGTTTAATGTACTATTTTGTATATACAATTCTAATATATCTTTGGCCATTTCTATGCATTTATCGTTATTGATAATACATCCCCATTTTGTGAGATCCAGTTTTAAATATTTATTAAAATTGCTTTGAACGGGTTTCATTGGATTGTGTATATCCTTGTATCTATATAAAAATGGAGGTATATGATCTTTTTATATTCCAAAATCTTTTTTATTTTAACTGATACATCCTACAATTTAAAAAAAATATATATTTTTATTTGATCATTAGATTCTATACAAAGTCAAATATAATATGTGTGCAAAAAAATATTTATGTTTACCAAAATTATATATTAAATAATTTTATTCGGTGTTTAAAATATATGCTCTGAATTAATAAATTTATTTATATTTATAACGTAAGAATTCTTTTTCAGCTAATTCCTTTAATACCATTTCTAGTAAATTAAAGTCGCTAATTTCATCAATTTTAACTTTACGCAATTTCAAAATTTGGATATAATATTCTAAATTATAATTCAAAATAAGTAAACATTTGTTTTTTATGCAAAAGTTTATAAAAGAAACATAAGATAAGTAAAAACAAAATTTACAACACATGATTTCATTTAAAATAAAAAAATGTAAAAGTTTATTACAAATAAAAACTGATAGAAAGATTCAATAATCTTTACATTTGTTAGTATAAAAAATATGCCACGTAGACGTCTAATATAATAATAAGATTTTGTCGCTACACTTTATAACTAGTAAAATACCTGGAGTTCTGAAGGAAGATGCTCGTCAAGTGCATTTATCATTGCAAAATAGTTCGACAAGTATTCAAAAACTTTGATCATAGGGTACCATGCTAAATAATTTTTCTCTCTTCTCGGTAAATAACGCACAAGTTCCCAGAATATAGAGGAATTCAATTTTTTTTCCATTACAAGATGAAACGCGTCATCGATTATTTGTGCTCGATTGAGGACATGAATATTAATATAGTCTTCAGAATTTAAATAATGTGCAATTCTTCGCCAATTCTCCGGATCATAATTGACGCGATAATATCCTATTATTCAACAAATAAATTTTATGGATTAATTATTTGAATAAATATAATAAAACATATTTTAAATTATATACATATATTTTATTTTAAGCACGTAAAGTTGTTTTGAAAATTAATACTATATAAGAATACATACGTATATCATATTAAAAAATGGAAATATTTTATCGATATAAGCAATCATAAAAATATTTAGGTCATTAATGAAATTGAAAATAGACTCCAAAAATTAAGCATGTACGTAGAGTTTGAAACATAAATTTAATGGTAATATTTGTAGAATACTTTAAAAGAAAATTATTCTATGTAATATGCAAAATATATATAATTTCAATCATTATAAAAAATATTTTAGAATTCAACTATTTAATAATATAGATGTTTATGATAAAAAATATGAGTATTAAGGAGATGTGTTAAGTCTGTCTGTCCTATCGACAAATATATTTTTATATAGTTAAAGAAAATATGGATTAAATATAATTTTGAAAAATATGTATACTAATAAGAATACTTATGATATTTACCAGTTTGTTGTAGATTGACAATAATCCATTTATTTTTATTTATAATGGGTATTATTAACTCGAGAGTTGACTCCGTTAAACAATGATAAATAGTTGACGATCTTATTTTGAAATCAACCTCCATTTCCGTAGTAAAGGTGATGGGTATAAAAAAGGTTGCTTCATTGAATGTTTGTTCTTTGTCTATTGATACACTCACATAAGCTTCATTATAATGTCGTATTGCATTAACCACAGGACAATGCTTCGCTTGAGTCCAAACATTCATTATTTCTTGTACGTTTAGTTCGTAATTCTTAATTTTTGGATTCTCTATGTAAGTCTGCATAATATTCCATAAATTACCGGGAGTTCTCAAATTGTAAGTCGAACTGGAAATTGAATATTGTATAATTATATGCCACATGCAATATTATTAATTCATATTCTGAAAATATAAAATCATAATTACTGTTTTAACTACAAATATAGTTTGAAGGTATTATTTTAGGTATCAATGTAATATCAACTCTGAAAAAATATTGTTTTTAAAATGACATGAAAAATAAATTAAAAAATTTATTTGTGCTTTGAGAAATTGTCGCTATAAAAAGTATGATATATATAATAATATTATTTGACGCTGACCAAAGTAAGGACAATTGATTGATACAAAACAACTGTTTTATTTAATGATTCAATATAGATGCCCAAAAGGTAACTAACCCATTTATATAAAAGGAAATATTTTTACAAATAAAACAAACTTTAATAAACGATTAAGGTTTCTTTCTTCTTTTATTCAACTTTATAATCCCAAGGGAACGCTGCCTCTTTTTGTTTTATCGCTAAACGTAAAGTCGGATTCGACCACACATGAACCTTTTTATTAATTATACAAATTTTTTAAAAATCTTTCCCACAATTAAAATAATAATAACGAACTGTGAATGATATAATGTAATGTAAAAATGATATAATATTTTATGCAAAAAAGAAAGAAGTTAGAAAAAGGCCAAGACGGTGAATCTTTCTATTTTATCGCTAAATGTAAAGTTGAATTCGACCACACATGAACCTTTTTATTGGTTATATAGATTTTTAAAAAATCTTTCCCACAATTAAACTAATAATAACGAACTGCAAATCATATAATTTATTGTAAAAATGATATAATTTTATGCAAAAGTTAGAAAAAGGCTAATACAAAAATGTATTATCTTTTAACTTTTTTTTGTTTTTTACCTGAAATTATTGCGCTTCCCGCATTTGTTAATATTTAATTGTAGAAAAAAAATTTCAATCTGTATAGTCAATAAAGAGAAATATGATCGAATCTAACTTTGCGTTTTATCGATAAATAGACATTTTCTTTAAACAAAATAAAAATCTTAAATTATAAATTATAAATTAATTCCAGCTCAATTTGAATTGAGTTATATTATATACATATAGTCAATCAATAAAATGCCTTTAGCGAAAAATATATTCGCGAAATATTTGGAATATTTTAAAAATAAACATAAAGTATAAACAAAATTAAAATTCCGGATAAATTTTTAAAATAATTTAATAAAAAACTGTTATTAATATTAATCGACGATAATTAATCGACGAAACGCAACATTATCAAATATCTGTAATATAATAAAGTATTATACATATATATTATTGCAATGCGTTTGTCACTTACCCCGAGTTTGCATATACGTCGATGCTATCCCAAAACACACTATTAGGCATTACACTTTTTAACATGCGCCATACAATAGGTCCTATTACAGTAATATAACTTATATAGTTATATATAAATATGTATAATTAAATATACTTTAAAAATTAAATATACGTACATACGTATATTAAAAAATATATTAAAAATTGTATACATAATTAAAATATATACGTATACTTAAATATATAACTTTAAAATATAATGTAAGGGAAGAATAAAGATGAAAAGACACTTCATCTCTTAACCTTGACCTTGACGTATGTTGTTAAGGGGTTATACCTACCTGCAAGGTCTGAAAAACACGTATTTTTGGGAATTTTTTTTTAAATATTTGAAGTGCTTTGGAAAGGAACATTTATGTTTTCAAATATATATATTTCAAAGATTATTTAGTATTTTTTTTATTGCAAAATGTTGATAAATAAAAATAAAGATATGCTTAATCTTCCAGAAGCAGTTTTTTGAAAAGCGTTTTGCGGTGACCACTCTAACTTTGAACTGGTTTACCAGAAATCAAAAAACCCGAGAAATTTAGTTAATATATAAGATTATCTAGTGCCCGATCGTTCATTTTTTTGAAAAATTAATTTGCGACAAAATGGCGGCTGTTCAAATTTGAAGGTATGATTTTGCTACCAAAAATTCGCTCGTTTTTTTATTATTAAAAAAAAATACGCAACGAAAAAACAAAAGCCACGATCGGGCACTAGATTTTTTAGTATTAAAGATGTCTACCAAATTTTATTTTAATCGATGCAGCGGTTTTCGAGATATTTTGGTCACCGATTTTAAAAATGCTGTTTTGAGAAAAACGCATTTGAAGTTTCAAATTAAGTTCACAACCAAATAATATATTTATATATATATTTATATATATATTATATATATTTATATATATTATTTATTTATATATATTTTGGCTTTGTATAGAGACCGCTTTTGTCCGCGTCGCAGCTGCCGTTCGATACCTGAGACCCGTTTCTGTACCCTGCTTCTAAACAGCAGGATACGTTCACACCAGTATACCTTTAAACTCACATAACTTCGTTAATTTTTGTCGAATCGACTTGAAATTTGCAGGGAATATTTTTGAAAGTATGTACTTTAAGAAAATATCAAAATCCAAAAATCGATTTTTTTGAAGTTTGCAGGTAGGTATAACCCCTTAAGAGGATGATGACCGTCAACAACATTTAAAATAGCTATAAACATAAATATGAAAATAATGTAATATTTATGCTTAATTATGTTTAAAGTGTAAAGTTAAACACATATGCATATTGTCAATTTTATTTATTAATAATTTTTTAATGGATAATGACCAACAGCTAAAATCTTTTGAAAATTCAGGGTCATCATATGCCAATGTCAAGATTATTGGAAGGGTTTTGTCTAATCATTTTACTTTTACTAAATTTTTTTACAGCTTAATTAAAATAAAAAAAATAAACAAAATTAAAATTACTTATTATTTTCTTAGATATTCATAATTATTAATTTTACTAATATCTAATTATATTATTTACAAATATTTACATAAAGTTATATTTTTTAAAATACTACATTTATATAAAATAAAAAAATTATATAATTAAATAAATTATATAAATTATAAAATAACTATTAATTTTTTTCATATAAAAATTATATAATAAAATTATACATATAAGTATATAAAAATTATATAAAAACACATACGTACCTATAATACGTTGACGAATAGAAAGTGAATTAATTTTAAATTTATGTGCATCATTTATAGAATTTTCATAAATATCAGTAGGAAAATTTACGTCCATATAACGATATTCATGCTGATCTTGAATTGTGAACAATTCCAGCATTCGAGATCTTGGAAAACACTACAAACAAAAAAATAAACTTTTATTATGGATACTTGTTTTATAATATGCACTAATATTTGCAACTATTCATTATTTCTAAAGAAAGATCTTCAATTTTTATATAATCTAATATTATGTAATTTTATAATAATTATAAATTTACACGTGATGTATAAACATATTTGAAATATAAAAATGTTATTCTAATTATTGAAGAAGTAAACTTGCAAGGTATTTGTAAATTATAATTTAATATAAAATGTAAATATATACTTGTTATTTGCTCCATATAATGTCTCTTATTAAATTATTAAAATACTGAAAGAAATTTATAAAAATTAAATCTTTTATTTATAAATTTCAAGTAAAAATATTAATTGTTTGGTACTTCTTCTATACTGAACAAATAGAAGAAAGACAATTTCAAATCTTGTCATGTTAACACAATATCAAAAGAAAATATCTTGTAAATATAGTAATTAAGAAATGTGTCGACCAACTGGCAATTTATTAATCTGCTTACAAAATTCAACCCTCGCTTTAAGTCCTTTTCAAGTAATGTCAAGTTCTTAGTTATTATAATAGAATAATCGTCCGCGTAAAGTGAAGCATTATGAGCAAATGCGGACGTTTATTCTATTATAATAACTAAAAACTACATTACTTGAAAAGGACTTAAAGAAGGGTTGAAACGTTGTAAGAAGATTAATAAATTGCCAGTTGGTTGACACATATTTCTCAATTATTACTATTTATTACTGGCAGCAAAAAGATGTTCCTTTAATTTTATAAATATAGCTTTACAAATCTATAAAAATAATAATTTATAATAAATTTATAATATTAATATAATAACCTTTTCAACTATATGTCCTTCGACGAACTTAATGAAGCCCTCATTTAACAACCAGTAATTATGCCAAGGATAGAAGAAACCATCGAACCATTGATATATTACATCATGAGCTATTAAGCGCTTTACCGTACCTTTATAGGCAGGATATAATTCTTCATCGTAGGTAATATATGCTTCACTGAAAATTGTTATAACAGGATTATGTCGATACTTTTCGTTATATATAAGCATTCTTAATTTGCATTAAAATCAGGGATATGCATTAAAATTTTTGAAATAGATGCATTTAAAATGGGTCAATATAAAATGTAAATGCGTGTTTTGTATTTGAAATACAAAAATACAGGTTTAAAAAACTATTTTACATTTACATTTAAATAAATTATAATATTCATTTTTATTTCAAATTCAGGTTTTTTTTGCAAAAAAGTAAAAATAATTCGAGATATGTAATAATATGTATGTAAAACAAAATATGTATATAAAACAAATAAAATGTTATCAAAGTACTCATTAAGTAAATGCAAATAATATACATTTTTTTGCAATTCCATGTAATCTTATGTCATTTTTATGTTTTGTTCATACTATATATATATATATATATATATATATATATATATATAAAATGCAAAATGCAAAATGCAATATGTTTTCAGGTACCCATTTAAAATAGGAAATGGAAAATAGGTATATTTTAAATGAGTTTTTAAAATAATAATAGTTTTTTCAAATATTTACCTATATATAAATTCTTATTTTTTGTTATATATTTCTTACAGTTAATATTTATATTAAATTCTTTTTTTTTATTAAATTTTATAAATTTTATAAACTTTCTTATAAGTTTTCTTTATAAATTTTCTTTGCACGTCAAGTGCAATTGTATTGTAATTAAATTTATTAACTTAAGTAAACATCGCGAAATTTATTATACACATCAGTTACAAATATTCCATAAGGATCTCAACAAAAATCGCGAACGTTTTGAACCCCTCTTAAAGCCATCTTCAGCTCTACAATTTAACAATTATCCAGACGTAAGAAGAAGAAAGTGAAAAGTTATTTCCCCGTAGTAAACATTGTCTCAATTAACATATCAATAAAGAAATCGTCGGTCCGATAGAGTGGTAAGGTCAAAATTCTAATTGTCGTCATCATAACGTCCAAAAATTATATCCCTCCAAGGTTGATAAACCAGGAAGAGAATAATCAAGGACACCACGATGAGATCACTCAATAAAGCCATACTGTAAAAATCTAAAGATACAAATTATAACTGTAGTTATTTAAAAATTAATACGGAGATAAACTATTTTTGTTACTTATTCATTTTTATTTCAAATTCATTTTTTTTCGCAAAAATTAAAAACAATTTGAGATATGTAATGATATGTATGTAAATTAAAATATGTATATAAAACAATTAAAATGTTATCAAAGGACTCATTAAGTAAATGTAAATAATATACATCCTTTGGAATTCCATGTAACTTTATGTAATTTTCACTTTTTGTTTATATAAAATATATATTGTATATATATATATATACATATATATATGTTCAGTTTAAATAAAGTTTATATTATAAAAGTTCAAAGAGTTTATAGAAGAAAGTTTATAAAGAAAAGTCATGGATAAATGTTCATAAAATTTATATAATTTAATAAAAAATTAAAAATTTTAATATAAATAATAACTGTTAGAAATAAATAATAAAAAATAAAAATTTATATATATAGGTAAATATTTGAAAAAACTATTATTATTTTAAAAACTCATTTAAAATATATCTATTTTCTATTTCCTATTTTAGATGGGTATTTGAAAACATTTTGCATTTTGCATTTTTAAATTACCAGCATCCAACTAATTTGCATTTTCTACTTTTAATGGATTTAGACATCCATTTTACACATTGCTAGTTAAACCTGTATATTGCAGTACACATATAATGGTGCAAGATAATTTCAAATATTTTCACGATTTAAGATTATTAATTCTACCTAGCAAAAAAATAATACTATATAATAATCAATATTATAGTAACGAGCATATATCTTATTTTTGCCATAATTTTTCTTTGATGTGGCAAAATAAATCTCTATATCATTAAATTTCTCTGTAATTTCTAACAATAACCGTATAAAACACCTTAAATTTTTTTTTAATTTAAAAGGCTGAAAATAAAATCAATTTTAATACATTATAATTACACTTAAATCTTAAATGTATGTATTACTTGCAAAGTAGCAATCCCCAAGTCTGCATGCTATGGCCCTTGAGATTTGGAATAACAACATAATCCACTTTAACGCCTGTCCTCAAACTCCCCCAACTGTCTTCTAAACATCTAGTTATATTTCCGAGAACATCTTGTGCAAATTTCGTATGGGGTACCATATGCGACCTGCTCCACGTATTGATCATTATTTTCGAATAAGCAAATTCATAAGAATCAAAGCTGATAGGATCTGAAGGTGTCATATCAGACGTCATCAAAATTATAGCTACTTTGTAAATATGTGTATAAGGACATGTGTGAAAATGCGTAAGCATCACGTCATTAGATACAGATTGATTTCTTATTGGCATGTTCGATAAAACTTGGTATCGTCTATCATGTTTTACTGAAATGTTAAGGGAGACGAAATCAGACGTGTTAAAACATGGAAATAATGGTCGTTCTTTTGTCGGCTGGAACAATGTGGCGATAAATCTAAAACATTTTAATAAAAATCTTTAAAAATTATTATTGGCACATGAATATACTATATTGAAATATGACATTTAAAGTTTACAGTGTTATATCTGGCAAGCCAATGATTTTATTAAAAAATAGGTTATATAAGAGTTAAATGGCTTTAAAAAAATGTAAGATAGTAGCAAAGATAGTCGTTTGACTGGACACATAAAGGTCACCTTTACTTTATTAAATAGAAACTACTATTTTTAGTTGCATATTCTTCTAGCTCATTTTAAGAGCTTTCCAAAACATTATAATAAAATATTTTTCTCTCAAATACTTTTTGAGTCATAAAATTTGAAGTTAACAATTTTTTAACATAAAATGTAAAATATCTTATAAAATTTTCGGTTTTCGGTAATATCTTCTATCTTAATATTTTTATGCACGGAATAATTAGATCAATCGATGCAAACAAAACAGATAATTGTGTAATGTGGAACACCCTGTATATACATGTGTATAATAGTTAATTTTTTAATATACTTTATAATGTACTCACTTTTTATTTTCCTCTTCGCCTGTGTATAAAGTTTGTGAAAGTTCTTCCGTGTCAGTGTTTGTAAAATTAACATATAGAATATAAAATCCGCATTTCAAACTATTATCAAAAAATTCTTCGGCAAAATTAAGAACGACCTTATTCTTATGATGGCTATATGAACGTTTTGGTACATAGGTTTCTCCATTCTTAGATTTTAAATTAACTTGTGTCACATTTATATTTTCTGACGTAAGTAAAGTTATGTATTGTGTAGGACAACTAATATAAGCATAAATATTGACTTCTCCATGAGACACGTAACCCGGCTTCAGTGATAGCTTCAAATCATAATGCAACGATGTCGTAACGTTCAACAAAATTAAATCAATCATACTATGCTCCAAACTTCTTGCATTTTTATTGATAGAATAAGCCATTGTCATCACAAGAATGTATAATAAAATATTTAATGACACTTTTAGGAACATTGTGCCAAGTCTCGTTTCAAGTATCTGCAAAAATATTTTCTTAAACAGAGTAAATAAAATGTAAAACAGAAGCAGAGAACCGTTTGTATACTATATGATGTAAAATAAAAAGGTAAAATAAAAAATATAATGTATAAATATATGATGTTAAATAATAAAATATAATGTAATAAATGCAATATTGGCGATTTTAATAAAAATAGAAAAATATTTTTTCATAAACTAGTGTATATTTTTTTAGCCATTGTCATTACAAGAATGTATAATAAAATATTTAATGACACTTTTAGGAACATTGTGCCAAGTCTCGTTTCAAATATCTGCAAAAATATTTCCTTAATAAGAGTAAATGAAGCAAAAAACAAAAGCAGAGAACAATTTGTATACTATATAATATAAATTAATAAAATATAATAAAAAATATAATGTAAAAATGTAATGTATAAATATATGATGTTAAATAATAATTAAATATAATGTAATAAATGCAATATTAGCGATTTTAATGAAAAGAGGAAATTATTGTTTCATAAACTATTGTATATTTTTCTATTACACACAATATATGATAAAAATAAACGCAAAGTGAATATTGTGCGTGTCTAATTATTTATTTTGAGAAAAGAATGTATCCAAAAATATACGCAATATCTTCGGCGTCTACTTTTTAATGATTTAAGAAAGGTAAATCACGTAACTTTATTGTTTTTTAATTCATATCTGTTCACAAAATTATCGAGAACTTTATTGGTGATATTAACTCTTTTTCAACTTTCTATAATTATCATCAAAAAACATGTTTTCAATGCACATACAAACAGATATTAGTTAATTATTTTAGGATTCGATAATTATCTGATTCGCAAACGCGAGTGTGTACTTTGTAATTAATACATCGAAAAATTAAGATAGAAAGGGGGAAAATATATATATATATATATATATATATATATTCTATTTAGCTAAACATTATTTGATCAACTTCATGATGAATGCATATGCTATACTTATATTTTTATAAAATTAAATATTTAAAATTTGGTATGACTGTATAGCAGTTTTCGTTAAAGTTCCTTTTATTTTTATTTGATGGAATGCTTAATTAATTTTGTCTGTATTTTAAAACAACAATCAATTATGTTACATATATTTAATTTAAGAACACAAAAGTAATATTGAAAATATGAAACATACGTTAAAATTATAATTAATAAAAGTAGCTGATAAATGTAACTGATAAATAAAATACAAAGACAAGAAAAAGAGTAGTATAAATCCGGAAATTCGTTAATTTTGATACAACTCCATCTTTATAAAATTGAAATATTTAATAGCTTTACATTCTAATTTTTTCAAAATTGAAAGAAAAGATGGATTTTATAAGTTTTGCAGTTTATAAATAATGTGTAATTATAGTATATATATCAACTTTTTTCTGGTTTTTGGATATCCAACCACTTTCCGGGCGATTAATCACAATTTTAGAACAATTTATAAAATAAGTTTATTTGAGAGATTTATCATAATGCTTTAATAAATTTTTGAATTCTAAAATATTGAAATATTAAGCATACAATATGTATAAATTAATTTCTTTAATAACTGAGACTTTATTTGTTAGAATTTAACAAGCTTGATACAAATATATTGTTATCTCCGAATTTATATGTCATTTGTAAGTTATGTACGTATACTCAAGGGAAACAAATAATAAACATGTTGATATTAAGCTTATTTCAAATTTTGTCGATGTATATTTCATCAGCAAATCAAAATGTAATGCAAATTTTTCACTTTCACTAATTATTATAAAATATTTTTCTAAAAAAGTAAATTGATATTTATTGCGTTTATATATATATTTTTAATGCAAATTTAATTTTACATATAAGAAAATATTGCTTCCAGATATTTTTTCGAGAAGGAATGTATCATACAAAGTTTAATCTGTTTTTAATTTTCTGTTCTTTCATAACGTATTAAAATTTTAAATAATCAAAAAATGTTACAATTTACATCTAAATGTTTTCATGTTATATGCGATGTTTAAAAAAAAAAAAATAATAATCGAAATGAAAAAGAAAACCATTATAATTTTTACTTAAACATTGAATACAATATTATTTATACAAATAAAGAACTCTAACATATAGTGAGCGTTTCATTTATTTTCATACGATATATTTAAAAGATAAATCTATCTAAATGTTTTATATTTTGATTTACTTTGGTCTATCTGTTTCTTAAATGTATGCTTTATTAAAAATTTAATTTAACAAATTGGAAAATATTTATTATAAATATAAATTCGCGAAGAATGCATCAAACAAGGTCTAATCTATCGTTTAACATTTTAATAATTTTTAATTTATTATGTAATAATATAATAAAAATTTATAAAGGCTATTATAATTTACGTATAAATATTTTTATATGTTATCTGCAAAATGCAAAAAAATTAAGATAATTGAAATACATAAAAAGACATATTTAAATGTTTACTTTAACAATAAATAAAATATCTCCTATAAATTGAGAAATATGAAATTACGAAAAATTAATTATTTCTACATGGTTATATTTAACAGAAATATTTGAATTTTTGTATTTTACTTACTGATGTATCTGTTTGTAGAATCACGATCCAAATCACTTTTGAAGGAGTATCGCTTATTTTGTGATGTTACCTCTTGAAAGGGCAGACGAGAACTGACGACGTTTGCGGGACGATAACACATGAAATTCATAAATCTCATATGAATATAGCATTCCGAGATTATAGTAACAATTTGTCTCATTTGTTTGACTAGATTGACAAATATCAATACATTATTAAAAAACGTTTTCGTAAAAAATTTTTTATCTATTACATATAAAATAATTTTAAAGAAGTTTTATTAGGACATTGTATGTTATATGCAAATAGAAATATAACTTTTATTCTTGTCTGATCTTTATTTAGAACTATTTCTTTTCTTGTCGCAACTTATTAGACGATGTATAAAATAGATACATTATTTCACATTTTTTTTATTTTTACTGGAGTTTTATTTTAATGAAATGAAAGCGAACGAAAAACATCATTTAAATCCTTCGAGCTTTCATATGAGAAACACAATTTAATTTTTTCTTTACTTTTTCTTAGTTCAAAAGTTTTATAAAAATTAAGAACACATCTATTTAAACATTGTATTGTTTCAAACAATTTTTTTAAATTTTCTTTTAAATATTAAATACGTAAAACAAAATGAAATACATTTTTAAATTCTATTAAGTTTTATTTAATTTTTAAAAATTATATTGTTTCTATTAATTTACACAGTATAGCTAATTCTTAAAGCCACCAAAATTTAAATTTCGAAATTTACCTTAATTTTGTAATTAAATTGGTAACTCACATTATGGTTTGATCTATCATATTATTATATATTCTTGATTTTTTACTACTTTCTATAATTATCTTATTAAATGCGTACAGATAATACTTATTTAAATATATTTTCAAAGTGTGAATTTTATATTTCTTTATCTGCTTGTATTTATCTTCCTCTTTTGGAGATAAAAAAATCATAAACCTTAATTTAAACACATATACTTATATTTTATTTATTTACATATTCTGATTTTATTTCATTCAACTCATTCAATTATGAAAAAATTATTACTTGAAAGAAAAGTTAATATTTTTGCAAAATATTATACATATATTTAAGAAATTAAAGAAGAATTTTTAGAACATACGAAATAATCATATATGTAATATAAATAACAAATATATAAAGAGCACTATAAATATATAAAATATTTACAAAATAATTTCCGTGTCGACAGTGAAATAAAATTACAAGGTAATATTATAAACGATCTATTTGTAAAAAAATTCTTTATTCTAATGATATCACATAGACGACGTTCCGACTTTTAGTTTGGGTCCTTATCAAGTCTCAAATATAATATGAAAACTTATGATATTAAGATATCTAATAAAACATTGTTGACAAGCCCGGTAACATAAATGTGCCCTGTCACCGGGCTTATCAATAACGTTTAAGTCTGATTTTCATATTATATTTAAGACTTAAAAAGACTCAAACTAAGGGTTGAAACGTCGTCTATGTGACGTCATCAGAATATAGATTATTTTTGACAATTGGATTGTTTACAACATTACCTTGTAAAATAAAATTTTATTTTAAATATTTTAATATTTATCCTATATTATTAGACGTTTAATAAAAATTTGAGCTTTATTGTTGCATTTGTTAATATAAATTATGCTATTATTGCATCCTTATCAATTAAAGTAGATGAATTTAACTTCTCGTTTAAACAAATTATTAAAATTGTTTACATTTTGTTTAGCTATCTTTTTCTTACTTCCTTTTTATTTGTGGATTAACAGGTACATTTAGAGCCAAGATTTCATAACGTTTAGCAATATTTTTCTTTCTTCTTTCTTTTGTAACTTTTTACTTTTATTATTGCTATAATTTGTGAAAAACTACGAAAAGATTAGGAAATAAATTATATACGACCGCGAAAAATATGAAAAATCTTTCGAATAAAAGAATGCAAAATTTGTAAGTCAAACTTTTTATACAATAAATTTTTATTATAAAGTAAAAAATATGATATTATATTAAAAATATAATTCAATAAATATGTTGAAAGAATATTTGTGTTTTAGCTTTTGTATCACCTTTTTTCTTAAAGATAGAATTATCTAATCCTCATTATCATGCAAATATTATATTAATTTTGATTTTATATATTAATTTTATCTAATCATTAAAAAATTATGACATGAAAGAGAAATTAAATATTAAACATAAAATTGTACATTTTTGGTAGTCGGCATTTTGGAATTTAGAATTACATTAAATTTTATTATTAAAATTTTTATTATTTTACAAAAAATTAAAAACAATGTACAAATGTTATAAAGATATTAATAATATAATACTAATTATATTATAAACATTAATATAAAACAGTAAACTACTGTAATATTAATATTAGCATTTTACATTAAATGTACAACTAAATATGAAATATTTGACTTATTATTAATATTTAGTTTGCACATTTTATTTGTACATAAAATTATGTCTTATATTTATTTAATATATTAATATATAATAGGGCGTTATAGGTATAATCAATACACAAAAATTATATAAGAAATATATAAAACATTATCAATATATGTATAAAAAAATTATATTAAATATTTATGCCATATTATTAGACAATCAATACAAAAATGGAGGCATTACTGTTGCAGATGTAATGTACATGTTTTAATTACACCCATATCAATTCAATTAGACGATTTGAGTTTCTCATTTAAATTCTCATTTAAACAAATTGTAAAAAAATTGCTCCCGTTCGTGCAATTTATGATAACGTGTTATTAACTTGGTATAAATATAATTTTTGTATTTAGAGAGTGGCCTATATTTTTTCGCAAATTCATATATCTGAAATAAATATTATATTAATTTTGATTCTTTTCTTAAACAGAAATTTGGTTAAAAAAGTATAAAATTTACCTCGTCATATAATTGTTTATAAGTATATGCATTATTAATAAGTACGTTGAATGCCGTTGTCACACTGACTGGACTATAAAAAAATAGTATATGTATAGACATATAATAAAAACATAAATAGCCCTCCTGATTATAAGCAACATATATTTATAATATGAAAATTATTACCTGTTTTTGTAATTTATTTCATAAGACGTCAGTATTTCTTTAAGTACTAGAGTGTTTTTAGCATGTCTCGCAAGAGTAGAAAGAAACATATTAGTAATTACAGTATAAATTTTATCCTTATCTTTCTGTTTAAGCATCTTAGGATAACTCTTTCTCAACATGTCCTGTTTAAATTCTGGTATTACAGACCACAGATATTTAACGATAATATTAGGATTCTCAGAACAACTAAGATATTCCAACATTTTATAATCGGATTTTTCTTTGTACATACGAGATGCCATCAAATATACGGTATACCACATACTTTCGTTCGCTGTCTTTAAACCATTACAATATGTCCATTCCTCCCACCCAGGCGAAATTCTACGACAAACAAAAAATTAATGCAAAAAATGTAAGGCTTAATAATTAAAATACATCAGACAAAATGGGCTAAATAAAAGCTCAAGCATTGTAAATCATGTGCAAATATTAATGTCTAGTTTTTGATGACATATCAATACTTAACATATTGTTTTTTTTTGTTAATAAATTAATATTCTAGAATTTTTATTATGTTATAATTTTAATTCACCGAATTTTTATTATATAAATAATTTCTATTAGGTACAATTATATAGTTATTTACATAATATGTAGAAATAGGGTGAATTAAACTTATGTGCATAATTCAAGAATTCAAGAAATTCAAGAATTCAAATTATGTACATAATGGAAAACTAAATATTAAAATTATTTACATAAAAGAAATACGGCGAATTATAATTGTTTGTAATAGAAGTTAGGCGAATTAAAATTATGTAGAAATTCGGAAATTAAAGTTATGTACATAATTGAAATTCGGTAAATTAAAATTATGTACACTCGCGGAGAAAAAGCTCGTTTAGCGCGCGCTTATATTATCTAGTAGGTATGTTTAAGGGAACCCTCAGCAAATGACGAACTCCGACAAAATAGCAACACACATATCCAAAACATATGCACGTATACAAAATGCACGTACACATACGTACGAATCGTATTTCTAATTACACATTTTTATTAGACTTTTAATCCAGATTTAGAAGATAACAGTGCTTTCTTTCGTGTTCTCTAATGCCAAGGAATGTGCATTTTTATTCATACAAAGTGCATATGTTTTGTATAAAGCACATATCATGATAAGGTTGACAGTTTGTCTGCAATTCGAGATGTGATATCGAGATAAAAATAGGTAAGAAAAACTGTTATTTCTCATTTTTCATATAAAATCGAGATTCCCTGGGATTATTGATGCATTTATTGCAATTGTAGGGGAGTATTTTATATTTTGACAAATTAATGCAGAAAAATTCTAAAAGTACGAAAATGTACGACTGTGTCGATAAAACAGATAATCGTATCTTATGACCTTTTATTTTCCATAACTTTATATCTATAAGGATATAAAAAATATATACACATAAATAATTAAAATTAAAGATAAACTTACCTGTTTAATGTACTATTTTGTACATACAATTCCAATATCTTTTTGGCCATTTCTAAGCACTTATCAATATTGATAACACACCCCCATTTTGTGAGGTCCAGTTTTAAATTTTCATTAATTTTGCTTTGGAAGGGTTTCATTGGATTGTATATACCGTGGTATTCATATAAAAATGGATGTATGCCATTTTTCTTATATTCAAACATCTGTTTTATTTTAATTGAAACATCCTACAATTAAAAAGAAATATGTATTTTTATTTGATTATTAGATTCTATACAAAGTCAAATATAATATATGTGCAAAAAGATATTTTTGTTTACTAAAATTATTATATTTTAAATAATTTCATTCAGTGATTAAAATATATGATCTGAATTAACAAATTCATTTATATTTATAACGTGTAAATTAACTAATTCTTTTAATACCGTTTCTAGTAAATTAAAGTCGCTAATTTCATGAATTTTAACTTCACGCAATTTCAAAATTTGGATATGATATTCTAAATTATAATTCAAAATAAGCAAAAATTTGTTTTTTATGCAAAAGTTTATAAGAGAAACATAAGACAAGTAAAAACAAAACACTTGATTTCATTTAGAATAAAAAAAAATGTAAGAATTTATTACAATTAAAAGCTGATAAAAAAATTCAATGATCTTTACATTTGTTAATATAAAATGATATGTCACGTAGACGTCTAATATAATAATACAATTTTGTTGCTACACGTTATAACTAGTAAAATACCTGGAATTCTGAAGAAAGATGACTGTCAGATACTTTCATAATTGCAAAATAGTTCGACAAGTATTCCAAAGCTTTGATCATAGGGTACCATACTAAATAATCTCTCTCTTGTCTCGGTAAATAGCTCGCAAGTTCCCAGAATATAGAAAAATTTAGTTTTTTCTCTATCATAAGATGAAACGCGTCATCGATTATTTGAGCTCGATTGAGAACATGTATACAAGTATAGCGTTCAGAATTTAAATAACGTGCAATTCTTCGCCAATTCTCTGGATCATAGTTGACGCGATAAAATCCTATTATTCAACAAATAAATTTTCTGGATTATTCATTTGAATAAATCTAATAAAAAAATATTTTAAATTATACATATTTTATTTTTTTTTTCAATTTAAGCACGTAAAGTTGTTTTAGAAATTAATATAAGAATACCTAAATATATCATAATAAAAATAGAAATATAATCAGTCATAAAAATATTTAGGTCATTATTATAAATTAAAAATAGGCTCCAAAAAATTAAGCAGATACATATTGTTTGAAACATAAATTTAATGGTAATATTTTTAGAATACTTTAAAAGAAAATTATTATATGTAATATACAAAACATAATTTCTATCTTTATAAAAACATTTTAGAATTCAAATATTTAATATATAATATAGATGTTTTATATAATAAAAAAAATGCTATTAAGGAGATATGTTAACTCTGTCTGTTCTATCGACAAAAATATTTTTTTCATATAGTAAACAAAAACATGGATACATGTAATTAAATTTATAATTAACAAAAATATGTATACTAATAAGAATTCTTATGATATTTACCAGTTTGTTGTAGATTGACAATGACCCATTTATTTTGATTTCTAATGGGTATTTTCACTTCGGGATGTGATTCTGTTAAACAATGATCAATAGTTGACGATCTTATTTTGAAATCAATCTCCATTTCCGTAGTATAGGTGATGGGTATAAAAAGATTGTTTGATTGAATGCTTGTTCTTTGTCTAATGATATATGCACGTAAGCTTCATTACAATCTCGTATCACATTTAGCACAGGACAATGCTTGTGTTGAGCCCAAACATTCATCATTTCTTGTACGTTTAGTTCGTAATTCTCAATTTCTGGTCTATCTATGTGAGTCTGCATAATCTCCCATAAATTACCGGGAATTCTCGAATTGTAAGTCAAACTGGAAATTGAATATTGTATAATTATATACCACATACAATATTATTAATTCATATTCTGAAAATATAAAATTATAATTACTGTTTTAATTACAAATACAGTTTGAAGGTATTATTTTAGGTATCAATTTATAAACAACTCTGAAAAAATATTCTTTGTAATTTAAAATTAAATTAAATACTTAAAACGTCGCTAGTGATATTTAAAATAGGAACAATATATTTAATTCGACCCAAACTAGCCAAGAAATTTTTATTTTATTTCCACAACGTTTCGACCATCTGTTTTTGGTACTTTTTAAGTAAAAAATTCCTTGATAAAAACGCAGTTAGTTGACACTGTTGTCATGATTATTAAACAATATGATTATCGGAATTTTTTAAAAACATTTGAAATAACTTTTGAAAGAAAGTAACCGCATCTTATCGTTAATAACGTAATCAAGGAATTTTTCACTTGAAAAGGACCAAAAACAGATGGTCGAAACGTTGTAGAAATAAAATAAAAATTTCTTGGCTAGTTTGGGTCGAATTAAATATATCGTTCCTATTTGTAAATTAATATAAATAAATAAATTTATTTGTACTTTGAGAAATTGTCGCTGTAAAAAAGTATGATATAATAACATTATTTGACGCTGATAAAAGTAAGGTAACTATTGATTGATACAAAAAAACTGTTTTAAAATTTAATGTTTCAATATAGATGCCCAAAAGGTAACCGACCCATTTATATAAAAGGAAATATTTTTCAAATAAAACAACTTTAATATACGATTAAGATCTCTTAATTTATTCTTTTTATCCAACTTTACAATTCTAAAGGGACGATGAATCTTTCTGTTTTATCGTTAAACGTAAATTTGGATTCGACCACACATAAACCTTTTTACTGGTTATAGAGATCCTTTAAAAACCTTTTCCACAATTAAAATAATAATAACGAACTGTAAATAATATAATGTAATGTAAAAATGATATAATTTTATGCAAAAAAGAAAGAAGTTAGAAAAAGGCCAGTACAAAAATGTAACCCTTTTGTTTTTTACTTGAAATTATTGCGCTCCCCGCATGTTAATATTTATAATACTTTAATTATGGCAAAATTTTTCAATCTGTATAGCCAATAAATAGAAACATGATCGAATTCAACTTTGCATTTTATCGATAAAACATATATTTTCTTAAAACTAAATAAAATTTTCAAATTATAAATTATAGATTAATTCCAGCTCAATACAAAGTGAGTTATACTAAATATAGTAAATAAATAAAATTTTCTTAACAAACAATCTATCTTCGTAAAATATTCGAACCGGTATAATATTTTAAAAATAAACTCGGGGTACAAACAAAATTTATATCCCGGATAAATTTATTAAATGATTTGATTAAAAAATTGTGGATAATTAATTAATTGACGAAACGCAATTGTCCAACAATTGCAATATAATAAAGTGTATTATACATATACATATTATTGCAATGTGTCTGTTACTTACTTCGAGGTTAGATATTTGCTGATACTATTCCAAAACACAGTATTGGGCATTACACTTTTTAACATGCGCCATACAACTGGTCCTATTATAGTATTATAACTTGTATAATTATATATAAATATACATATAATTTAATTATTTAATTATATGTATAATTAAATATACCTTTAAAAATTAAACATACGTACATATGTGCATTAAAAAATATATTAAAAATTATATATATAATAATTAAAATATATACGTATACTTAAATATATAACTTTAAAATATAATGTAAGAAAAGTATGAAGATGAGGAGACACTTCACTCCTTAAGCTTGACCTTGACAAATGTTGTTAAGAGGGTGAAGACCGTCAACAACATTTAAAATAGCTATACACGCAAATATGCAAATAATATAATATTTACGGCAAATTATATGTTCAAAGTGTAGAGTTAAACACATATCCATATTGTCAATTTTATTTGTTAATAATTTTTTAATGGATAATGACCGGCTACTAGATTTTTTTGAAAATTCAGGGTCAACATATGTCAGTGTCAAGATCATCAGAAAGGTTTTCTCTCATTTTACTTTTACCAGATATTTTTACAGCTTAATTGAACAAACAAAAAATAAATGTAAAATTTAAATTATTTGTTATTACTTAGATGATTTCGATTATCAATTTTAATAATATTTAATTATATTATTTACAATTATTTACATAAAATTATATTTCTTTAAATAATAAAATTATATAATTTAGACACATATATACATACGTGCCTATAATGCGTACATACGTACCTATAATATGTTGACGAATAGAAAGTGAATTAAATTTAAATTTACTTATATCATTTGTAAATTTTTCATTAATATCAGTAGGATAATGTACGTCCAGATAGCGATATTCATGCTGATCTTGAATTATGAATAAACCTCGAGATTTTGGAAAAACCTACAAACAGAAAAATAAACTTCTATTACTTGCTTTATAATACGGACTGATATATGTAACTATTCGTTATTTCTAAAGAAAGTTTTTATATTTTTATATAATTTAATATTATATAACTATAATAAATAATTTAATATTATGTAAATATTATGTAACTATTTGTTATTTTTAAAGAAAGTTTTTATAGTTTTAAAAAATTTAAAATTATGTAATTTTAAAGTAATTATGAATTTGCATGTAATGTGTAAGTATATTTGAAATATAAAAATGTTATTCTAATTATTCAAGAGATAAACTTGCAAGGTACATGTATTTGCAAATTATAATATAAACTGTAAATATGTAGTTGTTATTTGCTCTATATAATGTAGCTTATTAAATTATTAAAATACTAAAAGATAGATATTAAATATATAATTTAAAAATTTCAGGAAACATTTTTGGTATTTCTTCTATTTTGAACGAATAAAAGAGAGACAATTTCAAATCTTGTCATGTTAACACAATATCAATAGAAAATATCTTATAAATATAACTTTACCAATTTATAAAATTAATAATTTATAATAAATTTATAATAATAATATAATAACCTTTTCAATGATATATGATTCGATGAACCTAATGAAACCTTCGTTTAACAACCAATAATTATGCCAAGGATAGAAGAAACCGTCGAACCATTGATATATTATTTCATGAACTATTAAACGCATTGCTGTACTTTTATAGGCAGGATATAATTCTTCATTGTAGGTAATATATGTTTCACTGAAAATGGTTTATAACAGGATTATGTAGTTTTTGTTACATATATGCATTCTTAATTTGCATTAGAACCAGGGATATGCATTAAAATTTTTAAAATAGATGCATTTAAATGGATCAATATAAAATGTAAAATGCGTGTTTTGTATTTGATATACAAAAATACAGATATAAAAAACTATTTTGCATTTACATTTAAATGGATTTTTTTCGGACCTATATTTTTCTCGCCTATTTTTCTCCATATGTAAGTTCGAGATTAATTTATATATGGAACTTAGTAATCTCAAACCAAGAGATACAGTTTCGAAGAATTAATTTTTCGCGCTTGAGCTCTATTGGCCGATTTAAAATTTATATATTATTATTATATTTATATATAAAGTTTATACATAAAAGTTTAAAGAGAGTTATAGAAGCAAGTTTATAAAGAAAGAATGAAAGAATCATTTAAAAAGATTTATGAAATTTATAAAATGTAATATAAAAATGAAAATATAAATATAAATCATATCAGTAAAAATCAATAATAAAATATAAGAATTTTTATATAGGTAAATATTTGAAAAATTTATTATTATTTTAAGAATTCATTTAAAATATGTCTATTTTCTATTTCTTATTTTAGATGGGTATTGCAAACATTTTGCATTTTTTAATTTTAAATTAACATCATCCAACTAATATGCATTTTCTACTTTTAATGAATTTAGACATCCATTTTGCACATTGCTAGTTAAACCTATGTATATTGCAATACATCTAATAGTGCAGTACATATAATAGTGCAAGAAAATTTCAAATATTTTTTCGATTTAAGATTATTAATTTTATCTAGCAGAAAATAATACTATTATATAATAATGTATATTATAATAACGCGCGCGAGCATATATCTTATTTTCGCTGTAATTTTTTTTTTGATGTGACAAAATAAATCTATATCATTAAATTTCTCTGTAATTTCTAACAATAATCGTATAAAACACACGTCTTACTTTTTTTTTAGTTTTAAAAGCTGAAAATAAAATATATTTCAATAAATTATAATTATGATTAAATCTTAAAGGTATGCCTTGTAGAAATGTATCACTAGTAACGCCAATTAATCACTTATTTCGAGTACTTAAAATACTAATATACAGTAATTTAAGTACTCGAAATAAGTGATGAATTGGCGTTACTAGTGATAAATTTCTATAAGGAATGTCTTACTTGTAAAGTACCAATCCCCAAGTCTGCCTGATATTGCCCTCTAAATTCGGAAGAGCAACACAATCTACTTTAGGGCCTCTCCTCACAATATTCCAATTGTCATTTAAATACTTGGTTACATTTCCGAGAACATGTCGCGCAAATTTCATGTGTGGTACCAAAAGCGACCTGCTCCACGTATTGATTCTTATTTTCGAATAAGTAAAGTCATCAGAATCAAAGCTGATAGGATCTGAAGGTGTCATATCAGACGTCATCAGAATTAATGCCACTTCGTCACAATATGTATAAGGAAATGTGTGGAAATGCGTAAGCATCACATTATTAGATACAGATTGATTTCGTATCGGCATATTTGATAAAACTTGGTATCGTCTATCATGTTTTACTGAGATGTTAAGGGAGACGAAATCAGACGTGTTAAAACATGGGAATAATGGTCGTCCTTTTGTGGATTGGAACAAAGTGGCGATAAATCTAAAATATTTTAATAAAAATTTTTAACAATTATTGGTACATGAATATACTATATGTGAAAATGGCATTTAAAGTTTACTGTGTTATATCTCGAAATCCAATGATTTTATTTAAAAATGGTTTAAATAAGAGTTAAATGGCTTTAAAAGAAGTGTAAGATAGTAGTAAAGATTTAACCTAGGATACTCGTTTAAAGGACACATGAAGGTCACCTTCAATTTATTAAATGGAACATACTATTTTTAGTTACATATTCTTCTAGCTCATCTCAAGAGCTTTCCAAATGTTATAGTAAAATATTTAACGTAAAATATTACACGTTATAATAAACTATTTTTCTCTTAAATACTTTATGAGTCATAAAATTTGAAGTTAACAATTTTATAACATAAAATGTAAAATATCTTGTAAAATTATCGGTTTTCGGTAATCTTTTATCTTAATACTTTTATACACGGAATAATTAGACCAATCAGTTGATGCAAACAAAACAGATAATTGTTTAAAGTGGGACACCCTGTATATACGTATATATAATAGCTAATTTTTTAATATAATTTATAATATACTCACTTTTTATTTTCCTCTTCGCCTGTGTATAAAGTTTGTGAAAGTTCTTCCGTGTCAGTGTTTGTAAAATTAACATATAGAATATAAAATCCGCATTTCAAACTATTATCAAAAAATTCTTCGGCAAAATTAAGAACGGCCTTATTCTTATGATGGCTATTTGAACGTTTTAATACATAGATTTCTCCATTGTCAGATTTTAAATTAACTTCTGTCACATTTATATTTTCTGACGTAAGTAAAGTTATGTCTCGTGTAGACCAACTAATATAAGCACTAAGATTGACCTCTCCATGGGACACGTAACCTGGCTTCAGTGATAGCTTCAAGTCATAATGCAACGATTTCGTAACGTTCAACGAAATAGAGTCAATCACACTATGCTCCAAATTTCTCGCATTTTTATTGATAGAATAAGCCATTGTCATTACAAGGATGTATAATAAAATATTCAATGACACTTTTAGAAACATTGTGCCAAGTCTCGTTTCAGATATCTGCAAAAATATTTCCTTAAGAAGATTAAATAAAACGAAAAATAGAAGCAGAGCACAATTTATATATTACATGATGTAAAATAATAAGATATAATAAAAAATATAATGTAAAATGTAATGTATAAATATATGATGTTAAATAATGAAATATAATGTATAGTAAATGTAATACTGGCAATTTTAATGAAGAGAAAAGTATTTTTGTATAAATTATTGTATATTTTTTTACAGGTTCAGTAATTCGTTAATTTTGATATACAATAACTCTATTTTTATAAAATTAAAATATTTAATTGCTTTACATTCCAAATTTTTCAAAGAAAGGATGATCTTTATAACATAATTATACATAATACGTAACAAATTATTTCGTAAAATAATTAACGTAATTAATATAACATACATATCAACTTTCCTTTGTTTTTGAGTATCTAATTACTTTCCGAGCGATTAATCGCACATTTGGAATAAGTTATAAAATAAGTTCACTTGAGAGATATACATATATTATAAAGCTTATATGAATATTGATTTCTGAAATACTGAAATATTAAGCATAAAATATATATAAAATAATATATTTTAATGACTGCGAGCTTCCTTCATTGGAATTTATCATGCTTGATACTAATATGTTAATTATTATCACCAGATTTATGTCATTTGTAAGTCATGTACTTATACTCTAAAGAAACTGATAATAAACATGTTGATATTAAGTTTATTTGAAATTTTGTCGATGTATGTTTCATCAGCAAACCAAAACGTAATACATATTTTTCATTTTTACTTATTGTTGTAAAACATTTTTTAAAGTATAGTAATATTAATTACGTTTATATTTTTTTATTTTTATTATATTTAATTTAACATATGAGAAAATATTGCTATCTAGATATTGCTTCTGCTCAATTCATCAATTTTCTTCTAATGTGTCCTAGATCTCGCAATTTCTATTATTAAGAAATTTAAATTATAAATATAAATGTATTCTATTTAGATTTATTTTAATATATCTGTCTCTAGAATGTATATGTCCTATTAGAATATACGTCATATTTAATTTAACAAATTAAGAAACATTGATTATAGATATATAGATTCGTGAAAAAATGTAACAAATAAAACTTAATATGTCTTTAATTTCTAATTTATTATATAATAACATAATAAAAATTAAATATGCTATTATAATTTACATTTAAATATTTTTATATTATTTTACATATGCAAGAAAATAAGATAATAATTGAGAAATATAAAAGGGGACTTATTTCAATATTATTTTAATATAATATCTTTTAGATACTGTAAAATCTGAGATAACGAAATCTTAATTATTATTACATAATTATATTTAATAGAAATATCTGAATTTTTGTATTCAACTTACATTGATTTATCTGCGTTTCTAGAATCACGAGCCAAATCACTTTAGCCAAAAGCGTATCGCGTATTTGTGATGATACCTCTTCAAAGGAGAGACCAGAACTGACGACGTTTGCGGGATGATATGAAATTCATAAACCTCATGTAAATAGCTTTCCAAGGTTATACATAATAACATGTCTCATTCAATCGACTGGATTGACAAATATCAATACAAAATTAAAGAGTGTCGGAAGAGATTTTCTAACTATTACATATATAATTTTAAAGAAACTTAATCAGAAAATTGCATGTTATATGTAAACAGAAATATATCTTTTATTCTTGTCTGATTTTTATAAGAAATTATTTCTTTCTTTGTCGCGACTTATTTAATGATAAATAGGTACATCGTATTACATTTTTTCCATTTTCTCAGTAGATCAATTTTTATTTTAATGTATGATAAGTGGAATTAAAAATACTGTTCTGATGATATATATAAGATGCATAATGAAAAATTGAATAAAGTAAAAAAATTTCTATTGCTTTTATATAGAATCTAAATCCTTCGAGCGATAAAGCCGAAACTTTCGCGATATGTAATTACTAACATCTTTTTATATAATAAATTTTATTATTAAATTTATTCATTCAAATGTATATGCGTCATATTATTGCGCCCGGACTGTCATAGCCAACTTATTTTGAGATTTTTATTTATTTGTACTTTAGGAAATTTATATGTAAAATAATTTTTCTTACAAATTATTTAAAATCCAATGACAATATTGTATATTGTTAGAAATTCTATGAAGAAATATATTTTTACTTTTTCTTATACTTACACAAAATTATTTATAGCAATAATTTACTAAACTATGTACAAAGCAAATACCACTTTTCTTTCTATCTTAATTAAATTATTATATTTTTTTATTTTGCCGGATTTGTTATATATTACTTTATTTATATTTTATTTCAATATTTCTTTCTTTATTTTATTTTTCTTTATGGATTAGCAGGTCTATCTAAAACCAAGATTTAATAACATTTAGCATTATTTTTCTTTCTTCTTCCTTTTAATACATTTTACTTTTATTATTATTATTATTTGTGGAAAATTATAAAAACATTAATAAATAAATTATAGACGATCGTAAAAATATGAAGAGTTGTCAGAATAAAAGAGCGCGAAAATTTGTAAGTCAAATTTTTCACACAATAAATGTTCAGTTATAATTAAAAAATATAATAAATTCAGTACAATATATGTTCAAAGAATACTTTGTTTTATCGTCTTGTATTAAATTTCTTCTGAAAGAAAGAAATACCTAATCGTTATTAGCATACAAATATTTTATTTATTTTGATTTTATTTTATGTATTTTCTTTAACCATTAATAATTATAACATAAAAGAGAAATTTAATATTAAACATAAAATTGTATATTTTTGGCACTTGACATTTTGGAATTTATAATTATACTAAATTTCATTATTAAAACTTTTATTATTTTACAAAAATTGAAGACAATGTACAAATGTTATAAAGATATTAATAATAAAATACTAATTACTATAAACGTTAATATAAAATATTAAAATGCTATAATCTTAACATTAAATATTATTATTTACATATACATTAAATGTACTAAGTAAATATTAATAATAAGTTAAATATTGTTCATATCTTATATATATTTATATGTAGGATATATTTAATTTTATATCTTATATTTATTTAATATATAAATATTTAATAGAGCGTTATAAATATAATCATTATATACAAAAATTATATACGAAATATATAAAACATTATCAATATATGTATAAAAATTATTTTCAATATTTATGCTATATTATTGAATAATCAATACAAAAATGGGTGCATTACTGTTGCAGATGTAATGTACATGTTTTAATTACACCCATATCAATTCAATGAGACGATTTGAGTTACTCATTTAAATTTTCACTGAAACAAATAGAAAAAAAATTGCTGCTGGTTGTGCACTTCATAATAACGTGCTTCTAACTTGGTATAAATAAAATTGGTGTATTTATAGTGTTTCATAAAGTTTTGTACAAATTTCAATATCTGAAATAAATATTATATTAATTTTGATTTTTTGTTAAACAGAAATTTTGTAAAAAAGGTATAAAATTTACCTCACTGATTTGTTTCAAAGTATACACATTATTAATAAGCACGTGTAATGCCGTTATTATACTGACTTGACGTGGACTATAAAAAAATGGTATATGTATAGATATATAATAAAAACATATACACAAGCTCTTTTGATTATAGACAATATATATTTATAGAATAGTAGCTGTTACCTGTGTTCGAGTATTCTACCAAAAACTGCATTATTCTTTCAAGTATTCGAGTGTTTTTAGCATGCCTCGCAAGAGTAGAAAGAAACATATTAGTAGTTAAAGTATGAAATTTATTCTTATCTTTCTGTGTAAGCATCTTATGATCTTTCAACGTGTTTATTTCAAATCTCGGTATCAAAAACCACAGATACTGAATGATAATCAAAGGATTCTCAGAACAACTAAGGAATTTCAACATTTTATAATCGGATTTTTCTTTGTATATACGAGTTGCCATCGAATGTACGGCGTACCATAATTCTATGTCTGCTGTTTTTAAACCATTACAATATGTCCATTCTTCCCACCCAGGCGAAATTCTACGACACATAAAAAATTAATTTCTAGTTTTTGATGACATATCGATATTTAACATATTGCATTTTTATATTAATAAATATTCAGAAAAGCATTTATATATATAGAAATATATGTATATTTTTATATAATTATATAAAATGTCTCCATTGCACAAACTTTTTCTCTCTTTTGTATAATCTTCATATAAAAACAATAATAAGAGGAATAGTGGATAAATAATAATAAAAATTATCTTATATATATTTTTAAAGAAATATATTTTACTTTATTTATTTTATTTTTTAATTTTATATTTTAATTTTTTATTTCTCTTTCTTTTATATTTTTCAATTTTTTTATTGTACCAACTTTTATAATCAAATATATTAAGAAATATATAAATAAATTATATATATATTTATATATATAATATAATGATAAATAAAAATTTTATTTAAGTAATTTACATAGGAAATATAGAAATAATTTTTTCTTATTTCTTCAACATTTACTTTAGTATGAAAAACCTATGTAAAAGGTTTTTTAGCTATTTAATTTTTTTATTTTTATTACTCTTCCTGTATACGCACGTAAAGAAATTATTAAATTAAGTTAATTAACAAAAAAATGCATATGTGTATGGCATATGCTGTACAGAATAATACTATGTATATATTTAAATTTGATTTTTATTTTCTATAACTTATATACTATATTTCTAAAAGGATATAAAAATATTTACATAGTAATAATTAATATTAAAGAAAACTTACTTGTTTAATGTACTATTTTGTATATACAATTTCAAATTATTTGTGGCTATTCTAATGCACAATTGATTATTAATAACACATCCCCATTTTCTTAAGTTTAGTTTTAAATTTTGATTAAAATCGTCATCGACGAGTTTTATTTGATTGTGTATATGCTTGTATCTATATAGAAAGTGTCCTTTTTTATCTCCCAACATCTTTTTTATTTTTACTGATGGTCCCTACATTTTAAAAAATATATTTTTTTTTGTTTAATTATTATATTCTATGGAAAGGAAAATATGATATATGTATATATATATATATATATATATATATATATATATGTCCGAAAAATACACATTCTTTTTTTACTAATTGTAAGATTATTTTCTTTCAACAAGTGATTAAAATAGACTTTAAATTAATAAATTTATTTATGCTTATAACAAATAAAATATATTTCAACTAATTCCTTTAATTCTTTTTTAGCAAATTACAAATCGCTTAATTTTATACTTTTAACTTTACGCAGTTCCGATAAATTGAATTATAATTTAAATCAAGTAAAAATTTGTTTTTTAATCAAAAGTTTATAAGTAAAAACAAAATTTACAACACATAATCTTTGTTTAAAAAAAATTTGTAAGATTTTATTGCGATTGAAAGATGGTAAGAAAAATTCAATGATCATTGCGTATTAGTATAAAAAATATGCCATGTAGATTCATAAAGAAACAGAAGAAATAAATGCAGAGTTTATTTGCAGTTATTTAAAAAAATATAAAAAGTTACTAATTGTATTAAAGGCGTCATCATTGATATAAAACGACTAGCATATTGTTAAAATGTTGTTATATATTATTAGTACAAAATTTATATTTTTCTTTAACTACTAACTATTTTATATTTTTCGAAAAATCAGAATTATGTTACAAAATCGTTTGTATATGTTGATTAATATTTAATACGTTTTATCGCTACAATTTGTAAAATACCTTGAGTGCTGAAGGAAGATCCTCGTCAAGTGCATTTATCATTGCAAAATAGTTCGACATGTATTCAAAAGCTTTGATCATAGGGTACCATGCTATATAATCTTTCTCTCTTCTCGGTAAATAGCTCGCAAGTTGCCAGAATATAGAGAAATTTAGTTTTTTCTCCATCATAAGATGAAACGCGTCATCGATAATTTGTGCTCGGTTCAGAACATGTATATTAGTATAGTTTTCCGACTTTAAATAACGTGCAATTCTTCGCCAATTCTCCGGATCATAGTTGACGCGATAGTATCCTATTATTCAACAAATGAATTTTATCGATTATTTCTTTTAATAAATATAATAAAATATTACACATTATATTTATTTCCTTTATTTTAAGCATATAAAGTTGTTTTAAAAATGAATATAAGTATACATATATGTATATTATAGTAAAAGATATAAATATCTTATTAATATTACCAATCACAAAAATATTTAGATTATTAATTTAAATAAAAATTAAGTTCCAATAATTAAGCAACGTACGTAGTGTATGAAATTGTAAAAATTTAATGGGGTAATATATGAAGAATACTTTAAAGGAATATTATTATATGTAATGTGTAAAATATAATTTTAATCTTTATAAAAAATATTTTAGTATTCAAATATTTAATAATATAGATGTTTTATATAATAAAAATATATAGGTATTAATGAGATGTTAATAAATATTTATATAATGTGATAGGAAATACGGATATAAGAATTTAATTATAATTTAAAATATATACATATGTACACTAATAAGAATACTTGTGATATTTACCAGTTTGTTGTTTATCGATAATTACCCATTGATCTTCATTATCAATGGGTATTTTTAACTCGGGATTTGTTTCCGTTAAATAATAATGATCCACAATTGACAATTTTGGGTTGAAATTGATGTTCATTTCCGTAGTATAGGTGATTGGTATAAAAAAAGTTGTTGGACGAAAATATTGTCTTTTGTCTAACGATATATTTACGTAAGTTCTATTATAATCTCGTATCGCATTTAGCACAGGACAGTGCCTCTGTTCAGCCCAAACATTTATCATTCGTTTTAAGTTTATTTTGTAATCCTTATTAATTGTTGATGCATCTATGATAGTTTGCATGATATCCCATAGATTATCGGGAGTTCTCGAATTACGGTAAATCGTCCTGTAAAATTTAATGTTGTAGAATTAAATACCACATACAATATGATTGATTGATATTCTGAAAATTTAAAATCATAATTATCATTACGAATACAGATTAAAAGTATTCCTTTTTGGAATCGATTTAATAACAACTCTGAAATAATATTCTTTTAGGTTAATATAAATAAAATTTATTTAAACTTTGAGTATTATCGCTGTCAAAAGTATGATATAATAATCATTATTAAACGTGATTCTTTCCAATCGCTAGTCAATAAATAGGAAAATTAAATAATCGACCAAACTAAACTGTGATTGTGGTCCTCATCAAGTAAACAATACTACAAAAATAAATTAAAAATAATATTAAATATACAAAAAAATAAAAATGAAAGTATAATAATTACTTCAAAAACCGCATATAATAATGTACTAGTGCAGAACTGATATAATCTAGTATATAATGATATTACTTATACAATTAAATTATAACAAAATAAGTTCACAAGTTATTAACGAATTAAAACATTATATATCTTCATGACACCAGTCAGAAATAAGAAAACGAGAGACAGCATACAACTAACATGTCACGGTAACGATCGTCAACAGAATAATAAAAATTTTTGTCAGTAAGGCTATTTTATACGATCTCAATTATTTTGTTATAGAGATACTTTGTTATAATAACATTATTTGTTGCTGACAGTAGTAAAGTGACAATTAATTGCACACAAAAAATTGAATTTCAAATTTTAATCTTCCTATATAGATGTCCCAAAAAGAAAACCATTGCTTGTGAGTATATTAATGATTAACTCCAAATTTTTATTAAAAAATTGTGGGTGTGATAACAACAAACATCTGTCCACAAGGTTGTATAATATTTCAATTTTATGGCATAATAAGTGGTTAAAAAAAATGATAAAGTCCTTCCTGAGAAGATTTCTTTTTGATATCAATCAATGTATATTATATTATTAATAATTTTTAGTGATAAATCTAAGAAATTCAAGCTACGGTTAACTTCTTGTTCTACTGTGAATTTAAGTCTATCATGATAGTTATTAAAATTATTAACTATCTGAGTCATATTAATCATAGAAGTGGCTAATATTATGTCATCCACATAACGGAAGTAAAACAAATATTTTAAATATAACGCTTTAAAAACTGTATCCTCAAGATCTTCCATAACCAAGTCAGCTATAATTGGTGATAACGGAGACCCCATAGGGGTCCCAAAAGTCTGTTTGTAAATTATGTCATAAAATGTAAAATAAGTAGAAGTCAATATAAATTTTATACCACATATAAATTCGCTCTTCGGTATTCTAGTATTTGTTTCAATGTGATCCCATCTATCATTAATCCCATTAATCGCAAGATCTAGAGGTACGTTCATAAATAAAGAAACAACATCTAAAGAAAACATCTTATCGTTTTCATCAATCTTTTTACCAGACAACATACTGTAGAAATCAAAACTATTATTGATATGACTTTTAGCTTTTAGATAGGCTAGTTGGTAAGATGTTTTGTAAAAATTAAGTCAGCAAGTATAAAGCTGTATCAACCGATAAAACTATGAACGTAATTTATAATATTTCTTTTTTGAGATATAATCTTCCTTAAGCCATTTCTTTGTTTATACATGAAATAAATTTTATTTGACAGAACAACTCTAATAATTACTCGATAAGTTGGCCTTTTTATCTATCACTAGTTGTATAAAAATAAATGTTTTTATTATCACTAATCTTAATTTTAAACCTTTTACAGTGTTATATCTTCAGAATCAACAATAAAATTTAAAAATACAGCTTTAATTATATTATTTATCAGACTTATATTTATAAACTTTTAGATCTAAAAACATAAAATAATCTCAAAATAATCAATTATCTACGTTACAAACAATGGTTCCTAATATGAGATAACTCATATTACAAGACCTTCGATATTTCTTATTAAGAGTTTACCATTTGACCGAGATTCAACAAAAAACATTCACTTGTTTTACTTATAAAACACTATAATGTGCACTAGTATCATAAAATAGACTATATTAGCGATGAATTTATTAATATTTTACAACATTCAAAACAAATTTTATAAAATTTAACGTACTTTGAATCTAGTGAAAATATTTGTAATTTTGCTTCCGCGACAAATCAGCGTGTCCTCGCCTGTTCGCTGTCGCTGGCCGGCGCACATTGATACACGATTGGACCTATTTATCCGACGAAGTAAGCGACGCAAACGTCATACATTTCAAATACACAGTGTCGTTACTAACAAGGGACATGTCACAACTGTCCGGAACCGATTTGATTCTCCTTGAAATATGTTGTTAAATACACAAATCTAAAAGACACGTATTTTTTTATACGTGCGCAATTTGAGTTTTAAGGGGTGAAACACCCCTTTAAAGAATAACGGTATTTTTCTTTAGGATCAAATATCTGCTAAACTATAAGAGATATAAAGAAAAAACGTACAACAAATTTTAATGGCTTGAAGAGTACTTTAAAGTTATATGAACAAAAATTTTTTTTTTTTTTTTTTTTTTAAAAACCCTCACCACCTAATTTTTTTTTTCAAAATTAAAAATTTTGTTTTACCTAATTTAAAGCTTATTTTTTTCCAAATTCAACCATGTGTAATAAAGTTATGTTACGAAATATCATTTTCGAAAATTAATTATAAACGCTCCCGTATATACGCTCATCCGTGCTATGTGCGTAAGTAATTACCGTCGAACAATAAAATATATAAAAAATGTTTTTGTATAATTCTTATTTATGTTTTCTATGTATTTATAACTGCGTATTGTGTATATTTAGATTTAAAAAAAAATTTTTAAATATAATTAATAAGAATTTTTAAATATACCCCCTGCTTTCTTATTATTTCTTTAATATTTAATTTCTTCTATAAAAATTAAAAACAATTATATTTTATAATAAAATTATTTTTAATTGAATCTTGCGAATACCAATGTCGCAATATTTGGCATAAACAAATTTTATATCTTACGTTAAATGAATCATAAGATAAGATTATGTGTACGTGTTCCAGATAAGTTATAATTTTTACAATAAAATCTTTAATACGTTAAAATAAATAATAAAATAAGATTATGTGATGACGTATTTCTGATAAGTTAATATAAATTGTTCATGTAGCAGCATAATTCTCACAGTCGGTGTAGTCTTTTCGTTGTAATAATATCTGTGTAAACTGTTCTTTTATTGCAATAGAAAGCAAAATATAACATCTTTGAATATGATTATCAATCCGCTTAACGTTGTTAGACTTTTATTGGTGTCAATAAATTCAATATATTTAACAGAAACGCCAGTAACTGAAGCAGAAGTGGAATTAAAGGAAAACATTAAAAAAATATTACTGGATAGCGTTTTTCATTATAATGGGGTGGAAGTAACGGAAGAAATATATCTCGATTATGAAGAACCTTATAAATTACATAGTTTTGAAATAATTGAAGATGACGAAGAAGCATGGCATGAAGATAGTTTAAATTCTCATCCTCATTGTTCAAATGATGATACAAATTTTGATAGTTCTTATAAAAGACGAGCTGTTGAGTATTGGCGATTTCGGGACACTGATGAAAACAGTAATGACAGAAAAAGGAATCGTCCTCTAAGAGTAGTACAAAATAAATTTAGAAGAGTTTCATCTGAACGTCAGTTAAGGCGATGGGAAGAACAAATACAATCAGGTGGAAGTCGTACAGAAAAATTATCTTACATCTCCAAATTTACACATGATAAATTTACTGCAGCTGTCGAATCAGGATTCATGGTTCATGATATTGATTTAAAAAGATGGGCTTTACAAGCTCAAGAAGAAATAGGAAATTTAAATCCTATATTTAAAGCATCTCACAGTTGGATAGCAAGATTTAAGAAGTCTCACCGAATTGTTTCAAGAAAAGTTACGAAGTTTGTCACTAGAAGAACATTAGAAGATTCTGCTGATTTGCAAAAATCAGCTGATGATTTTCTGGAAACAGTAAAACCTCTTATTGAACAGTTTGGATCTGAAAATATTTACAATTCAGATCAAAGTGGTTTCCAATTGGAACTTCACTCTGGAAGATCATTGTCTAACCAGGGAGAAAAGAAAGTAGAACGTGTCGTGCAATCCATATCATCAACAACCCATTCATATACGATACAACCAATAATATCCTGTAATGGCAATTTGTTGTCCCCTTTATTTATTGTATTAAAAGAAGCTAATGGTAAATTTGGACCAAGAGTACAAGAAAATTTATTTAAAGCAGAAAATGTTATTGTAAAAGCATCGAAATCTGGTAAAATGACATCAGGTATTTTCCTTTTATAATTACTTTTTTTAACAACCTTATTTTATTTAACAATTTAATAAGAGTCATAAAAAAACTATTAAATTAACATTTATATTTTGTACAGATCATTTTAAAATGTGGTTAGAAGAAGCTTATTTCGCAAACATTGGTCCTAATAGCGTTCTTCTTATCGATTCATGGACTGGACATTGCCCCAATATGATTTCGGATTTAACACCTCCTGGAACACATATTACTACTATGATAATACCGAAAGGAACTACAGGGAAAATACAACCATTAGATGTTTATGGATTCAGAATTTGGAAAAATTTTGCTAAAAGATTTTCAGATGCGGTTTTACTGTTGGAAAGTAATATAAACTTACATGAACGAAATAATATAATAAAATTGCAATCTTTGATACATAATCAATTGTCATCCCCACGATATCAAAACTTATTTAAATATTCGTGGTTTAAAAGTGGTTATACGAATGAAAGACCAGACGAATTCGAAAATCCAGTACACTTTAGTTTAGACGAAACTTTAACAAAATGTGATATCGAAGGTTGCAATAATATAGCTGTAGTAAGATGTTCTTGGTGCAAGAAGTCATTATGTTTGAAACATTTTTTTGTCGAATATCATTATTGTAATGTGTATAATGAGTGAATAATATAAAATGCAAATACATTTTTAAAAAATCTAAATATACACAATACACAGTTATAAATACATAGAAAACATAAATAAGAATTATACAAAAACATTTTTTATATATTTTATTGTTCGACGGTAATTACTTACGCACATAGCACGGATGAGCGTATATACGGGAGCGTTTATAATTAATTTTCGAAAATGATATTTCGTAACATAACTTTATTACACATGGTTGAATTTGGAAAAAAATAAGCTTTAAATTAGGTAAAACAAAATTTTTAATTTTGAAAAAAAAAATTAGGTGGTGAGGGTTTTTTAAAAAAAAAAAAAAAAAAAAAATTTTTGTTCATATAACTTTAAAGTACTCTTCAAGCCATTAAAATTTGTTGTACGTTTTTTCTTTATATCTCTTATAGTTTAGCAGATATTTGATCCTAAAGAAAAATACCGTTATTCTTTAAAGGGGTGTTTCACCCCTTAAAACTCAAATTGCGCACGTATAAAAAAATACGTGTCTTTTAGATTTGTGTATTTAACAACATATTTCAAGGAGAATCAAATCGGTTCCGGACAGTTGTGACATGTCCCTTGTTAGTATCTATTTCATTAATTGTTTAATCCACAGAGTTTCTTGAATTGTAAAAGATAATGTCATATATTCGGCTTCTGTGGTTGATAAAGCAACCGTCTTTTGTCTCTTACTATACTATGAAATGAGCCCGCCATTTACTTTGACACATGAACCAGTAACGGAGTATCTTTCATTTAATTTATTATCCTAATCTGTATCGCTATATGCATCAAAATTTGATTTAATATTAAATTCTAACTTATAATTTAATGTACCTTTCAAATATCTAAGAACATATTTTTCTGCGTTCCAATGTACCGTAGTATGACAATTATTGAATCTGCCTAACAAGCTAGTTGCAAATGTTATATTCTGTCTACTTATCTACCTGTGATAAATATAGCAAACTCTCTATAACCTCTTGATAAGGTACACTTTTATTTACATTACCGTCACTAACGCTGAAATTTAATCCTGATTCGAACGACGTGTTCACTGCTTTACAGTCAACCATCTTGTATCTCTTGAGTATCTTTTCGATGTAATCTCTCTGATCAATCCACAGTTTTCTTTCTTCTGTATCTCTTGTAATAATCATCCCTATGCATTTTTTAACAGCACCAAGGTTCTTCAGCTTGAAATTCTTTTGTAAGTTTTTCTTGATGTTCTCTCTTCTTTTAATTCGAGAAAATGAACAGATCGTCAACATATACCACTACTACATTAATCGCTGATCTGTATTTCTTTTTAATGAATATATACATGAATCGCTTTTAGATCGTGTCAATCAGTAAAAAAAAGTAAATTATAGCAGCGTCAGGTACATATACATACAACGTCTCTTTTATTTCCACATTTGATATCTCTTGTCCATTTGTTAATAACTTGGATCTCTGCGGTACCAATTGATCTGGAAGCAAAGTTTTATTTTTTGCGCTGTCTTTGACGTTGCATTTGATAAATTATATTTATGTTCTTCGTAATATATGATGATTCTCCTGAATTTAAAAACCATTCTTAAACATAAATATCTTTCTTTTTCGCATGAGCCATGAACGCCTTTTTCTTCTTTTTCTTCTCGCATCATTACTGTCACCTGATACGATTTTCCATAGATTGTTGAGTTGAAGGTACGCCTGCATCGCAAATTTTCAATCTATGTAATTGTCACGATCACGCAGCTTCTCAATAGTCGGGACCATCGTTGACGATGCTATCTTTGTAGGATATGTAACAAATCACACAGATAATGTCTCTCAACTGGCACAGTTTTTCAGCCTCTTGCTCGGGACGTTTGGCGGAATTCTTTAGACATGCACGATAAGTTAAGTGAACCGCGCGCTTCTCAATGCTAGAATCCTTTAGCTTTACATTTTCACTATATATTATTGTTCAATGGGCATTTCTACTGTCTGGGCCCATAATTTATAGGATTTAGCAGAGTAAAGAACAGATTTTTAGATTAAAAAACAGTTTTAATATTCGACAAAGAAATACAATGCACATCTCAGTTGTCCATACCATATTGTGAGAGCGCGCCTGCACTGAGCATATTACATACATATTTTTTCAACACAGTAGTCATATTCACATTATTTAAAACTTTTGTTACAGAGAAAAAAGTAAAGAAAATATTAAATTATGTTTCTTTTATAAAGAGTTTGAAGAATCATATAAAATCAATATCAATTTTTTATTTAGTTCATTGAAAAACTTATTATAGATCTCATATATATCATCAGAAGAGAATTTTAAATTCGATTCACATTACATTAAAATAAAAATTAAGTAAAAAATAGAAAAAATGGGAAATAATGAACCTATTTTATAAATCTTTCAATAAGTTGCGACAAGGAAAGAAATAATTATGTATAAAAATCAAACAAGAATAAAATATATGTTTCTCAAACAGAAGTTTGCATATAACATATAATTTTCTGATTAAATTTCTTCAAAATTAACTTATTTATAATAAATATGAACACTATTACAAAATTCTTTAATTATGTATTGACATTTATCAATCTGGTAACGATTGAATGAGACGATTTTTACATACCTCGGGAATAACCTTGGGAAATTATTTACATGAGATTTATATATTTCATATGTTATTATCCTGCAAATGTCGTCAGTTTTCAATTGTCCTTTGGAGAGGTAACATCACAAGTAAGCGATACACACTCGGCTACGGTGATTCGGCTTGTCATTTTACAAACAGATAAAGTAATGTAAGTCAAATATAAAAATTCAGATATTTCTATTAAATATAATAATATTAAAATAAATAAAGATTTCACTATCTTAGAGTTTTCTATTTCTAAAAAATATTTTATTTTAATGTTAAAATAAACATTTAAATATGTCTTTTTATGTTTTTATAATTATTATCTTTATTTCTCTTTTGCATATTGCATATAATATAAATATATTTAGATGTAAATATTATAATAACATTTCCAATTTTTTATTATATTATTACATAATAAAAATTGAAAATGCTATTATAATATTTACATCTAAATATATTTATATTATCTGTGTCTACTTATGATTAATCATATAAAAATTAATGAAAAATTTGCTATATTAAAAAATAAAAAAATATTAAAGTATTAAAAAAGAAATAAAAATTATAAACGGATTAAGTTTTGTTTCATATATATTTTCCCGAAAAGATATTTAGAAGCAATATTTTCTCATATATGTTAAACGAAATTTAACATATATAAGAAATCAGTTTACATTCTTAGAAAAATGTTTATATAATGAGTAAAAATAAAAAATTTGCATTATGTTTTTTAATTTTCTGATGAAACATATACATCGATAAAATTTCAAAGAACATGAATATCAACATGTTTATTATCGGTTGCCTTAGAGTATAAGTACATGATATACAAATGACATAAATATGGTGATAATAACATATTAATAATAAGCATGATAAATTTCAAGGAACGAAGTCTAGTTATTAAAAAAAATGATTTTATACATATTATATATGCTTAATAATTTAATATTTCAGAATTCAATATTAATAAAAGCTTTATAATATACATTTAGATAAACTTATTTTATAAAGTGTACTAAAAGTGTGACCAATTGTTCAGGAAATATTTGGATACTTAAAAACAAGAAAAAAGTTGATATATATTATAATTATGTTAATTATGTTACCAAAATTATAAAAAACTTCTCTTCTTTCAATTTTGAATTAGGATGTAAGGCAAATAAATATTTAATTTCATAAAAATAAAGTTATATAAAATTAACGCAACTCCGGACATATATATTAACTTTTTTCTTGTTTTTGTATTCCATTTATTAGTTACATTTATAATTTATTTTTAATTACCATAGTTTTAACGTATTTCTTAATTGTCAATATTATTGCAGTGTTTTTAAAATAAATATATGAAATATAATTGTGACTGTTGTTTTAAAATACAGATTAAATTCACTAATCAAGCATAAAATTGGAATAAAAGGAACTTTATCGAAAACAATTAAACAGTATACCAAAATTTTAATATTAATTTTTATAAATATAAATATGTTACAATCATCACCTATAGTCAATCAGATAATGTTTAGCAAAATGGAATATATGTATTTTTATCTTTCTATTATTTACTTATTATAAATACATATAAATAAATCTGTTTGTATGTGTATTGAAAACGTTTTATAAAAAAAAATTGTCGAAAATTGAAAAAAGTTGATATCATCAGTTCTCAGTCATATTGTAAGTTATAAATATGGATTGAAAAATAATTGCTTTGTATAATTCATCTATCTTAAGTCATTAAAAAGTAGACGCCGATAATATTGTGTAAATACTGAGAAAACTAATTTTCTGGGAACTAAATGATTAGGCACACACAATTTTAACTTGACGTTTATTTTAAACACATATTGTATGTAATAAAAAAATATACAATACAATTTATGTAAAGATATTTTAATTTTTTCATTAAAATCGGCAGTCTTGCGTTGTTTTACATTATATATCATTATTTAACATTATATTTGTATACATAATATTTTTACATTATACATATATTATAAATTATTCTCTGATTCTGTTTTTTGTTTCACTTACTCATCAAAGAAATGTTTTTGCAGATATCTTAGACGAGACTAAGCACGATGTTCCTAAAATTGTCATTGAATATTTTATTATATATCCTTGTAATGACGATGGCCTTTTCTATCGAAAATACGAGAAATTTGTGGCATAGTGGGACTGCTTTGACTTCCTATCATTTCTTGAACAGTCTGACATCGCTTCATTATAACTTGAAGATATCATTGATGCCTGGTTACGTGTCTCATGGAGAGTCCAATATTACTGTTTATATTCGTGATCTAACACGAGACTTAACTTTACTTACATCAGAATATATAAATATAACAACAGTAAATTTAAAATCGTTCGACAATAAAAGAATCTATATACCAAAGCGTTTCTATAGTCGCAATAAGGATTACGTCGTTCTTGATTTTACCTCATATTTGTGGCCTAAAAATAGTTTGGAACTCGGATTGTATATTCTATACGTTAATTTTTTAAACGTTGACACGAAAGAACTTCCGCAAACTTGGTACACATACGATAAAGAAAATAAAAAGTGAGTATCTAATGAAATATATTAAAAAATTAGCTACATTATTTACGGTGTATATATATAGATTGTCCCATTTCAAACAATTATCTGTTTTATTTGCAATTAATTGGCCTCATTATTCCGTGCATAATAAAATTATAAAGATAAATGATTACCGAAAACCAACTATTTTACAACATATTTTACATTTTGTGTCAAAAAGTTGACTTCAAATTTTATAACTCAAAAAGTATTTAAGAACAAAATATTTTTAGAGCGTTTTGGAAAGCTCTTGAGATGAGCTACAAGAACATGCAACCAAAATAGTAGGTTTTATTTATAATAAAAAATTAAAGATGATCTTTACGTAACCTTCACACGACTATCGATAATCAAATCTTTGTTACTATATCTTATATCTCATTTGAAACCCATATAACTATTGTTTGAACCATCATTTATCAATAAAATTATTGGTTTGCGAGATATAACACTGTAAACCTTACAAAATGCGATAGTCACATGTAGTATATTTTATATATCAATAATTGTTAAAAATTTGTTATTGAAATGTTTCAGGTTTATTGCAACATTGTTCCAACCCACAAATAGTCGACCATTATTTCCATATTTTTACAAATCTGAATTAATCACCTTTAACATCTCAGTAGAACATGATAGACGATACATCGTTTTATCAAATATGCCGATAAAGAATCGATTTATATCTAATGACGTTATGCTTACGCATTTCCACGCGTATCCTGTGACATATATTTACGATGTAGCACTAATTCTGATGTCGTCTAATATGACACCTTCAAATCCCGAATATGATACTTTTCTCTTTCCTTCTTCGAAAATAAAGATCAATACGTGGAGCAGATCGCATTTGGTACCACACATGAAATTTGCGCGACGTGTTCTCGAAAATGTAACCATGTATTTAGATGACAATTGGAATATTATGAGAAGAGTCCTAAAAGTGGATTATGTCGTTATTCCAAATTTCGAGGGCAATATCAGGCAGACTTGGGGATTGATATTTTACAAGTAATACAAATTACTTTTTGAATTTAAAAATCATAATTATAACTTATTAAAATATATTTTATTATCAACTTTTAAAACTAAAAAAATTTAACACATTTATTTCATATGATTATTGTTAGAAATTAAAGAGTAATTTAATGAAATAGTGATTTATACATAATTTATCGGAGATTTATGTACATAAATTATTTTAACATTTAGAAAAAATCCAATAGTCGGAAATATACGTACATTGGTGTCTAAAGTTATTACCATAAGTGATTTAAATGACGGTAAATAATACATGTGTTGTTAATATAGTAAAATTATCGAATAACTACATTTATATTTATCATGTAATAACTACATTTAATTGTTCACATATTAAAAAAATTAATTTATCATTACTTGCAATAATCTTAAATCGTGAAAATATTTAAAATTATTTAGCAATATTAATTATGTATGTATATAATACATTTAGGTTTAATCAGCGATGTGCAAAATGGATGTCTAAATTCATTTAAAATAGAAAATGCAAAATATTTGGAAGTTTTTAGTTTAAAATAAAAAATGCAAAATGCAAATTGTTTTTTAGATATCTGCCTAAAATAGGAAATAGTAATTTTTATAAATAAATATGATTTTTCAAATATTTTGATATATATAAATTCTCATTTTTCATTATTTATTTTTACAATTATTACTTATATTTGAATTCTTATTTTTTATTAAATTTTTATTAATTTTACAAACTTTTTGCATGAGCTTTCTATATAAACTTTCTTCCATAAACTCTTTAAACTTTTATAAATTTTATATATTTTTATAATATAAACAAAAAGTAAAACATTGCATAAAGTTATACAGAATTGCAAAAAATGTTTATTGATTGCATTTGCTTAATGACTCCTGTAATTACATTTTGATTGTTTTAACTATACATATATTATTATATATCTCATTTAATTTTTGGTTTTTTACGAAAAATGCATTTGAAATAAAAATGAGTAATAAAATCTATTTAAATGTAAGTAAAAATAATTTTTGAAAATCTGTATCTTTGTATTTTAAATGCAAAATACAAAATACCCATTTTTACATTTTATATTAATTTATTTTAAATGCATTTATTTAAAAAATTTAGATGCATAAATATCTCTGGTTTTAATGCAAATTAAAAATGCTTATATATATAACAAAGAAGTATCGACATAATCATGTTATTCATTCTATTACACTTTTCAGTGAAACGTATATTACCTACAATGAAGAATTATATCCTGTTGAGTATAAAGGTACAGCAGTACACTTAATATCTCATACTATAATATATCAATGGTTTGGTGATCTCTTCTATCCATTTTGGTATACTCACGGGTTAAACCAGGGTTTCATTAAGTTCATCGAAGCATATATCATTGATAAGGTTATTATATTATTATTATAAATTTATTGTAAATTATTATTGTTATAAATTTGTGAAGCTAGTTAAAAATATTTTCTGCTGATATTGTAATAACCTGAAAAGATTTGAAATTGGTTTCCCCTCTATTCATTAAAAATAGAAGAAATACGAAAAAATATTAAAGATTTTATTTTTTAACTTCTTACAATGTTTTAATAATTTAAAAAGAGACATATAGATAACAAGTATATTTAAATTTTTTATTATAATTTGCAAATACTTTGCAGTTTGTTTTTTGTATAATTTGAATAACATCTTTATATTTCAAATACTTAGACATCAAGTAAAAATGCACAATTATAAAATTATATAATATTATATTATATAAATATAATATGAATGTTTTATTTAGAAGTCAATTTATTACATGTATCAGTGCGTGTTATTAATCCTTCTTTTCTGTCTCTAGGTTTTTCCAAATTCTCGGATAATGGACTTGTTCATAATTCAAGATCAGCATGAATATCGTTATATGGACATACACTTTCCTCCTAATATTTATGGAATGTATGTAAAAGATGTCTTTAAAATTAATTCACGTTCTATTTGTCAACAAATTCTAGGTACGTATGGATGTATGTGTCTGAATTATATAATTTGATTATTTTAAAAATATAATTATTTATATAAATATCTGTAAATGTAATATAATTAAATATTAGTAAAATTCTAAATCATAATAAAATATCTAGAAAAAATTAATTAATTTTAATTTTATGTTTATTTATTCTTATTTTAATTAAGCTGTAAAAGAAAAAATTTGGTAAAAAGTAAAATGAGAAGAGGCACTTCCGTTGATCTTGACCTCGACATATGATAACTCTGAATATTTATAAGGTATTAGCCACTGGTCATTATTTATTAAAAAGTTATTAATAAATTAAATAAACAATAATAAATAAGTATGTGTTTAACTTTATACTTTAAACGTAATTTAGTGTACAATCAATATTATTTTGCATATTTACGTTTATGGATATTTCAAATGTTGAGTATCATATCATCCCCCTTAATAACATATAGCAAACTCAAGGTCAATAGGTGAAGTGTCTCTACCATCTTCATTTTTACCTTACATTATATTTTTAAGTTATATATATTTAAGTATAAATATATGTTTTAAATATTATGTATATACAAAGTATCCCATTTTAAATGATCCACGCAAACATCTCAAAAAATATTAGAGATACGAAAAAATGTTTCAAACAAAAATTGTTTGACTTTAAGGGAAACATAAGATGGTGTTATTGGTTTGACAGTTGGATAGTCGTTTGTAGGTCACATTGAATGAAAATCATCTTGAATTTTTTAACGGAACTCCTTATTTTTTATTACATACTTTTGTAGCTTATTTCGGGTGCTTTTCAAAACCCTATAATAAAGTATTTTCTCATGGAATACTCTTTGAGTCATAAAGGTTTCAAGCTAACAATTTTTTGACATAATATAAAATATCATGTAAAATATTCCATTTTCAGTAATTATACCTTAATACTTTTTTGCACGGAATAATGAGACCAATGAATTATAATTACCGAAAACAATTTTTGTTTAAAACATTTTTCGTATCTCTAATATTTTTGAGATATTTGCGTAGATCATTTAAAATGGGACACTCTATACATATATATATTTTAATATATTTTTTTAATATGTATATACATATATTTAATTTTTAAGTATATATTTAAGTGTACATATATTTATATATAATTATACAATTTATATTACTATAATAGGACCCATTGCATGGCGCATGTTAGAAAGTGTAATACCCAATAATGCGTTTTGGAAGAGTATCAATACATATCTAAAAACGGAGTAAGTGACAAATACATTGTAATATACATATGTATAATATATTTATTATAATGAAGATATTGTGGACAATGTTGGTTTTGTCGATTATTTATAATATTGATCCAGTTTTTTAATCACATTATTTAAAAAATTTATACGGGATTTAAATTTTGTTTGTACTTTCTGTTTATTTTTAAATTATTACTTTGGTTCGAATAATATACAGCTTTGGCCAAAAAGTATTAGGTACTCTATAATAATTCTATTATCTTATGTTTCCGTGTAAAAAAAATGAAATCATAGAACTTATAAAAGAAAGTGTTTTTTTATTGTTTATTCAATATTGGTATCTTCTCCTTTTGTTTTAATTACATCAGCAATTTATTGGGCATAATGGCTACTATAATTGACATCATTGTTCTGGTGCTACATTTTTCAGTCTTTTAAAATTTCTTTTTTAAATGCGTACTAATATATTTGCGATAATAGCGACATCTGACAGCAGACTAGCGTTATAACGCCAAAAAAGTGATATAGCAATTAAAATAAATCAGTTGTTTATTGACCCATTATAAGGGGGCCGCATTCCGACGGATGCTTTGAGAAGTTTTTGTTTTTTGCTTTTTTATCGACAAAAATATAAGGTTAGATAAACTATAAATCTATTTATTAGTTATACGGATTGTTTTTATCTGAAATTAGAACGCTTCGCTTTTTGTTAATATTGATACTTTAATATGTACAGGAAAAAGATTTATTAATCTGTATGGTCTCATATTTCTTTATTACAGAATTATGAATTCTTATTCTGTAATTAAGAAATATGAAACTATACAGATTGATAAATCTTTTCTTATACAAATTAAAGTATTAAAATTAACAAAGGGTGAAACGTTCTAATTTCATGTAAAAAACAATCTATATAGCATATAGCCAATAAATAAATTTATAGTTTATTAAACCTCATATTTCATCGATAAAAAAGAAAAAAACAAAAGACGTCTCAAAGCATCCGTTGAAGTTCAGTCAACCGTTTAGAATTCCCTTAACTGAGATATCTATTCTTAAAAATACTCTTCAACATTTCAATATAATAAAAATTAACAATAGAATCATTTCCAATAAATATTAAGAGAATATCTCATAAAATAAAGGTGTCTAATACTTTTGGCCAAGGCTGTAGATTTTTCATTAAAGAATTATCGATTGACTATATTTAGAATAACTTATTTCAAATTGAACTGGAATTGATTTATAAATTATAATTTCAGATATTTATTTAGTTTTAAAAGAATGCGGAAACTGTCTGTTTTATTGATAAAATGCGAAGTTGTATTCGACAATAAATCTTTTTATTAATTATATGGATTAAAAAATTCTTCTCACAATTAAAGTATTAAATATTTAATATTAACATATGCGGAGAGCGCTATAATTTTAGGGGAAAATACAAAAAAAATTAAAAAATTACATTTTTGTATTGACCTTTTTCCATTTTTTTTACACAAAATTTAAAATTATATTATTTGCACGTCAAATTAGTAAATATTACAAAATTACATTAACATTCACTAAACTATTTAGAAGAAAATAATATTTTATTGAAATTCTGGCTTTTTTCTGAGCATTCGGTTTTGTCAACGCTGAAAACAACTAAAAGGATATTAAACTGCAGCGATTTTTTATAAGATAAATAGATTTTCTATAACATGAATAGCGCGTTGATACTTTTGTTTTCGATTATCTCCTAAATATTCTTAAAATAATAATTATGATTATATATCTTCAGAATTTAAATCAATTATATGGTATTTTTTCTACAACGTCAAATTTTACAGGTTGATTAACGTCAATTCAAGACTTCCTGATAATCTATGGAATATTATGCAGACTACCATAGATAAATCAGCAATTGAGAATTATGAAATAGACATAAAAAAATGATGAATGTTTGGACTAAACAGAAGTACTGTCCTGTGCTAAATGCGATACGAGATTATAATGGAGCTTATATGAATATATCGATAGACAAAAAACAATTTCTCAATCAATCAACTTTTTTTATACCCATCACCTACACTACGGAAATGAACATCGATTTCAACACAAAATCGCCAACGATTGAGCATTATTTAACAGAGTCAAATCCCGAGTTGAAAATACCCATTAAAGATGAAAATCTATGGGTCATTGTCAATAAACAACAAATTGGTAAATATCATAACTATACTTTAACAATTAATACTATAACAATTAATACATATTTTTTTAAAAATATAATTAAATCCTTATATCTCCTTATTTCCTTTCACCATATAAAAACAAATATTTGCCGATAAAACAGACAGAGTTAACATTTCCTTAAAGTTTCTATTTTTTTGTTATATAATATATCTATCTTTATTAAATATTTAAATTTTAAAATATTTTTTGTAAAGATTGAAATTATATTTTATACATTACATATAATAATATTCTTTTAAAATATTTTTCATATATTACCATTAAATTTATACAATTTCAAACACCACGTACGTTGCTTAACTTATTGGAGCTTTAACTTTTTATTTAAATTAATATCCTAAATATTTTTATAATTGATAACATTGATAAAATATTTCCATTTTTTTAATAATAAAATATAAATGTGTATACATATTTTAATTTTTGGTACATATTTACATGCTTCAAATGAAGAAAATAAATATAATGTGTAATATTTTATTATATTTATTAAAAGAAATAATCGAGAAAATTAATTTGTTGAATAATAGGATTCTATCGCGTCAATTATGATCCAGAGAATTGGCGAAGAATTGCACGTTATTTAAATTCTGAAAATTATATTAATATACATGTTCTCAACCGAGCACAAATTATCGATGACGCATTTCATCTTGCGATAGAGAAAAAACTGAATTTCTCTATATTCTGGGATCTTGCGAGCTATTTACCGAGAAAAGAGAAAGATTATATAGCATGGTACCCTATGATCAAAGCTTTTGAATACTTGTCGAACTATTTTGCAATGATAAATGCACTTGACGAGGATCTTCCTTCAGCACTCAAGGTATTTTACAAATTGTAGCTTTAAAATCGTATAAAATATTAAAAATTAATATATACAAACAATTTTGTATAATAATTCTTATTCGTAAAAAAATTGGTATAGTAGGCATAATTAAAGAAAAATTTAATTATGTGCTAATTATATATGATAAAGTTTTAATAATATACTAATTTAAATTGTTTGATATCAATAATGACATTTCTAATAAATTCAGTAACTCTTTATATTTTTCTAAATTGCAAACAAACTCAGTATTTATTTTAACAGTTTCTTTAAGAATCTACGTGGCATATCTTTTAGATTAACATATAGAAAGATTTGACATTAAATTCATCTACCAGCTTTTAATCGCAATAAAATCTGACAAATTTTATTTTATAAATGAGATCATGTGTTGCAAATTTTGTTTTTTTACTTATCTGTTGTTTCTCTTATAAACTTTTGCTGAAAAAACAAATTTTTACTTAATTTAAATTATAGTTTAGCATATCATATCCAAATTTTGGAATCGTGTATAGTTAAAAGTGTTAAAATAAGCGATTTATAATTTGCTGATAAAGGAATTAAAGGAATTAGAACATAATTTATTCGTTATTAGCATAAATGAATTTACCAATTCGGATTTTATTTTAATAACTGATTCAAATAATTTATAATATATAATAATTTTAGTAAATAAAAATGTGTATTTTCTTGCATATATATATTTACCTTTGTATATAATCTAAAGCTCAAATAAATATATATTTTTTTCATTATAGGAAGTATCAGTAAAAATAAAAAATATGTTTGAACATATGAAAGAGCACATATATATATTTCTATATAGGTACGGGGGTATATACAATGAAATAGGACTCTTTAAAGACGATTTTGATAAATATTTAAAACTGGATTTCCTAAAATGGGGATGTGTTATCAATAATTATTTGTGCACGGAAATTGCTAAAAATAAATTGGAATTGTATTCACAAAATCGTGCATTAATAAGCAAGTAAGTTTTTTTAAATATTAATTATTTCTATGTAAATATTTTTTATATTCTATTAAAAATATAGTTTATATGTCAAAAATAATACAAAATTAAATACAAATATATGCAGATTATTATTATCTATAATATATGCCACACACATATGTGTCTTGTTAACTTAATTTAGTAATTTTTGTATGTATATATAAGAAAAAGAATAAAAATAAAAATAAAAATCAACTAAAAATCTTTACAATTTTGCAAAATATAATAAATGTTAAAGAAATAAGAAAAACTTATTTTTGAATTTCCTGTGTAAATTATCTACATAAAATAAAAAAATAAAAAATAATAAATTAAAATAAAAACAATTTATATTTTTTTCAAAAAATACAAATACAAAACAATTTTTACAATAATTTATCCATTATTTATTTTCTTATTATTGTTTTTATATATACGAACAGAGATTATACAAAAAAGAAGAAAAGTTTATGGACACATTTTATATAATTATATATATTCATATTTCTATATATAAATTTTTTCTTATATATTTATTAATATAAAAGTGCAGTATGTTAAATATTAACATGTCAAAAACTTGAAATTAACTTTTTATTTGCTTAGAATTTCGCCTGGATGGGAGGAATGGATATATTGTAATGGTTTAAAGACAGCGAACGTTAGTATGTGGCTCACTGTATATTTTATGGCATCTAGTATGTATAAGGGAAATTCCGATTATAAAATGTTGAAATACCTTTGTTGTTCTGAGAATCCTGACATTATTGTTCTATATCTGTGGACTGTACTACCGGAATTTAAACAGTACTTGTTAAATAGTCATAAGATGCTTACACAGAAAAATAAAGATAAAATTGATAGTTTAATTACTAATATGTTTCTTTCTACTCTTGCGAGACAAGCCGACCACGCTCTAGTACTTAAAGAAATACTGACGTCTTATGGAAAGAATTATAAAAACAGGTAACAACTTTCATTCTATAAATATATGTATATTGTAAATGATCAGGAAAATTTATTATGTATCGTATATATTTTTATGCAACTGGCGCGCGAAAAGTCGCCCTTTCCGCATATGATGGGATTTTAAAAAGGGCTTTCCACGCACCTGTCACACAAAATATCGTAGCTAACATGTGCGGGTCATAAATCGGCCGATCGTGCAGATTGTCATACCCGACTTCGCCTCGTGCGCCAAACTTCCACACTTTCGGCCGATTTACGATCTCCCGCACTTGTTAGCTAATATACTATTATTATATATTTAAACATATACTATTTTTTTATAGTCCGGTCAATATGACAACGGCATTAAACGTGCTTATTAATAATGTGTATACTAGTAATCTACTTACCAAGGTAAATTTTATACTTTCCTTTATACATATTTTTACAAAATTTTTGTTTAATGAAAAAATAAAAATTAAAATAATATTTATTTCAGATACGTGAATTTGCAAAACAAAATATGCCATCCTTAGATTATCAATTTATTGAGTACAAGTTAACGACGCGTTCTCATAAATTGATCGCTCAGATCCATTTTTTTAACGATATGTTCGAATAAAAGTTTAAAACCAGAAGATCAATGCATCTACTTGAATTGATATAAATGCAATAATATAGCATAATATATATCAACAAATTGCAACAATAAAGAACAAATTTATATTAAACATCTAATACTATAGCATAAATATATAAATATTTAAAATAATATTTTATATATTTATAGTGTTTTATATATTTGTTATTTATTTATATATATAATATAGTTTATATATATGATTATCTCGAATCTTCTAAAAAATTTTTCTATTAACTTTTCTTTCACGTAATAATTTTTAACAATTGAATAACATAAATAAAAATCATGTGTAAATGAATAAAATACGTGCATATAAATAAAGAATACGTGCATATAAATTATAGTTTGTGATTTTTTTAATCTCCAATAAGGAGAAAGGTAAATCCGAGAAAATGAAGAAAAATAAAATTCATACTTTGAAAACATTCTTAAATTATAAATAAATATTTTTAATTATATGTATTGACTTTTATCAATCTGGTAACGATCGAATAAGACGATTTTTACATACCTCGGGAATAACCTTGGGAAGCTTTTTACATGAGATTTATGTATTTCATATGTTATCATCCCGCAAACGTCGTCAGTTCGCGTCTGTTCTTTGAAGAAGTAACATCACAAGTAAGCGATACACTCTTGTCTAAAGTGATTCGGCTCGTGATTCTACCACCAGATAAAGCAATGTAAGTCTCTCTCTCAGATATTTCTATTAAATATAATAATATAAAGATAAGTAAAGATTTTGCTTTATCAGAGTTCTCCATATCTAAAAGATATTTTATTTTAATGTTAAAATAAACATTTAAATGTCTTTTTATGTTGTTTAGTCAATCATCTTAATTTTTCTTTTGCATATTGCAGATAATATAAATATATTTAGATGTAAATTATAATTGCATTTTAAATTTTTTATTATATTTATACATAAATTAAAAATTAAAGACAGATTAAGCTTTATTTGATATATTTTTTCACGAATTGATATATATATAATAAATATTTTCTAATTTGTTAAATTAAATATAACATACATTCCAATAGAGCATACAGTCTCGAAACGGATATATTAAAATAAATCCAAATATAAAACATTTAAATTTATGTTTTAAATATAATCATTTAAAAATTAATGAAAAATTAGCTATATTAGCGTTCTCCACTTGTAAATAATATTTTATTCAATGTTTAAATAAATATAAAGTTTTCCTTTTTTTATTTCGGATATTATCTTTTTTTCATATATTTCATGTAACATGAAAACATTTAAATGTAAATTGTAATATTTTTTGAATTTTAAAAATTTTAATTGGTTATAAAAGAAATAAAAGTTAAAAACGCAGATTAAGTTTTGTTTCAAATGTTTTTTCCCGAAAAGATAACTAGAAGTAATATTTTTTCACATATGTTAAATCAAATATCAGTTTATATTCTTAGAAAAAGGTTTATACAATAATGAGTTAAAATGAAAAGTTTGTATTACGTTTTGATTTGCTCATAAAACATACAACGACAAAATTTCAAATAAGTTTAATATCAACATATTTGTCGGGTTTCTTAGTGTATAAGTACATGACTTACAAATGACTTATAAATCTGGTGATAATAACATATTAATAACAAGCACTTTATAAAGTGTTCCAATCGCTCGGGAAGTGATTGGATGATTAAACTTTATCAGTTCCATTTAGAAGCTACTTTTATTTACCATAGTTTTAACGTATTTTTTATATTTTCAAGATTATATTTGTGTTCTTAAATCAAATATATATATAAAATATAATTAACTGGTTTTTTAAATATAAACTAAATTAAACAAGCATTCCATAAAATTGGAATAAAAGGAGCTACATCGAAAACAGTTATACAGTTATATTATATTTTAACAACATAGTTTTATAAAAATAAATGTTGCAATCATCATCTAATTAACTTGATAATATTTAGCAAAATAAAAAATATATATATTTTATAAATATATATATGTATTGTATATAATTTTCTCTATTATTTTTTTATTTTTAATTAAATTACATAATTAAATCTGATTGTATGTGGATTAAATATATTTGACCATTATAAGACCATTGTAGAAAGCTGAATAAAGTTAATATCATTAATAAATTTTTAATCATATAATAAATTATAAATATGTAGACTTAAACACAATTGAATTGCGTAATAAAGAAATATAAAATACAGCTTATATAAAGATATTCTCATTTTTTTACTAAACTGAGCAGTTTTAACTTTTTTACATTATATATCATTATTTTACGTTATATTTTTATACATCATATTTTTACATTTTATATTATTATTTTACTTTATATATTATAAATTATTCTCTGATTTTGTTTTTCGTTTCACTTACTCTCATCAAAGAAATGTTTTTGCAGATATCTTAGACGAGACTAAGCACGATGTTCCTAAAATTGTCATTGAATATTTTATTATATATCCTAGTAATGACAATGGCTTCCTCTATCGAAAATGAGAAAAATTTGTTGCATAGTGGGACTACTTTGACTAGCTATCATTTGTTGAATAATTTTATATCGCTTCATTACAACTTGAAGATATCACTGATGCCTGGTTACGTTTCCCATGGAGAATCCAATATTACTGTTTATATTCGTGGTCCAACACGAGACATAACATTACTTACATCAAAATATATAAATATAACAACAGTAAATTTAATATCGGTCAGCAATAAAAAAATCTATATACCAAAGCGTTCATATAGTCGCAATGAGGATTACGTCGTTCTTGATTTTACCTCATATTTGTGGCCTAAAAATAGTTTGGAACTCGGATTGTATATTCTTTATGTTAATTTTTCAAACGTTGACACGAAAGAACTTCCGCAAACTTGGTACACAAACAATAAAGAAAATAAAAAGTGAGTATCTAATGAAATATATTAAAAAATTAGCTATTATTTACGGTGTATATATGTATATATATATATATATATATATATACATATATAGATTGTTCCATTTCAAACAATTATCTGTTTTATTTGCAATTAATTGGCCTCATTATTCCGTGCATAATAAAATTATAAAGATAAATGATTACCGAAAACCAACTATTTTACAACATATTTTACATTTTGTGTCAAAAAGTTGACTTCAAATTTTATAACTTAAAAAGTATTTAAGAACAAAATATTTTTAGAGCGTTTTGGAACGCTCTTGAGATAAGCTACAAAAACATGCAAAAAAATAGTAGGTTTTATTTAAGAAATTAAAGATGATTTTCATGTAACCTTTACACGACTATCGATGGTCAAATCTTAGTTACTATCTTATATCCTATTTGAAACCCATATGACTATTGTTTGAACCATTTATTAATAAGATTATTGGTTTGCGAGATATAACACTGTAAACTTTACAAAATGCGATAGTCACATATAGTATATTTTATATACATATATCAATAATTGTTAAAAATTTTTCATTGTTTCAGGTTTATCGCAACATTGTTCCAACCCACAAATAGCCGATTATTTCCATGTTTTTACATATCTGAATTGGTCACCTTTAACATCTTAGTAGAACATGATAGTCGATTAACGGTTTTATCGAATATGCCGATAAAAAATATGTCTATATTTAATGACGTGACGCTTACACATTTCCACATGAGTCCTATGATATATATTTATGATGTAGCATTAATTCTGATGTCGTCTGATATGAAAACTTCTGATTCCAGCAGATATAATTCTTATGTCTCCCGTTTTCCGAAAATTAAAGTCAATACGTGGAGTAGATCGCATTTGGTACCGCACATGAAATTTGCGCAACATGTTCTCGAAAAAATAACCAAGTATTTAGAAGACAATTGGAAAATCTTCAGGAGAGTCCCTAAAGTGGATTACATCGTTATTCCGAATTTCGAGGGAAATATCAAGCAGACTTGGGGATTGCTACTTTACAAGTAATAAATACATTTAAGATTTAAAAATTATAATTATAATTGATTAAAGCATATTTTGTTTTTAGCTTTTAAAACTAAAAAAGTTTAAAACATGCATTTTATAAGATTATTGTTAGAAATTAAAGAGAAATTTAATGAAATAGAGATATACACATAATTTTTCGGAAATTTATATACATAAATTATTTTAACATTTAGAAAAAATTCAATAGTCTGAAATATATGCGTGCATTGGTGCCTAAAGTAATTTCTCTATAAGTGATTTAAATTACAATAAATAATAAATGTGTTGCTATTATAACAAAATAATGAAATAATTACATTTATATTTATCATGTAATAATTATATTTATTTATTCACAAATTCGAAAAATTAATTTATAATTACACGAATCGTTATATACAATTTCAAATTTTAATGTTGAACACATATGATTATATTTCTATCATTAAACATATTATTATTAATTAACATAATAGCTATATTTTTTATATTAATCTTTATTAGAAGATTTATTTTAACACATCAAGGAAATAATATGGTAAAAATAAAATATTTGCTTATTATATTTTTAAAAAGAAAAAATAATAGGTACATAAAGTTAAATAAAATAATTTGATAAACTTAACATAATACATGTTTACAAAAAATGAAATTTTTCATTATCAAGGTGTAATATTAATTTATTTAAGTGTAATATTAATCTATTTATATATTGCACGTATATAATTAATTTATTTATTATTAATAATTAAACAAAATAAACAATTTTGCAATTGTTAAATTTAAATTCTTATTTTTTATTTAATTATTATAAATTTGAAAAACTTTTGCATGTGCTTTCTATTTAAACTTTCTTTTATAATCTCTTTAAACTTTTATAAATTTAAATATTTTTAATATAAACAAAAAATAAAACATTGCATAGAGTTATATGAAGTTGCAGAAAATGTTTACTGATTACATTTGCTTAATTCCTTCTTTAATTACATTTTAATTGTTTTTCATATATATTATTATATATCTCGATTAAATTTTTAGTTTATACGAAAAAATACATTTGAAATACAAAATAAAGTTATTATTTAAGTGTAAATGTAAAGTAATTTTTGAAAACTTGTTTTTTTTTGTATTTGAAATGCAATATACAAAATAATCTTTTTACATTTTAATCTATTTTAAATGTATCTATTTCAAAATTTACATGCATATCTCTAGTTTTAATGCAAGTAAAAAATGCTTCTATATAATAAAAAGTATTGATATACATAACCCTTTTATATACAATTTTCAGTGAAACATATATTATCTACGATGAAGAATTATATTCTGCTGCGTATAAAAGTATAGCAATGCGCTCAATTACTCATGATATAATATATCAATGGTTCGGTAGCCTTTTTTATCCGTCTTTTTGGTTAAATCACTGGTGGTTAAATGAGGGTTTCATTAAGTTTATCGAAGAATATATCATTGATAAGGTTATTATATTATTATTATTAATTTATTATAAATAAATATAATTATTATTATTATTATGGAAATGTAACAGCTACTATAAAATATCTTCTGTTGATATTGTAATAACATAAAAAAATTTGAAATTATCTCCCTTTTATTCGTTGAAAATAAGAGAAATATTCAAAAAGATTAAATATTTTATTTTTTAATTTCTTGCAGTATTTAATAATTTAAAAAGAAACATTAGATAGAGTAGATAACAAGTATATTTAAATTTTTTATTATAGTTTGCAAATACCTTGCATAAAATATGAATGTTTTATTTAGAAATAACAAGTAATTGTATGTATCAGTGTGTATTATTAATCCTTCTTTTCTGTATCTAGGTCTTTCCAAGTTCTCGAATAATGGACTTGTCCATAATTCAAGATTTGCATGAATATCGTTATATGGACATACACTTTCCTCAAGACATTTTTGGAAGATATATTAAAGATACCTTTAAAATTAATTCACTTTCTGTTCGTCAACATATTACAGGTACGTATATGTATATCTCTGAATTATATAATATGATTTTTTTAAAAATATAATTATTTATATAAATACATGTAAATATAATATAATTAAACATTAGTAAAATTCCAAATTATAAATGTCTAGAAAATATTAATTAATTTTAATTTTACATTTATTTTTATTATTTAAATAAGCTGTAAAAGAAAAAATTTGGTAAAAAAATGAAATAAGGGGAAGCACTTCCGTTCATCTTGACCTCGATATATGATGACTCTGAATATTCAAAAGATTTTAGCAGCCGATAATTATACTTTAAAAAGTCTTTAACAAATAAAATTGATAACATAAATATGTGTTTAACTCTACACTTTGAACGTAATCTGACGTAATATAAATATTATTTGCATATTTACGTTTATAGATATTTTAAATACTGTTGACGGTCATCACATCCCTTAAGAACATATGTCAAGCTCAAACTCAAATTGAAGTGCAACTTCTCATCTTCATTTTTATTTTAAAATTATATTTTAAAGTTATACATTTAAGTATGCGTATATATTTCAATTAATATGTATATGTTCTTAAGTATATTTTGTAATATACATGTACGTATATTAATTTTTATATATATATTTTATTTTACATATTTTTATATATAATTTTATAATTTATATTACTATAATAGGACCCATTATATGGCACATGTTAGCAAGCGTAATACCAGACAATATGTTTTGGGAAAATATCAACACATTTTTAAACACGGAGTAAGTGACACATTATAATATATGTATAATACTTTATTATAATGAAAATATTAGACAATGTTTCGTTTCGTCGATTAATTAATGGATCCATTTTTTTTATCTAATCATTTAAGAAATTTATCGGGGATATATATTTTATTTGTACAATTTGTTTATTTATGAATTATTGTTCGGTTGGAATAATTCGCGATAGATTTTTCGTCAAGGAAATTTTATTGTTTGACTATATTTAAAATAACTTATTTTAAATTGAGCTAAAATTGATTTATAATTTATAATTTTAGATATTACTGTTGCTGTAGTTCTGTTTTACCGACTTTAAGTTAGATTAGGTTCACTTTTTATTGAATATACAAATTTAAAAATTTTCCACAATAAAAGTACTGATAATAATGAATAGAGAGCGTCCTGCTCTCCTGCAACTAATTTTTGCTGTTTTATGTCTCAATATCGATTTCGCACGCAAATATACATACATAATTAATTCAAGTACGAATCTTTTGATACAAACTTTTAATCTTATTCTTATTACTTCAGTAGGGTAGTAGATATTAAACTGACTACACTGGCTGTCTATTCGATTTGTTAAACTATATTTATTGACGTTTCGACCATACGGGTTGTGGTCCTCTTCAAAATTACAATAGAAGCATTCTAGAAATTAATGTACATGCAATCAGAATCAACATTTAAATTGAAAACGTGAAATGTAACAAATGAGACTTACAATGAGTTACTGCATATCGTTATTGACATTTAAAAGTACGTTCCGGTGAGACTTAACTTAAGATCGGATGGTAAATTAACTGCGTTTCACTTGTGTCATCTTGCTACGACTGAGCACACTGTACTAACGAATAAACACGCCGAAAATTATGTCAAAGTTAAAAGTTAACAATATTTACATTCTCGCTAAATTGTGATGTACCATATGGCAAATTACTAAAATAAAATATAAAAAATAAAAAATAAAATATAAAAAGTATAAGGTTATTATCTTATACTTTTTATATTTTATTTTTCATTTTTTATATTTTATTTTAGTAATTTGCCATATGGTACATCACAATTTAGCGAGAATGTAAATATTGTTAACTTTTAACTTTGACATAATTTTCGGCGTGTTTATTCGTTAGTACAGTGTGCTCAGTCGTAGCAAGATGACACAAGTGAAACGCAGTTAATTTACCATCCGATCTTAAGTTAAGTCTCACCGGAGCGTACTTTTAAATGTCAATAACGATATGCAGTAACTCATTGTAAGTCTCAGTATAAGGTTATTATCTTATACTTTTTATATTTTATTTTTCATTTTTTATATTTTATTTTAGTAATTTGCCATATGGTACATCACAATTTAGCGAGAATGTAAATATTGTTAACTTTTAACTTTGACATAATTTTCGGCGTGTTTATTCGTTAGTACAGTGTGCTCAGTCGTAGCAAGATGACACAAGTGAAACGCAGTTAATTTACCATCCGATCTTAAGTTAAGTCTCACCGGAGCGTACTTTTAAATGTCAATAACGATATGCAGTAACTCATTGTAAGTCTCATTTGTTACATTTCACGTTTTCAATTTAAATGTTGATTCTGATTGCATGTACATTAATTTCTAGAATGCTTCTATTGTAATTTTGAAGAGGACCACAACCCGTATGGTCAAAACGTCAATAAATATAGTTTAACAAATCGAATAGACAGCCAGTGTAGTCAGTTTAATATCTACTACCTTAGTATTTCATTCCTGGCGAACGAAATTTAATATTTTGTTCTTATTACTTCAGTATTATTCTTTTATGTCATTTCTCTTGGGAGCGCTATATTTTATGCACAAATAAACTGCAGAACTTTTGTATTACATAATTATTGTTGTGAGGTGATGCAAGAGACTGATAAAAAAACTGTAATTTTTTAACTTTTGTTTTTTATGCAAAATCACAACAGTCCCCGTTTATTATTATAAGTACTTTAATTGTGGAGAAGGATTTTTCAATCTATATAGCCAATAAAAAGAAAAGCCCTTGAACTCAAAATCGGTAAAACAGACATAGTCAGCATCTCCTTAATTTAATTTAAAAAAATGCTGACTCTGTTTTATCAATAAAACGTGAAGTTGAATTCGACAATAAATCTCTTTATTGGCTATACGGATTAAAAAAATTTTTTTACAAGTATTAAATATGAAATATTAACATATGCGGGAAGCGCTATAACTTCAGATTAAAAAAACAAAAAAATGTTAAAAAATTACATTTTTGTATAGGCCTTTTTAAACAATTTTTTTTGTACGTGAAATTATATCATTTTTACGTTAAATTACATCATTCACAGTTTGTTAATGTTACTTTAATAGTGAAAATGAGGATTTTTTAAAAATGTGTATAACCAATAAAAGATTCACGTGTAGAATCCATGCAACTCTACGTTTTAACGTTGATAAAACAAAAAGAGTCAGCATCCTCTAATAAGATTATGAAAGAATTGGGTAAAAAAGAGGAAAAGAATCTTAGTCGTTAATTAAAACTTGTTTTATTTGAGAAGTAATTTCTTTTATGTAAACGTGTCGGTTTCCTTTTTGGCGCATCTGTTGGAAGATTAATTAATATTAGAAATTTGATATTTTGTGTTGAATCAATTATCACCTTACTAGTCAAATGGTATTATTATATCATACTTTATCATAGTCACAATTACTCACAGTTCACATAAATTTTTTGATTTCTGTTAACTGGAAAAAAATATTTTTTTAGAGTTGTTATTAAATTGATACCGGAAATAATACTTTAAAACTGTATTTGTAATTAAAGATGTATGGAAAACATCTAAAATGGTACTAAATTATATAGATTGCTTCTACTTTGATACTAAAGCTACTGCTAACATTTGGCTTTTGAATTATTAACTCATTTTTAAATAAATTTTAATTATTTCAATTTAACATTTTGTCAGTTTTACATAAAATATGAAAATTTGTTACATTGATTGATTATATTACGTTAAAAATATCGACAAAATGGTATCATGTCTTTTAAATTTTTGACATGCATAATTGGAACTTTAAAGAATAATGTTGCATAATTACATTATGATTTTATATCTTCAGAATTTGAATCAATTATATGTTTTATTTTCTACAATGTTAAAACAGGTTGATTTACTTCAATTCGAGACTTCCCGATAATTTATGGGATATTATGCAGACTACCATAGATAAATTAGCAATTGAGAATAAAATAGATATAAAAAAAATGATGAATTTTTTGACTGAACAGAAATACTGTCCTGTGCTAAATGTGATACGAGATTATAATGGAGCTTATGTGAATATATCAATAGACAAAAAACAATTTCTCAATCAATCAACTTTTTTTATACCCATCACCTACACTACGGAAATGAACATCGATTTCAACACAAAATTGCCAACGATTGAGCATTACTTGACAGAGTCAAATCCCGAGTTAAAAATACCCATTAAAAATGAAGATCAATGGGTCATTGTCAATAAACAACAAATTGGTAAATATCATAACTATACTATAACAATTAATACATCTTTTTTAAAAAATATAATTAAATCCTTATATCTTTTTATTTCCTTTTACCATATATAAACAAATATTTGCCGATAAAACAGACAGAGTTAACATTTCCTTAAAGTTTCTTTTTTTTTGTTATATAATATATCTATATTTATTAATTAATTAAATTTTAAAATATTTTATGTAAAGATTGAAATTATATTTTATACATTACATATAATAATATTCTTTTAAAATATTTTTCATATATTACCATTAAATTTATACAATTTCAAACACTACGTACGTTGCTTAACCTTATTGGAGCTTTAACTTTATATTTAAATTAATATCCCAAAAATTTTTTTATAATTGATAACATTGATAAAATTATTCCATTTTTTAATTATTAAAATATAAATGTGTGTATACACATCTTTTAATTTTAGTACGTATTTATATGCTTAAAATAAAGAAGATAATTATGTGTAATATTTTATTATATTTATTAAAACAAATAATCGATAAAATTTATTTGTTTAATAATAGGATATTATCGCGTCAATTATGATGCAGAGAATTGGCAAAGAATTGCACATTATTTGAAATCTGAAAATTATACTAAGATACATGTTCTTAATCGAGCACAAATTATCGATGACGCGTTTCATCTTGCGATGGAGAAAAAATTGAATTTTTCTATATTCTGGGATATTGTGGGCTATTTACCGAGAAGAGAATTAGATTACATAGCATGGTATCCTATGATCAAAGCTTTTGAATACTTATCGAACTTTTTTGCAATTATAAATGTATATGACAAGGATTTTCTTTGGACTGTACTCCAGGTATTACAAATTGTAGCGATAAAATTAGAAATATTAGAGATCATTATATACAAACAATTTTGTATTATAATTATGATTCGTAAAAAATTTGTATGGTAGATTGTTAAAAAAAAATGTAATTATGTGCTAATTATACATATATGATAGTTTAAATAATATGCTAATCGTTCGAAATCAATAATGACGTCTCTAATAAAATCAGTAACTTTATATTCTTTTAACCCGCTGCAAACACCGGCAGTATTTATTTTTACAGTTTCTTTAAAAATCTACGTTGCATATTTTTGTATACTAACAAATGCAAAGATCATTGAATTTTTCTACCAGCTTTTAATCGCAACAAAATCTTACAAATTCATTTTAAATGAGATTATGTGTTGTAAATTTTGTTTTTCTACAAATCCTTTGTTTTTTTATAAACATTCGTTAAAAAACAAATTTTTAAATTATAATTCAGGATATCATATTCTAATTTTAAAATTGCTTATAGTAAAAAGTGTAGGAATAAGCGATATTGAATTTGCTTTAAACAGAATTAAAAGAATTAGTCAAAACTTTTGTTATACACGTGAATTTATTAATTCGGAGTATATTTTAATCACTAATTCAAATAATTTTATATATGATAATTTTGGTAAATAAAAATATGTATATTATTGCACATGTATTATTTATTTTATATTTATCTTTGTATAATATCTAATGATCAAATAAAAAATGTATTTTTTTAAACTGTAGAGAGCAGCATTCAAAATAAGAAACATGTTAGAACATGAAAGAGAGTACATATATCCATATCTATATAGATACGAGAGTATACCCCAACAACTGAGACCCGTCGAAAATGATTTTGAGAAATATTTAAAACTGGACCTTACAAAATGGGGATGTGTTAACAATAATAGTTTGTGCATAGCAATGGCCAAAAAAAAATTGGAATTGTATTTAAAAAATCAAACATTAAACAAGTAAGTTTTTTTATAATATTAATTATTTCTATGTAAATAGTTTTGATATTCTTTTAGTAATATAGTTCATATGTAGAAAATAATGTAAAATCAAATATATAAGTATATACATATTATTATTCTCTATAACATATGTCACACACATACGTGATTCTTGTTAATTTAATTCAGTACTTTCTGTATGTATATACGTATATGAAAAGGAATAAAAAGATAAAATAAAAATAACAACAAAAATCCTTTCAATTTTTCAAAATGAAGTAAATGTTAAAGTAATAAGAGAATAAACGTTTTTTTATTTTCTGTGTAAATTTTTTATATAAAATTTATATGTATAATATTATTATATATATAAAAATATATATGTATATATATAATTTATCTATATTTCTTAACTATATTTGATTATAATAGTTGACACAGTAAAAATAGTTGAAAAATTTGAAAAGAATAAGAAATAAAAGTTTTAAAATATATAATATATAATTAAAAAATAAAATAAAGTAAAAAAAAATTTTTTTTTTAAATAAAAATACAAAATATAATTTTTATAATTATTTATCCATTATTCTTCTTATTATTGTTTTCATACGTACGAATAGAGATTATACAAAAGTGAGGAAAAGTTTCACCGAAAAAATTGTATTCTAAGCACCAAGAAGATTCTTTTAATTTAAGATGATATTCTTAATTTATTCTTATTTTCAGAAAAAATTATACAAAATTTAGAGAAATTTCTTCAATTAAGAAGATCCTTTTGGCGCTTAGAATATAATTTTTTGAGTGTTGTTAACATATTTTATATAACTTTATATATTTATATTTGCTGTATATTAAGCAAGCACAAAAGTGAGGAAAAGTTTTACCGAAAAAAATTTATTCTAAGCACCTAGAGGATTCTCTTAATTCAAGATAATATGTTTAATTTATTCTTATTTTCAGAAAAAATATACCAAAATTTAGAGAAAATTCTTAAATTAAGAAGATTCTTTGGCGCTTAGAATATAATTTTTTCAGTGTTGTGAACATATTTTATATAACTTTATATATTTATATTCGCTTATATATTAATATTTTTCTGTATATTTTATAATATAAAGATGCTATATGTTAAATATCGATGTCATCAAAAACCAGAAATTAATTTTTTGTTTGTTGTAGAATTTTGCCTGGATGGGAGGAATGGACATTTTGTAATGGTTTAAAGACAGCAAACGTTAGTATGTGGTTCGCTGTATATTCTATGGCATCTAATATATACAAGGAAACTTCCAATTATAAAATGTTGAAATACCTTGGTTGTTCTGAGAATCCTAACATTATCGTTTTATATCTGTGGTCAGTAATACCGGAACTTAAACAGGCACTGTTAAAAGAGAATGATCATACGATGCTTACACAAAAAGGCAACGATAAAATTAATTGTTTAATTACTAATATGTTTCTTTCCACTCTTGCGAGACAAGCTAAGAACACTTTAGTACTTAGAGACATATTGCCGTCTTATGACATAAATTACAGAAGGAGGTAACAATTTCCATTCTACAAATATACATATATTGCGTATAATCCGGAAGGTTAATATATATGTTTTTATTATACATCTATACATATGTATAGTATATACTATTTTTTTTACAGTCCAGTCAGTATGGTAACGACATTAAACGTACTTATTAATAATGTTTATACCGGTAAACTACTTACCGAGGTAATTTTTATATTTTCTTTTATACATATTTTTACAAAATTTTTGTTTAATGAAAGAATCAAAATTAAAATAATGTTTATTTCAGATACGTGTATTTGCGAAAAAACATATGCCATCCATAGAATATGAATATGTTGAGAATAAGTTAAAGATCCGTTCTTATAAACTGACCGACCAGTTGCAGTTTTTTAACGATTTGTTCAAATGAGAGTTTAAATTAAAAATTTAATGCATTTATTTGAATTGTTGTGAATGCAATAAATATAGCATAATATATGTATATCAACAAATGCAGCAATAATACACAAATTTATATTAAACACCTAATAATATAGAATAAATATATATAAATATTTAAAATAATATTTTATATATTCATAGTGTTTTATATATTTGTTATTTATTTATATAATTTTACATGTATGATTATTTTGAATTTTTTAAAAAAAATTCTTTTATGATTTTTTAAATATATGTATATTTTGCAAAAATATTAACTTTTCTTTCACAATATTATTTTTTAGTACAATGGAATGAGATTAATAAAATAAGACCAGAATGTGTAAATGAATAAAATACGTGTATATAAATTATGGTTTGCGATTTTCTTTTATCTCCATTAAAGAGGAAAGTACATATACGAGAAGATAAAGAAAAATAAATTCACACTATGAAAAAACTCTTAAATTATAAATAAGTATTTTCTATGCGAATTTAATAAGATAATTATAGAAAATAGTAAAAAGTCAAGAAAATATATTATCAGAGATATGTAAGTCAGCAATTTAAAATTTTAAGGCATTAAGAATAACTGTGTAATTTATTAGAAACAATAATATTGAAAAAAATAAACAAAAACTTTTATAAGAATTTGAAAAAATATTTTGTATTAAAGATTTAAAAGAATGAAACAAATATATTGTTTTAAAACATAATATGATGGTTAAATAGATGTGTTATTCTCAATTATCATAAAACTTTTGTAATGAAAAAGTAAAGAGAAAATTACAGTGTTTCTCATATAAAAAGCTAGAAGGATTTAAATTTTGTTTTTCATATAAAAGCAATATCAATTTCTTTTATTTTATTAAATTTTTTATTATAGATTTTATATATCATTAGAAGAGAAATTTAGATTTTGCTTACGTTACAATTAAAATAAAAATCCAATAGAAAAATGGAAAAAATGTGAAATAATGTACCTATTTTATACATCATCCAATAACATGCGATCGAAAAAAATAATTCTATATAAAAATCAGACAAAAATAAAAGATACGTTTTTAATTTGCATATAACATAATTTTTTTATAAAATTTCTTCATATATATTTATTTGTATGTTTTAGATATAAAATTCTATACAAAAACATTTTAATTATATATTAACGTTTATTAATCTACTAATGATCGTATGAAACGAATTGTTACGTGTAATTGTGGAAACCTATTTTCATGAGATTTATGTATTTTACATGTTATCATTCCGCAAACGTCGTCAGTTCGCGTCTGTCCTTTGAAGAAGTAACAACACAAGTAAGCGATACACTCTCGATTAAGGTGATTCGGCTCGTGATTCTACAAACAGATAAAATAATGTAAGTCAAATATAAAAATTCAGATATTTCTATGAAATATAATAATATAAAAATAAGTAAAGATTTTGCAATCTTAGAGTTTTCTATTTATAACAATAAAAGATATTTTGTTTAATGTTAAAGCAAACATTTAAATGTGTCTCTGTACGTTTTTTAATTATTATCTTCATTTTTCATTTGCATATTGCAGATAAGTATATTGAAATATATAAAATATATTTAAATGTAAATTATACGAGCATTATCAATTTTTTATTATATTATACCATATATTAAAAATTAAAGACAGATTAAGCTTTATTTGATTCATTTTTTCGCGAATTGATTTCTATAATAAATATTTTTAATGTATTAAATTAAATATGTAATAAAACATATATTCTAGAAACAGATCGACCAAAGTAAATCCAAATATATCACATTTAAATTTATATTTTAAATGTAATCATATAAATATAAATGAAAAACTTGCTATATTAGCGTTCTCAATTTGATAATAATATTTTATTCAATGTTTAAGAAAATGTTAAATGTTTTCCTTTTTTCATTGCGGTTATTATCTTTTTTTTCGTATATCTCATATAACATGAAACCATTTACCTGTAAATTGTAACATTGTTTGATTTTTGAAAATTTCAATACGTAATAAAAAAGAAATAAAAATTAAAGACAGATTAAATTTTGTTTTATATATTTTTTTCCGAAAAAGATATATAGATACAATATTTTCTCATATATGTTAAATTAAATATCAGTTTACAATTCTAAAAATCTAAAAATGTTTATACAATGATGAGTGAAAGTAAAATTTGCATTACGTTTTAATTCGCTGATGAAATATACATCGACATAAATTTCAAATAAGGATAATATCAACATGTTTATTATCGGTTTCCTTAGAGTATAAGAACATGACTTACAAATGACATAGAAATCTGATGATAACAACATATTAATAACAAGCATGATAAATTCCAACAAACGAAGCCCAGTTATTAAAAGACATTATTTTATACATATTTTATATGCTTAATATTTCAGTATTTCAGAATTAAATATTTATAAAGGCTTTATAATATATCTGTCAGATTCTTATTTTATAAATCGTTTCAATCGCTCGGGAAGTAATTGAATACCCAAAAACAAAAAGAATTGATATATATTATAATTATATTACTTATGTTACAAAATTTATAAAAAACATCTCTTTTTTTTTTAAATTTTGAATTAGGATGTGAAGCAATTTAATATTTAATTTCATAAAAAAGGAGTTGTATCAAATTAACGCAGTTCCGGACCTATATATTACCATTTTCTTTGTTTTTGTATTCCATTTATCAGTTATATTTATAATCTACTTTTATTTACTAGTTTTATTGTATCTTTTTATTTCCAATATTATTCCAGTGTTTCTAAATTATATATGTATAATATAATTGACTGTTGTTTTAAAATACAGATTAAATTAATCAAGCATTCCATAAAATTAGAATGAAAGAGACTTTATCGAAAAACAGTTATACAGTTATACCAAGTTTTAATAATTTGGTTATATAAAAGTAAATATGTTGCAATCATCACTTAGTTAATTATACAGATAATGTTTAGCAAAATGAAATATATGTTTTTTTTTCTCTCTATTATTTCGTTAATATTAATACACATATAATTAAATTTATTTATATTTATATTAAAAACGGTTTTTAGAAGATAATTGTAGGAAATTGAAAAAAAGTTAATCATCATATTGTGTTTTTAATCATATTGTGAATTACAAATATGGATTGAAAAACAATTGAGTTGCCTAATATAAGTCATTAAAAAGTGGACGTCGATAATATTGTGTTAATATTGAGGAAATTTATTTTTTGAAAACTAAATGATTAGATACACACAATATTTAATTTTCGTTATTATAAACATATATTGTAATAAAGAAATTAAAAATAGAATTTATGTAAAGATATTTTCATTTTTTCACTAAAATCGCCCGTTTTGCATTTATTTACCATACATATTATTATTTTGGATTTCATATTCTTACATAATATGTTATTATTTTACATTATATATTTTAAATTGTTCTCTGCTCTGTTTTTTGTTTCACGCACTCTTATCGAGGAAATTGTTTTTGCAGATACTCTGACTGCAGACGAGACTATAAGCACGATGTTCTTAAAATTGTCATTGAATATTTTATTATATATCTTCGTAATGACAATGGTTTCTTGTTTGAATGATCACAAGTTGATTGGTATAGCATCACTTCATTATAAATTGAAGATATCACTGATGCCTGGTTACGTGTCTCATGGAGAATCTAATATTACTGTTTATATTCGTGGTCCAACACAAAACATGACTTTACTTACATCAAAACGTATAAATGTAACAACAGTACATTTAATAGCGGACGACAATAAAAAAGTGTATAAACCAAAGCTTTTATATAACCACAATAAGAATAACGTCGTTCTTAATTTTATCGAATTAGTGTATCCTAACATTAGCTTGGAATTCGGATATTATACTCTATCTGTTAAGTTTTTAAACTTTGACACGGAAGAACTTTCGCAAACATGGTACACAAACGAGAAAGAAAATAAAAAGTGAGTATATAATAAAGTATTAAAATTTAGATATTATATACAGGTATATATACAGGGTGTTCATTTCAAACAATTATTTGTTTGCATCAGTTAATTGGTCTTATTAGTCCGTGCATAATATTATTAAGCTAAAAGATTACCGAAAATCGAGTATTTTACAAGATATTTTACATTTTATGTTAAAAAATTGTTAATTTCGAATCTTATAAGTCAAAAAGTACTTCAGAACAAAAAATTGTATTATAGTGTTTCGAAAAGCTCTTGAGATGAGCTACAAGAATATGTTACAAAAATAATGTTTTATTTAAAAAATTGAAGATGACCTTCAAACTACTATCCAAGGTCAAGTCTTCCTTACTATCTTACGTCCTCTTTGAAGCAAATTTAACTTTTATTTGAATCATTTTTTATTAAAATCATTGGTTTGAAAGATATAAACTTTAAAAAATGCGATACTCACAATATACTCATATAGTATATGTATGTACCAATAATTGTTAAAAGTTTGTCATTAAAATGTTTCAGGTTTATCGCAACGTTGTTCCAGCCTGCAAAAAACCGACCATTATTTCCATGTTTTAACACATCTGAATTGGTCACCTTTAACATCTCAGTAGAACATGACAGGCGATACACAGTTTTATCGAATATGCCGATAAAAAATCAATCTATATCTAATGACGTAATGCTTACGCATTTTCACACGTATCCTGCGACATATATTTACGATGTGGCATTAATTCTGATGTCGCCTAATATGACAACTTCAAATCCCATCGAATATGATACTTATCTCGCTCCTTCTTCGAAAATAAAGATCAATACGTGGAGCAGATCGCATTTGGTACCACACATGAAATTTGCGCAACGTGTTCTCGGAAAAATAACCAAGTATTTAGAAGACAATTGGAAAATCTTCAGGAGAGTCCCTAAAGTGGATTACATCGTTATTCCGAATTTCGAGGGAAATATTGAGCAGACTTGGGGATTGCTACTTTACAAGTAATAAATACATTTAAGATTTAAAAATTATAATTATAATTGATTAAAGCATATTTTGTTTTTAGCTTTTAAAACTAAAAAAGTTTAAAACATGCATTTTATGAG